TAAGAATGTACTGAAAACAATTTCAGTGGGTTAGAGTAATTTTGAACTCCTTTTGGGTTTTTCTTTGTACCGGAAGAAGAATGCACTTTTGTCAAATTTCATTCAATTTGTTCCACTCATTTCTGAACAGCGTACGCAAATGTGTTGTGTATGTATGTATGTATGTGTGTGGGCGGTCCGGGACCTGACGCACTTAGGCCTCCCTTTTCGGGCCCATTGTGCACCCACACCCCTGGAATCGCAAGTCAGCCATGGAGAAGGCCGATCTCGCGAGCAAAAGAGACCAACTTTCTATTTCAAATCTTTTTAACATCCTCTGAGTCCAGGATACTGCCCCCAAAATATCACTTGCTGCCACTACTGCCGGGCATTCAGTGAGGATGTGAGTCCCAGTCGGTACTTTCAATATATTGTCCCTGCGAGGACGTTAACTTACACCTCACGTCGAATAGATGGTGACATCATCCTCTAGGCACAATCTGCATTCAGGATCCTCCACAATCCCGATCGTGCTGAGATGCTTGTTCAAGTGGCAGTGCCCTGATGTCAGAAGGCCCACCACCAGTTTCAGCTCCTTCCTGTTCAAAGCCCAGAAGGCATTGGTCTGTCTTCGTGACGGGTTTCCTATATGGAGTTTGGACTGCCTCATTCACGCAAATGTGTTTTTATGTAAACATTGAACTCTTTTCATGGGCAAACGGTACATTTTGAAATGAAAATAGATTAGGACCAACCAGCTCGTTTTGACCTCTATTACACGAGGTAGCTCTGTCTCCCAGCAATTTAGGGACACCCTGTTTATGTTACGAGTGACCCTGCACAGGTAAAAAAATCCAATATCTTCCAAATGTATTTTTTCTTGAGATTTGAAATGTTTATTGGAAAGAAAAGATGCATTTTTTCCATTCAGCTATCACAAGAAATCACTTTTATCAGATAGGATCTGCTGATGTTGAACCACTCAATAATCATCGTTGATTGAGGATGCGCTCTCCACACAACGACCAACAACACGGAACCCTATAATATCATAGAGTTGAAACGTAATACGTGAAGAAAAGTGTTGTCTTTTTATCGGCATATGGGGGTTGGATAAATTTCCCTTAGCCCCCATAAGTACGCCACTGTAAATCTAACATGTCCTAATTGTTAAAATAAAGTATAGTTTTGGTGGCGTTGGCTACAAGATTTTCTTCCCGCCCAATCACATGAGGGTTTCCATCCTGGAATTTGTAATTTCCAATTGTTTATTACTTCGATCTGAATTGTTTCTCAGATATTTTCAGTTCTGGTTACACCTTGTAATTAGCTATCCATAAATGAACGTGCACATGAAGATCTGTTATCGCAAGAAATTCATGACCTTGGATTTATGCAATTATGTAATTTACCGTTAGTCCATGTAATGTAATTTATATTAAATTTTTCTTCCATCGGTAATAAACATTATGAAATAACGGCACTTCGCGGTATATTTTAGCATTAAGATAAACATTACAGTGTTAAAAAAATCTAATATAACCCTGAAGTATTTATTTCGTACCTAATATGACTAGTTCTACTCCTATTCATATAACTTTCTTGCGATATTGAATATCGAGTTTCCTACTATTCAGCGAAAGTAAATAACAGTTATTGTTTTTGTTGTTATTTAAAGAACTTACTGATCCTGGCTCAAGGCCAGTCACATCAAAAGTAGTAGTAGTATAAAATATACTCCGTTGCGTAGGTACCTATGTAAATACATATCAACTGGCCATCGACCTCCTATGAGGTCCTTCAGCCAAAAGTGTTCTGGAAATGAAATGTTCTGAATTAAGTAATTCATGCCGACCAAAATTCTGAAATATTGATCCGTATATCATAATTCATAATCACTCTAGTTTTGTACTAGGTCCGAATCTGCTTGAAAATATATGTCCTTTGAAATTTAGATAATCTATCTTTTGAAATAAAGGAAAAGAAGACTCTTTGTTGTTTCTATCGTATAAAGGGTGATTCATTAAGAATGGGCAATCTATGAACTATACATATATAGACAGTAAACACTCATGCTACAAATGAAAAATTTGATTTTTTAAATTTCTCTATAAGTTTGATCAAACATTAACTTTGAAATTCTGTTTGTTCTGTTGGGGTTGCTATAGTCAGAGATTATATACTCTAGTGATTGTCATCATCAATACTTTCTTTCTAATATCACTGTACGGTTTGTCCTGTTTTCGATGCTTTTGCGTGGTATATCACTTATTTCTGATGGAGATAAAACCATGCAATTTTCGTGATCGCCACTTTTTTGTGAAACTGAAGATAGCCCAATCAGATTTTGGGCGATTATGAAAATGTTTACTGTTCATCTCATCCCATAGAGAATTTTTTGAAGAATCCAGTGGCGCACTCAATTTTTTTTGGGGTACGGTTTTGGATATACGACTCAAACTTATGAATTCTCAAAAGGAACACCCTGCATGTGATAAGCTCATTAATTTCCTTATTTTTCCATTCAAAATGATGTATTATGTATGAATATAGAGTACCACTGTTAATTGGAACGCGACAGCGAATCTTGCCGAATCATCTCCGGCAGAGGCTATGACTTCAACTTGTTTTATAAATCAAAATTCTCGGCAGAAATATATTCTTTCATTTCGTTTCGTCTTTTCGCCTTCTATAATCCATTTCATTTATTGCCCCAGTTCCGAAAACACCCTGTATATATATAAACATTCCCGGTTTACTTCTCAGAATTTAAATACCTACCTCAAGAAGAAATATTCCCAGAATAACAAACAATCCTGTTATTTTGAAACGCCTTTCAATGGGGTATTGAATTAATTTATTAGGGGTGAAACGAAGAAACGTGTTCAAAACGTGCGTATTAGCGTAGGAATTCATGATTGAATTTGATCCGAGCATTATATACGACGAACTATATACATATACAGGGTGACTGCAATGTATAGAAACTGTAAATACTTAGTAATCAGTAGTGAAATATGTGAGGACATAGTGTCGTATTCATCCCGGTTACAAACAGAGTTACAATGGGCTTATATCACTAAACATTTTTATTTCATAATTCGATAGAAGTCACCCAAACTACCTCACCACCGCAAACCGTTTCTTGCTGTGAGCTCCCTACGTTTTATAAAAAGTTATTGAAATCCCCGATTTTTCGGACCTCTGAAAACGAGGCGATGATGTGACGTCAAAACCCTAATACTGAAACAAGACTATTCCAGACATAGATGAATGATACATGATTTCTGACAGAGTGAATTAGCGCGAGATCACAGTTGAAAGAATTAATATATCAATTGCCTCAGTCTCCGTCGGGCGTTTGGTATTTTCTTTTAACTATGGCGAGATGAGGTTTCTACGTCATAAGAGGGTCCGTTTTCAGAAGGTACTATCATTTATGTCCAAAAATAAAACATGTCAGTTAATTTTTCGATCGAATTATGTCGTCAATCATTATTTATGTATAAAAGGATCAATATAAACCTGGTTTGAGTTAAAAGTTCTACTAAGGTGTACACGCCCATTGTACCAGATTTGGTACATTTTGTCAAGAAAAGTATGTTGGTACTACATTCCCAAAATAAAGTAATTTCTGGTACGAAAGCATTCGCTCGATATTCATCTATACTACCCTAATAGCACACAACGTCCTGGGGACGTCCCTATTTGGTACAATTCAAGTGCGAATGTCTCACGTGGTACATATTATATAAGATCCATGAAAGGACGTCCTTGGAATGTCCCTGATGGGATATGATTTCAAACGTTCCTTCAGGGACATCCATCCCAATTGGTGCATGAACTGTACTCTTCCAATGTCCTAGAAATAACGTCCTACGGACGTCCCAGTCGGTACTTTCAATATGTTGTCCCTGCGAGGACGTTAACTTACACCTTACGTCGAATAGATGGTGACGTCAGCTTTTATGCTGTTTCGTTATTGGTCAGATAATCTTTCAACTATTGAATAACTAATATTTCTGGAGTTCCCCATGGAATTTCAACACATGGCAACTGTGCTATTTTCTGCCCCTACTTACGAAATCATGGCGTTAGTTTTTACTTGCTGTAATTTTCTAGCTGTTTGAAAATTACCGTGGCATTATTGATGATTTAAGCACCTAAAAATCGACTGAAAAATTCTCGAAAATATAAAATTAAAAGGTATTCGAGTGATGATTCCATTTAAGAAATAAAACAAAATTAGTTCACTCGCCTATTCTGTTGCATTCATTTTGTTGAAAAATCTCGATTTTGAACACCCTATAATCCCTATATCTCTGTAATCATTTCCGATAGACCCAAGTGTGATGTATCGATGAAATCAGCTCTTCAGGTGGAATCTAAAAATGCAATGGAATACAGGATATTCAATTCGAAATAACAAAGTTGTTGCTACTTTTTGCGTGTTGTAAAATATGATCATGCATATTTTTATGAATTTTTCCCGACTGATTCTCGATATAGAGATAGCGTAGGCTCGTCGTGACATACCCTGTATAGTTGGCTAATGTTCCCTCAAGCCGTTTTCGACTGAATTCTTGCTGCACTACTGACATTTGTACAATATTTTCATAATCCATTTTGTTGAAAAACTGACAAGAGATGTCAAAAATGCATGTTTCGTTTCCATGGCAGTTCTGTTGTGTTCACAGCCATCTAAATGTTATTGGCATCCTCAATTCAATGCCTAATAGGTGAAAAATAGCTTGATTAAACATTAGCAAACCATACATATTTGTGAACAGGAGAAAAGGTCTTGGTGTTCCAGTAAAAAAACTTATTTGAATTGTTTTATATATTTCGAGATTCGCATTTGTTCATTCAAGGAGTGCCAAAAGATAGTAAAGATGAAACCCTACCACTTTATACTTGAAATATTTTTCCACCTCATATAGTTGAAGCTGTAGGTATAGGGGTCAAAATATACGGAAACACCCGTACCTTTCAATACTAATTTTAATAATTTTAATTTTCAGTGAAGTTATGGATGATGATTCTGATGACAAAGACTCAAAACGGTGAGTTTATTTTTGAGGATCGAGAATATTGCTGAATGTAGTGATTTCAGAAAATCAAGAAATCTCAGTGAGAAAAAGCGACGTGATCAATTTAATTTACTAGTAAGCGAATTAAGCTCAATGGTATCTTCCGGTGGTAGGAAAATGGACAAATCTACAATCCTGAAGTCCACTATTTCATTTTTGAAAAATCACAATGGTAAGTCTCTGGTTGAATTTCGAGTATAAGAATGTAGATACGAAAACACTGCATGAGTATGGAAAAATCTATTGATTTCCCTAGAGTATTCAGTTAGTAATTGAAGATGTTTCATTCTTGTTCAGAACATCATCAGCATTTCACACGTTTCTATTTCTATCACAGAATTGTACTTTAAACTATTTTTTTGTAGAGATAGCAGTTCGATCTCGAGTAAATGAAATCCAAGAAGATTGGAAACCGAATTTCCTAACGAATGAGGAATTCACCCATTTAGTTTTAGAAGCAGTAGACGGTTTCATCATGGTATTTTCACCATCTGGTCATATTTATTACGCCTCAGAGAGCATTGCATCACTTTTGGGACATTTGCCAGTGAGTACAACGATTTTTTTCCTCGATGCGATTCAACACTTGCTTGTCTTCTTATACGGTTGCTATGGGTTACGGGGTCTTTTTATTTTTTGGAGTTTTTCCTTCCCAATCTTCATCATGACTGCTCAGATTTGCAACTGAGGTATAGATGATGTAAACCCAGGCAGTATAAAGTGATTCTGAGAAGGTTCTTAGAATATTCCCATGGTACATTTCGAATATTCTCAGAATGGTGTCATAAGGTGAGCTGAACGTTCTGAGAATATTCTAACATGCACATAGGACGAAAATTCACGTTCCAAGAACGTTCTCATACATTCTATGAATATATAGAACATCCCATATGCTCAGTATACAGGGATTACAGGGTATCTTGAAGCGCATGGAATCACTTCAGGGTTCGATTTAGTAGGTAAATACGTTCGTAACTGTATGTTCCAAAAGTAAACATCAGGGTGATATTTATTTCACACTATCTGAGAAAACCATCACCCAAAAACTGTTACAGTTCAAAAGAAATAGGAATACCATACACGAATCATGACCTCCTTCCCCTCGAGCACCAGCTTTCACAATAGGGTAACAAACTCAAAAATACCCAGGTATATGTCAAAGCAAAAAAGTGTCTGTCAGACGCGTCAGATGAATATTTGTCTTTAGAGATGATTATTTTTGTTTTCTTAATAACGGGAGCATCATTTATTAGATGTTATTAGAACAGCAATTAAATCAACGACCTTCTCGTCATTATCAATAGAGGTGGATTCATACAAGCAAAATTTAAAACTTAAATGAATTTTAAACTAGAACCAATAATATGAAACTATGAAATGTAATGTAGGTGCTCATGCAAGAAACTAAAAAATTAAAACTAAAATATAAACTGGGAAAGATGGCCAATATTCAACTAAGAAATTAATTTCTTCCATAATTCACGATAGCGCATGCGTCAAATAATAACTAGTCGCGCTGGAAAAAGATTCAACCAGCAGAGGAAAGGTTATTGCATGAACACCCAAATATTTTAAATTCAAAATTCGTTCAAATCTTACATTCATTATAATTTAGTTGATGTTGCATAAATCCACCTTAACTGGGAAACACCTAGATGTCCTAGATGATCCCGAAAACGGAGTACAGTATAGAATATAGTTGGACCAAGAGGACTACCTTAAAGCTTAAAGCACACCAACAACACAGTCTCTTCTATGATATTTTTGATTTGAATTCTTTTTAACGTAATATCCACTTCAGCTTAATCATCACAATCTCCAATACCTACACGGAAAAAAAGGAATTGTTGAATCAATCAAAATTTAATTGAATGGATCAAATAAAAGTGTCATATATGCACGACAAAATATAATCTTGAAATGATTAAATCAATATCTGGTTTCAGAGCTAATTTGAAGTTTGAATCAAGTAAATATGTCTTGCATGAACTCTGGGTCTTCTTCAATCAAGCACATCCATGAATTGTTTATGAAGAGATATTGAATTGGCTCAAACAAACATTTTGTTCGATTCAAAATAACAAGATAGTGATTCAGTCAAATATTTAGTTGATTCAACGAAATATTTGGTTGATTCAAAGAAATATTTGGTTGATTCAATGAAATATTTGGTTGATTCAATGAAATATTCGGTTAAGTCAATGAAATATTTTGTTGATTCAAGAGAAACGATATATCCATTGGACATATTGTTTTGTTGAACCAAATTCAATATTCGGGAATTTCCTGAAATTTCACATCAATAGAATAAACAAAACTAGGAAACTAGTCGACTCTCAGCATAGATTTTCAATCTTTACTTCTCTTCAGCTGATGGAAAACTATTTCGGATTGCTAATCATCCTAAGTTCGATTTATCCAGCTGATATTTCAAACACGAAGAATCAGACTTCACGTATATAATGAACTCGAGGCAGGCATAGACGAGGCGAAATGATCGCCATCTAGAGGCGAAAGTATAAGTTGATGTAGAATAAACAAAATATTTCATTGATATTACATATTTTGTTGCTCTATTCAAGCAAATGATCCGATCGAAACGAGTTCATTGATACATCGGAATAAGAAAACTTGTATGTTGTTTCAAAGATATATTCTCATCAAAATGATCATTGTTTGATCAAATAAACGAAATGTTTATAGTTGAATCTACCATATATTTTGTTGATGGAATTGATATTATACTGTTGATTGAATTAGACTAGATTCTTGATTTGAACAAGCTGCTCCCATGGAATAATCATGTATCTGATTGATTCAACAAAAAATTGCTCAGTCCAACAAAAATAACTCAAGCATAAATAATTTGTTGATGCAACAAATCATTTTTTTTTCGTGTACTATGAAGTGTAGCAATTTGCTTCAGCATCATTTCCTTTGGGTTATTTAGTATCAAATGTGCGAGATGATTACGCATTACACCTACCACAATCATATAATCCACAAGTTTTTTCATCATGAAAATACTACAATCAAGAATTCGAATTCAAATTTCAAGCCAAATCCGTCAATAAAATGTCATTAAAAATACTTATATACAGTGTGTCCACCTTAAGGACTTACCACCCCTGTAAAATTGTTATTATCTGACCGATTTCAAAAAACTTTTTTTTGTGATAGGTATTCGAAATGTCCATCCAACAAGAGAGTGATTTTACTCATGAACTGTAATCGTGGCCAACTGCGACCAACTTTATTGACCCATATTTGGGAAAGTACTATTAGGGATTTTTTTTCAAAAAAATCAATGATGGATTCTGAATCACAATCACTTGAAAAACACCTTTACTGATTTTCATCATCATAAAACACAGGGTGTCCGAAAAAACGAATTATGTTTTATTTTTTAATAGGTGATCAGAAAATGTAGTATTGTGGTATTTTTGAGAAGAATTGATGACACATTATTATTGAGGATCACTTTGCACATATCTGTACCGATTTTCATCATTCAAAAATACGATGTGTATGAGAAAACAATTAAAAAGAAAAAGTAGGCAATATTTTTTCATCAATTCAAAAAAATTTATGATTAGATTTTTCTAACACCCTGTGTTTGATGATGATGAAAATCGGGACAGGTATGTTCCAAGTGATCCTGATTCATCTTTTTATTTCGAGTGAAGAATTATCAGGATGAAAAATGTTGCTTACCTATCCTTTTTAATTTTTTTCTCAGACACATTGTATATTCAAATGACGAAAATTGATACAGGTATATTTGAAGTAATCCCCAATGATAATTTGTGATTATTTCTTTCTAGAAAAACCACAGAACTACATTTGCTGATCACCTATTTGAAGAAAATGATGATTCGTTTTTTCGGACACCCTGTGTTTTATGATGAAAATCGGTACAGGTATATTTCAAGTGGTACTGATTCAGAATCCATCATCAAGTTTCGTGGAAAAAAATCCCTAATAGTACTTTCTAGAATATGGGTCATTGAAATTTGTCGCAGTTGGCCACGATAACAGTCCAAGAATTAGATCACTCTCTCGTTGGATGGGCATTTCAAATACCTATCCAACAAAAAAAGTTTTTTTGAAATTGGTCGGATATTAACGATTTTACAGGGGTGGTAAGTCCTTAAGGTGGACACACTGTATATAAAAATAATGTTCCAATCACAACATCCTGGTTCAGTTCAATTGTAGGTTAGTAGCGGTTCATTTTAAGGGGAACAAATTTTCAATTGGAAAGAGGCTATGGATATATATTCAGTTTCAGCGCCCCTAATTGTAAGTAATTGGAGAAAATTGCGGTAAATTTGAATTCATTCACATGTAACCCCATTGCTACCGCAGAGGAGCATATCAGAAATAATTTTTTTCTGAACATTTTGATTCCCTCTATATCAAAAACGAAGCAAGTTAGGACGAATATTTATAGGAAACAAACATTTTTCTCTCTTCACGAGAGTATCGGAATGATAGTTGTAAAAATTTCACAAACGATAAGATTTCCACAAAATTCTTAATCACACGACATCTTTCGCTAACACAGTAGCTTGATCAGGTGATATACTGGTACAATGAACTAACTGAACCAACGTCATCCTACTTTCCCAACTTGAAGGATAAGTTACCTGTGGACAGCCGGACAGGTTCGATCAACCTTCATTTTCGGGAATTAGGCTATATTAAAATACGGTACAACATTGGCTTGCTGAACTTTCATATATCCTACTTTCCCAAATTGAAGGATTAGTTACATGTGGACAGGAACACCGTATTTTAATGTAGATATTTACATTTGCGAAGTAACGGCCGAGTCAATTCAAAATCTAAATGATATATTCTATGAAGATGCATACCTGGAGAATATACCTAGAATATTCGAATAATGCAATACATGATCATTCCTGAATAACATTCATAGAATATAATGGAATATTCAAGGAACAATGAAATGTTCTATGAATATTCTCGTGAAACATTCTATGAACATTCAGAACATCCTCATCAAATTCTATGAATATTCTTTGGAATATTCTGAAAGAGTTTTGTCGTGAGAACATTCATAGAATATTTTGTGCTGTCTGGGAATAATCGATATCACTGATATTTATGTTTCTTAGGACGATGTGCTGAATACAACTATATATGAACTAGCGAGTGAAGACGAACGAACGAATTTGTATAATATATTGTTGAGCCCTTCAGAAGAAGACAAGCAAATGGTTTTTTCTTGCCACATGAGAAGAGGAGGACCCGGCCCCAAACCTACCATCACCTATGAATTAGTGCATTTCGTAGGATACTTCAGTGAGTTTATTTTGATGTTTCAAATTCTGTTATAACATTCAGTTTTTCAGTTGTTACCATCATCAGGAGAAGATTGAGACTGTTTTGATCTTCTCCTGAAGATGCAACATAGTTAGCGAAACACGTATCGAGGCGTTTAAAAAATCGGTTTGGTTAGTGGTAAAAACATGTAGTGTTATATGGATTAGGTTCGGTTAATTTCGATTTGTCGATGCCTTTCCATATATTGTGCTTATATATTATATTCTCTCGTCCTCACTAAGTGAGGTATCTTTGTATATATAACCTGTCTCGTCATATAGGCCCATGAACACGTTGCAGTGGTTTAACTTCGCGATAAATATCAATTAAAACTACCTGCATTTAACTGCGTAACATTTATCGTAAATACCATGTACGACTGCTACAAAACGAACCTTGCAACTGCATTTTTCGTCCTTTGCCAGATCAAGACCGACGTGGAACACGTTCATTTAATAAACCACACAGGTTATTCGATTTTGTATTCACGAGACTTGAGACCACGCAGTAGGTGGTATTTGCAATAATCCAGTACCGTAACTAAGAACATCAGTATACAGACACTATAGCCTATACTGTCGAGCCCATAGCTAGACAGCATTTACTAGGTCTGAGTCGTAGGTATTTCTCAACACTAAAATACTCTACAAAAATTATAGTTTGATTTTTGAAAACATCACCAAACCAATTTGAATGTTGAAAAACTCAAAATGAAACTGTGAGTTTTTGTACTATCCCTAACTCATCATGTGGATCAGTGAAGTATATGTTAGGTGATGGAAAAGGCTTTGTGTATTCTTTTTGGTTCAAGCTATATGGTTCAAGCTATTCAGAGCCTGGATTCAACCTCAACCTGATGGTAATACTTTATTGCATGAGTACCGTAATGTACCTATTGTGAAATATATTTTCGTTTGGTTCTGATCCAAACATGTTGGAACAATAGCCTGTTACCTTCAAGAAGAGCTGGACAGACCAAGGCTCCTCTTCAACCTTATGACTTGAGTAGAGTAACCAACGTTCCTTATCTCATCAATGTCGTTAATTCCATAAAAATTCTTTGTATACATTGCAACTATGTCCTTATGTAATCTTATATATGATGTTGTTTCTGAAACATTATTTTTTGTACACTTAGTATTCAAATAACTTCCTCAACGTTGTATATTTTGTTCATTATCTTCTTAGCTTTCCATAGTTTTACGGGATTTCAACATTCTTATTTTGCAAAAAATGTTAATTTCAACTCTTGGAAAAGATACCTCTCCGTCTTTATGGAGTTTACATATTTTCGATAGGTAGGTTGAATATAGGAATTCTGTACTATTAGTTCCTCGAGAAGATTCTCGAAAGTCTCCTCTAGAGATTCTTGATTTTCACATTTCCACTATCTGCTTAAAACTCGAGGAGTTTTATATGTATCATGTTGAATAAGTCAAAGAAGCATCTTGAACTATAATAGAACCTCAAGTTGTACGATGAATTGAGAAAACCCAATCAGGTTTCGAAAATGTTTCAAGGTCCAAAGGGGATCAAAATACTGAAAACCTCGTCTCATGTCCTGATAGTCAGACACACATGTATCGATGATACAAAATAACGTATTGAGAATAACATAATATAGGTAAACTATCAGATGCACCACCATAATTCTTGCTCAGGTCATCTCTGAAATCTAATTTCCACAGGATCTGACGAAGATATGATTCAGAGCGACACTCGATACAGTGGCTACTCAGAAGAAGCAGACACGAGGTACGTATTTTTTTTTATTGACCCTGCCGTCACTAGATGAAAATCCATAGCAAATTTGAAAAACTCCACAAACGATAAGATTTTCACAGAATTCCCAACAACACGACATGATTCGCTAATACAGTAGATATCTCAAGTGAAATACTCGTACAATAAAATAAACAAAACATAAATGAAATAAACATCGGAACATATGATTTTTTCATGCGCAGATATTGAATTCTGCCTTTTGTTAGGTTCTCTGTACTTTGTATATTACCTCTCAATGAAATAACTGATTATTATTATCATTAACTTACATTGACTTGAACAACTTTTATATCCTATACTTTCCTAACCTAAAAATTAAAATCAACTATGAAAAATTTAGCAGACCCTTCATTTTCAGAAAGTAGGCACAATAATCTACATTCAAATTCGGAGTACCTAATAGTTTAACTTGAAAGGGATGATAGCTCATTTTACCTACGGAGAAAACAAATTCAACAGCAGTAAATCATTGTCAACGTAGACATCGATAATTCACCGTTGTTGAATTTGTTTTCTTAGTAGGTATTATGTGCTTTCATCCCTTCCAATTTCCTCCGATATAGGCACACCGAAGTGTAGATTATTGTGTGTACAGCTTGACCATCCTAGCTTGGCCGCTGAGAATTGGATGCGCAGTAGACCAGTCGACGGAGTGAAGCGAGATCTCATTATTGTCGAGAAATTGGTTCAGTGAACATCGGTCAGAACAGTGTACGATTGTACATACACATTGTACTTGTACATTTCCACAGGTCATTTCAGGCATAGAGGTTCGGAAAGTAGGATATTAAAGTTAGGCAAGTCAATGTGTGTTTAGTATTTCAAGTGAAGAAGCCACTGTTTTAGCGAAACATGTCGTGTTGTTGAGATTTTTTTTGCCTGCCATATGAAAAAGAATCATATCAACCCTAAAATTATAACGGGAAGTAATGTTTATCCTCCCTTGGGCATCTTAACTCATAACAACACGATTTTATAGTTTTTCACTATCTAGACACCTTTGACTGTCACTTGCTTGATGCGTATTTTGATGTTTCACATAAATAAACTTTGGAATCAGAGAACAGTTATATAATCAGAGATTTTTGATGTATTGTCCGTATCTTCTGTGTTTTCGGTAGGCGAAATTCAGATGTGTGTCAGATATGGAGGAAACGCTTAAGCAGCCCATGTAACACAACATACTATTGATGTGAAAATCTGATCGTTTGTGGAGTTTTTCACATTCACAAGGTACCTACTGAGTTGAACGCAGAACACCATTATCCTATCCTCCAAACTAATAGCGAGTTCGATGGGCAGGAACTGGTAGAGTTTTTCTCCACTAAATGTATATTCACCTCTGTTCAACACATGCTAGTAAGAAGGAAACATATACATTGGCTGCAGATAATCTCAACCACTTTCTGCCAATGACATTCGCTATAATACGTTCACGTTCCAGATTAGTATTCGTCGGCACTGGCAGAATACAAACCCCTCAACTCATCAAAGAGATGCCCCTGGTGGACTCGGTGAAAAGCGAGTTCAGTTCCAGACATAGCCTGGAGTGGAAGTTCCTGTTCCTGGACCACAGAGCACCGCCCATAATCGGGTACTTGCCCTTCGAGCTGCTCGGTACTTCAGGGTACGACTACTACCACATCGAGGACCTAATGAAAGTCGTGGATTGCCATGAGGCCCTCATGCAGAAGGGCGAAGGGACTTCTTGTTACTATAGGTTTTTGACGAAGGGGCAGCAATGGATTTGGCTGCAGACTAGGTTTTTCATCACATATCATCAGTGGAATTCCAAACCCGAGTTCATTGTCTGCACACATAGGGTTGTGAGGTGAGTAGACATCAAGAAAAATATGAACAAATTTTGCAGACATTTTTTTTTCTGAAATTGCTCAAGAGATTTACTTGTTTGGAGCAACTCCAGACCCCGAAATACGCACCCAGGCAAACGGTATCAGAAACGCCATCTCGTTGCAAAAATCTAGTACCTAGTTGATTTTCTCATCGTAACCTTTGTTTTTTTGGGCACTCCATCTGAATTTCAAGTTATCCAACAAAATTTGTTGGTGCCTGAATTTTTCACGATCTCGCTAGCTTGTTCCGGCCAAATGTCTTCCTGCCCCTTTAAGGCAGGCTCTCTATAAAATGACTTTCTTCATCACCTAAATCAAAAAGCCATTACCACCTCTCACCCAAGAAAAAAATTCTCGATGCCCCTGTTTTGGCAATAACGATAGGCAGGAAGCTATATCTTACTCTGATTCGAAATGACAAGCTTGCAATGTCTTTTTGTCAAAAAATCTGTGTTTTGCTTCTCATTGAGTTTAGAGTTGGATAGAAGAAACCATGATAGAAGTAACATTGAATTTGCACCTAATGAGGCATAAATATTGCATAAAATATCAAAAATCCACATATTTATTACTAGAACTGCACCATAGCAAACGAAATACAGCAATAAAATAGGTCCGAACTCATATATTTCCGGCAATGCAACGAAACATTGAGATATCTCTCCGAAATAACACTAATGTAGGCGCAAAATAAAAATTGTTGCAATTCTTTTTCGAATTGTGACCTATTTAGCGGATTTTTTAATTTCAAATTTCTGATTTTCTAATTGTTGCTATTTCACAATTTTCTTCTATGAATAAAATTTCTAAATTGTATCTGTCGTTGTCCTCTGGAGGGGGATAATTAACCCCTCTACCCCCCTTCTCAGAACCGCCCTTGATATATTATGCCTTCGTTGACGGGGTATTCCCGTTTCCTCACCATTAGCTGCAAAGCTTACTCAATTCAAGGAGCCAGTATGTTACTATTGACCATACTATCTCTTCAAAACGAACAGTCACAATTGGAGTACCTCAAGGCTCCGTGTTGGGGCCTGTCCTTATCATATTATACTTGAATGATTTGGATGACATACCAGTCCATTATTCTCTCACTATGTATGCGGATCATACGTCGCTGATCATCTCAGATGAATCAGACAGTCTACTATGACATAAATGTAATGAGACTTTTTTGATTGTGGAAGATTGGTTCAATGCAAACTTCCTGAGTTTGAACATGAATAAAAGAAAGACGATGAAATTCCATAATCTTCAGAAAACCTGTACCGGTGTGAACATATCTACAGATAATCACTGTGTGAACATTGTTCAAGTAGTCAAGTTCTTAGGGCTGGTCGTGGAGGAGTGTCTTACATGGAATTATCAGTGCCGAATACTATAATCCAAATTGAATTCTTACCCAGATCAATTCAGGAATCTCAAACCATTACTTAACTTTGACCAACTCCTGAAATTATATTATGCACAAATAGAGTCCAGACTAAGATACGGAGTATATACGCTTCTGGGGCCTATCTACCGCATTATCAGATGTTTTTGCACAGAAACAGAAACATATTATACGCACACTCGAAGGAATATCAAAACGATTCTGCAGTGTTGCAGTGTGATTGGTCAGTTCAAGGCCAATAGGCGTGTCGGGACTAAGACGTCGCACCAGTCACACCAATGAATTGACAAAATTTCAAATGGCGTAGGAATTGTGTGTTTTGAAATGGACATATTCTAATTTATTTTTTTCATCGTCTTAGCATCAATAAAAAAATTCAAAATGAATTCACTGGTTGTTTTACAGTATAGAGTTCACGATAATGTCGTTTCAAAAAATCATTGGTCTCCCCCATTCTGTCGTTATATGTATAAAAATCGAAATATCTTCAGGATTCAAGGTCAAAAAGATCACTTTCATATTCCGTTCAGTTATACGGAAATTCATTATGATTCTTCTATAGCAATGGCTCCCCGAATTTATAATTCATAACCCGATGAAATGGAAGAAAATGATACCGTTTTCGGTTTCAAAAGATCATTAAATGATTTTCTAGTGAAAACATGTATTCATTCTATAGGGGAATATGTACTTATGTATAACATGTACATTTTTAATATATTTCAGATGTATAACTGTTTAGTTTCAGGTAATTTGTGTTTGTTTTTTTTTTAACTTACCTAACTTTTATATCTGCTTCACCTGTAATGACGAATCCAACGCAATTCTCAATTGTCAGATGAGAAATAAGGATAACATTATCATTATTATTGAATTCATATAATTCCAGTCTCGACTCTGCGGCCTCCGACGCCACGCAGAGTCGTGCTAGATAAAATCCAGTGACTACTCCCAACAGCATGTGGGGGGAATAATCACTGGGACCAAGAACGCAATGATCCAAGTATGACGGCCTTCTGCATTCCACCTACCAGGATGTATGCCTTATCACTGCATGCTGAAATTTTCTGGATTTCCGAGAGCAGCGTATGTCGTGTGCCCCCTAGTGAACAGATTATCAGGATGACCAATTCCACAGAATGGTCTAGATAGAACTGGCGGAGTTCGAAGAGAAGATTTCGATATTTAGTGCGTTTCTCCTCCTTCAAAACGATGTTCGGTTCGGCTGGTGCCGAAAACTCGATCACGAACATCGCTTTAGTTTGATGGTCGAGGAGGAGTACATCAGTCTTGTTAGCTTGTATCTGCCTGAGGTTGGGGAATGAGAAGTTCCAATAAATTCGGCACCTTTCATTTTCTACAACGGACTCAATATCCCCCGGAGCATAGGGCAGAACTGGTGTCTCGTCTCTTCTGTACGAGTGCCTCAAATGATAATAGAGCAATCGTAATGCCACATTGTGTCTATGAATATAGGCCGAGACTGCATACACCGTGCAAGAAGACAGCAGGTGCATGATTGTCTCGGGCGCCCTGCGGCAGGACCTGCCATTTGTGTCAGGGACCTCCATACCCATGACACGGCTACGGTAGACAAGAGTGTTAAAAACCCTATCCTGGCATGCCATGATGAACCTTTCTGTTTCCGATTTCAGCCCGCCTGTCTTGAGAAAAGCAAAAGTCAGTTCTTTGGATAAGCCCCGGTCCTCAATGGTCTTGAAGTAGACCGAATGCATGGGCTTATCCATGTGAAGCTATAGGAGCTCTCTCACTCCTGCAGCTTTGATGCGGGCCTTTCTCCGAGCGGGCTCTAGCTCAGTAACTCATTGATATCTTTATTATTATTATGTCTTCCCAGGCTTTCTGCGACTCGCAAGAACTGTAACGTCCTCAAGTGATATTTTCTCTCAATTTCAGTTATACTGACGTTATGAAACAGAGTCGAGAAGAAGAATGCGCTGACAGCTTCGAAGTCCCCGAAGAACCGTCACCTTCTTTAGCTGCCGGCTCCTTGTTGACCTCCCTGACCTGGGACGGAGGGGGCTCCTACAGCGGGGGGAACAGCGATGCAGGAGGTGTGGAGATCAAAAGCAACGTCGGACATTGCCCCAGCTCAGATTGCACTTCCATGTCGGCGGATTCTCCTGAGTCCAGGCAGTCTGAGATGACGCGTAAATCGATGGTAAGCTAATAAGGTTGATTCGAATGTCAACGAAAAAATTGTCTCCTATTATTGGAGCCCTGAGAAGATGTCCCAAGCTCGATAAAGAAGCTGCAAATATAATTCCATATTCTAATATACTAAGTCGCATTAGCTATTTGATAAATGTTTGAAGATACTGTTCAAAAACCAATTTCAATAAAATATCTGCATTATTCGCGATAGAAAATAAGCGTACGCCACCTACCGGAGTTCTTGAAAGCTGTCAAATCAGCATGTTTACTTCCTTTTCATTGGTCCACATTTGTTTTTTGTTTGTGCTTATTGGTTATATCATCAAAACAAACCGCTCTAAAGTGTTAAAGTTGCTGCCGTCAGTTGGAGCAACGTGTTATTTTCTATCGCGAATATAAAAAGACATTGAAAGTACTGTATCGTTTACCATATGATACACCTACAAATCAATTATATAAAATAAGTGAAGCAAAGATTAAAATCCAATTTTATTTCAACACGAAAAAATGGAATTCATGATTAGCAAACTAGACAACATTGTTTATTTCATCCTGATATCGCTAATGCTTCTATAGGCCAAAAAATATTCACCCACGCTGCTCTGTGTAATATAAAAAAATTCAGAAATACAATTGAATTCAAAAACGAACTTGAAAAATGTATCACTTCTGAACGGAATAGATGATTTGTTTTCCTAATTTTGATTTTCATATTCAACTCACTCAGCTCACCACTATGAAATGATTTGTCAAAATTGAATACTCAATGTATTCAAATATCCTATTATTTATGAGTTTATTATAATTGTATAGTTTAAGGTGATATAGTTAGCTATACTACATAATATCAGAGCTTGATTCTTACTGGAAGTCACATTTTCAATAAATAAATAAATAAATGAGTAAATGAATGATAACGCATTCAGTGGACTATGTAGTGTGTTTGAAGACATTAAGACTCCATATAGTTATTGATACGTATATATTCAAAAATCTTATGGTCAGGCAGGCAAACAGTTACTGATAGTTTGAAATTGCTTACATTTTGGATTCAACATTTCGGGCATGTCCTAATTTTGACGAATGAATCATAATTTCCGATCCCGAAAACTCCCACTTACAAACTTTGAATAGAATCGGATTGAATCGAATCGCATCATGATTATAAAACTCGTCCGCCATATTGGATGTGCTTCCTTGAATTTACTAATTTTGACAAAGAAATCATAATCCCCGATCCCGAAAATCTCAAGATATTAATTTTGAATGGAGTCGGATCATAATTACAAAACTCCTCCGCCAGATTGGATCCACCATCTTGAATTTACCAATTTTTCTAAAGGAACCATAATCTTCGATCTCGAGAACCCCCAGATACCAATTTTGAATAGAATCGGATCATAATCATAAAATCCGCCATATTGGATCCACCATCTTGAATTTCCTGATTGTAAATAGTGTAACTTATTCTGGACTCTCTTTTATATATATATATACAATATATAGATTTATTACGTGTAAAATTTCGGAATTATCATCGGAACTATTGTTCTTCTCAAATGTAGTTCGCCTAAGTTGAATTCATTTTCTTTCGCGGTGATCAAACGTTCGACCTGTCTGACCTTAGGACAAGATCTACAGTTGAGTTTGTATACCTCTGATTTATGGAATTTAGAAGTTTTGTCTTTATCATTTCTGATAAACCGTCGCAACGTGTTATTTGTTCTATAGGCAACTTTGAAGTCCATTTTATGTAAAAATAATCATTCCACTTATTTACTCAGAAATCCAGGACTAGTCACACTTCGAAATCAGCGATGAGTCAACTCCAAAATCAGCCGGCACAGCATCATTTACAAGCGCAGCAACCTTCTATACAGATGCATTCGGCTCCAGCCTCATTGCAGACTTCACAGTTCATGGAACCTTCGCAGTACGTCGCTGCGATTCCAGTACAACCTCTGGTTGCCAGTTTCCTTCCATCTGAGATGATATCACCCTCACCGGTAAGATAATCAGTGACGATAACATTCTAACATGCAAAAGAAAACGAATATGTTATGGAATGGTTGATTGAATTATTGTCAATTTTGACAACATTACTATAGCCTGTCTAATAGCACAAAAAATCACTAATACTTGCGATGGATGATCATCTATTCAACTGGACCAGTATTTCCCTTCCTCTCCAGTATACTTCACCTTATCTCTACTGAAATTTGCATTTTGACTCAGCCCGTTACCATCGAGACAAGATAACAACGGATACTCGCAATCTAGCTACATGTCATTTTTCAGCAACCTAGGGTCAATGATGGAAGTAAGATATGGTGTAATTACTGATGCGCTTTTGTTTCAGAAATTTTACTCGACCTCTCGAGAGCAGCGAGAGCAATATGGTTCCGTTGATCTTCTAATAGATGGTGACATTGCACAATTATGACTTCTCTCAGTTTTGAAATTGTCCCAGATTTTTCGAATTCAGAGTTGTTTGATCCCACTGTTACATATGTTCCGCGTACCTAAAATGGCATTTGCCATCTTATTTCCACTCGTCACAGCAGCAATAGCAGCATCACCATCTAGCGGGAAAATGTAAAATCAACGTCTCGCTCGTTGTGAAATCATAGTAGGCCGGTCGAGTGATTTTCCTGAAATTTTCAATGCGTAATAATGGCCGAATGCGTGCACCATATCTTACTTCCATCATTCTAGGGTCCCTTGATGCAATTTGACGTATTTGTCATCTTGTCTCCTCTCACTCTAAAGTGTTTGTGAAACACTTATATAGTTCCATCCTTATTCAATTCTGGGGATAAACACTAGATTTTTTTAATCATATTGAGGTCATTGGCGTATCATACGTAATTTCCATATGGAATTCCTGATTCAAATATACCAAGATATAGAGGAACAATCATCTAGTTTCAGAGTTTACTTCTCCAGTATAATATCCTTGCAAGGTAGGGAACATATAAATTGTACTAAAAGCTTAATATATTTCACCAAAAGAAACTGTTATTAAACTGTATACCAGGGTTGACTGAATTGACTGAATGAATTCTGATTTCAAGCTGAGCAGTAGTTTATCTATGAGCTGAATGAGCTAAGAGTTATGATTGAGAAATGGTGAGAACCTCGATGTGGTTCTACAACTGTACTCATGTCATGTGTGCTAAATATATTTTCGGAAATCCAACTCGGAGAAGAATTTATGGAGTGACTAATATTACACTATATATAAAATTTCGTCTAGGACGAGAAGTAATACGTAAAATGTGCAGGAAAGTGAAGAATAGAATATACCATGTTAAACATATGATTTTTCCGTCTCCCTTAAATAAAGAGTCATTTTCAAATAGTTTATTGATTGAAGTAACAAAGAAGTAGGTATATGCAGTATAACTTATAGGCACGTTATTTTCACTCTTGCATCCTACATATTTTCTATTTGTGGTAGAGTAATGATTATATAAACTAATGTCTCTCGCCCTATTTGATTTGTCATCTCGAAAGAAATCCCCGAGATACCAATTTTTGAATAGAATAGGATCATAGTTACAAAATCCGTTCGCCATATTGGATCTGTTTTCTTGAATTTCCCAATTTCGCCAAAAAATCATAAAGTTCGACCCAGAAATCCCTCAGATACCAATCCTAAATAGAATCAGATAATAATAAGAAATTTCATTCGCTATATATTGGATCCGGCGTCATCTCGAATTTTCCAAGTATGACGAAACAACCATTATCTCCAACCCCGGAAAACCCCAGATACCTTCAAATTTTGAATAGAATCGAATCATAATTACAAAACTCGGTCGCCATATCGATCTTCCTCAACAAGTAAATACCCTGTACATACCTATTATTGAAATTTTGAATGTTTTTCTGTAGTGCCCATGGATGCGACGTGATAGCAATGTCAGGGATGCCAGTAGACAAAACTAAACTCTCTAGATCATTGAAAAAGAATGCAGCTATGATCTGTCCGTACCCTGTTAAGATGACTTCAACGTCAATTTCCATCAAGGGACCCTACAGCAACCCTCCTTCAAAGGACGAATGAGTCTAGATTGATCCAGTTGAATCGAAAATTCAATAATTCAAAGCTATATAGCGTCATAATGCCTTGTAAAAAACATAAAAGAGAGATAGGACCATCGATATGGCTTCATATGGAGAAGAGACAGATATAAAGATTCACCCAACATCTGCTCGTTGCCTCTCTCTCTATCTCGGTTCCTTTAATTTCAGAGGAAAAATTGAGTTTCCATACAGCATTTGTCGTTTCCTCATGTAGCATGCAGTCACAAAAATGTTTCTTGTCTGTGTCTCGTCTATTACTAGCGTTTATAGACCTCAAATCAACTTCTGCTCAACAAAGATGAACTTATAACCAATTGCATTCGTAAACCTGGTGGTACACTGGTTTTGCACTAGTTTCGCACCCGCACTACGTCAGTTCTCTCCAAAATGTAGACTGGTGCATCCTCAATGGATTACGAAATAATATTATAATAAAATTATTGTAGGTTGTTGAATCGGATAAGTTGGTTTGTCTTCGTTTATAATTTTTCCGCATCCTGAAATTCTTCCTTAACCTCAATTGAGAACAAAGTAAATGTTTCATGAAAATAGTTTGAGTACTTTTTTTGATAAGAACCTCTTCATCATTGAATTTGCAAAATACTTTTAACTAAATTATGAAGTAATCTTCTCTATTTTCTTGAAACCTCCAAGTATGCATCACTATTTGATGATGATAATTCAATTGTCACTAATAATTTGGTTTCTAAACTATGGATATTCATTGTTTCCGTCATTTCCAAAACTGCACTACTATGTGAACCAGTTTTCCAATAAAATTCAAAACCCGACACCAGTTTCACTAATGGAATACAAAATATACTCAGTGCGAGCCAGTTTCACCAATGGGATTCGCTATCAAATGAAGATAAAATCGATTGGTACAAAAGTGCAATTAAAAATTACAATCGTACCATGATGATTCTTTCTATAATGATGGTAGACCATATCGAGAGTGAAAGCAACATATGAATCCATGATTATTATTCGAAGTATGGAATAGTGTCTGTGTTTCCAGTTGACTAAACTCTCATTCTTTTTGTCGGAAGATCACAACATCATTGAGCAATTTCGGTTCAAGTACGCCTTTGAAAAGCTTGATTCCTTCGGTTACAGTAGTCACTGTTCAGATATTAACAATGCTCTATACCAACAGGTTGACAATGCTCTATACCAACAGGTTGACAACTTAGCATTATCACCTTCCCAAACACAACTACAGGCAGAGTTACAGAGGAAGCATGCAGAACTCCAAGCGATGATTGGCCAGCAGCAACAGGAACTTCGCCGAGTATCGGAACAACTTCTGATGGCTAGATTGGGTCTACTTCAAGGATCTCAGCCTCAGCCAGTAGTAGTGAGTATCAGACCTGTCAGTGTTGTAAAGAATCACATGATCACGAGATAAAACTCTAGATATAATACGTCAAGAATCCTCATTCCTAAGGAATTGATATAATTTTGCTGGAATAGGTGGAGCAATTAGCTGAGTTTGTTGTGCAATATGATACTGGTCTAACAGTGTTGTTTCCTCGTCGCACTGCTTAGATCTTTCAATTTTTCACAGGTACCCTCTTGTATTCTCTTATATCAACATTTTCTTGATAGAGTTGATAGCTGATATCACTTTATCATTAATAGCTCAGTGTTTTTCGGCATTATCTGAAGATATCATCTTATCCATCGTTTTTCCATTTATATTCTGATCATTCAGCAGATAGACTAACAAGTTCTAATAACTCACATAGCAATAACTTGATGTTTATACTACATCTTAATGAACTTCTTGCAATATGCTATTATTGATATACATTCATCGACGAAAAAGAAACGTTTTTCAATGAAAATATGATTCGATACTGATAAATCAAATTCATATTATTACTGTTATATGGAATAATCCTACGATTCAGATTCTTGTATCTCTAACAAATTCTGTGTTAGATGTTGGATCACTTGACTTCTCCGATTTGCAATGTCCATCCCCATTCTCAATATACACATATAACTCGTTCTGTATATTGGAGAACGGATATTATATCGAACTTCACAAAGGACATCATGAAATATCGATAAACCTCGAAAAGGAACTCTTCTTCTCGGCCCCACAGTTGTCATGCAACTAAATATTTTGACTTCTCTGATATTTGATGTTGATCCTCACCTCTAGCAAACACAGATTTTGTCCTTCAAATGGAATGAAAGTGTTTGATCCATTGGGTGTAGAGTCAATGACGGCTAAATAGACTGTCTGACGGGTTATACCTCGTCAGACAGTCCATTTAGCCGTCATTGGTAGAGTTTCATCTATAAGCAACCTGTACGTATGCACTTACCTCAGTGGTATCGAAGATTCCCAAAAAAGCCAATTGATGGAAACTAAGAGTGGTCAAATTGCTCTGAACCGCCTTACAGTTCAATTACTATGAACCAAATGAAATGAGTTCAGAGTTGCTCAATCAATAGAAGATGCAAAATGACAACTATTACTATATTGACAACAAGATCGGAAGTTATAGTTAGTAGTAGAAGTATCATAAAAAAAATTATGAATTCATCAGAATGTTTTCAATAGTGAAGGAATTTGTTGAAATAGTGCTAATCCTTCCAAAGTCACGAAATCTTGTGGCTATATGAATTATTGTCAGCATTTTACTCAATGTTATGTGAATTATTTCGACGGACTTTGCACTATTGCCTGATTTCAGGTTTCATATCAAGGAAACAACAGCAGTACTGTTACCAGTACCACATCATCCGTTCAAGGTGTCGCACAATCTACAGGTTCAACTTCCATGATGGTACCCGTATCTGTTGCAACGTCACACCAAATTCAGCATCAGCAGAATGTGATGTACAATGTTCCAGATTCGAATACCCAGTCCAATTGAACTTTCATGGATAATTTGTCGTTTTGGTGTGTGACTGTGTGTATATTTTAGTGTTGATGAATGGAAGATTATTTATTGATGACTCGCAGTTTTTCACATCTAAAAAAACTTTCGTACTTCCGTCTGATAATAGTTTTGAATTGTTATTAATGACCATAATGACAGTTTGAGGTTGAATGATTTGTTATATTATATACTTGTACTTATATTTATTTGCCACTGATGTTGAAGCATGATCTGTTTTTGATGTAAATAATAATTGAATAGATTTAGTGAGAACTCTGGATGTTTCATTATACCATCTATACTTGTGGAAAAAATAATATCAGTTTGCGCAAAAATACCGCATAGAAACACTCGATTTGTATATTTTTATTTTTTGTATGTTCTGGTTTCCACGAAAAGGGATATCCTGCAATGTTCTGAGACCATCGTGAGAACCAAGAGAAATAAGGTAGGAATATGCCACAGGAAACACCTCCCTTGGCAATGTGTGCCAGAGTCTCGCTGTTCGTTGGATGAACGAGTCTTCGGACAGAGATGTTCTGCAGGTCTCCAAAGTAACCACGAAGGGGTGCGAAGCCTCAACTCGCCTTGTTAATCTCGCGGAACACTGCCAAGAGAGGAACAATTGTTGATATTCCAGAAGAGCATCGTCCATGGAAATATCTATAAAATAAAGCCAGATCGCCAACTCTTCTACGGTGTTCCAGAGAAGTGAGTGAGTTTCTGAGCGAGGCATCATCCACGAGACGAATTGTCCTTTTTTTGGACAAAATCCAACAGTTTCAGGGTATGTTTGGGTGCTGCACTCCCAAATATGGGAACAGCATTCCATGACAGGTCGGACCTGTGCCTTATAGATCATAAGCAGCTGACTGGAAGTGTAATAGCTCCTGGCCCGAAACGGAAAACCAAGTTTTTTCGATGCACTTTTAGTAATTGATTTCACGTGATTATGGAATGCACTTTTAGCAATTGATCTTACGTGATTTTCCCAAGAAAGGTTATTGCTGATAGTATTACCAAACATCGAAATGGATGTCTTCAAAGGTATGGTTACTCCTGACAAGCTTATGTTGGGCACAGTGAGATCGGCTTTTCTAGAGAAAAGGCATGCTTGTGTTTTGTTTGCATTGAAATCTACCAAGTTATTGGATCCCCATTCGAGAATTGTTGCCAAATCCATATTTATGTTGTCAACATTTCTTCCTCGTTCGTTTCTGATTTGCCTGGCTGGTATTGAAGCCCTGGAAGAGTAGGCGGTATGGAGGGTACTATCATCCGCGAAGCTGGGTACTGGACATGAAGTTGCTTCCAACAAATCGTTGGTAGGGAGAAAAAATAGTGTTGATGCTAGCATTGATCCTTGCGGAACACATGCATTTATGATAAGAGAGTCAGATGAAACTCCGTCGACCACTACATGGAGAGACCTGTTTGAGAGAAAACTAGCTAGCAGACAACATTCAGCTGGGGTGGCAAACCATATAAGATGGAAGCTTGGTGAGGAGTCCGTGGTGCCAGACTCGATCGAATGCCTTGGAGATATCAAGTGCCACTGCTGAGGTTTCACTATATTTTTCAATAGATTGCTGCCATATATGTGAGACGTAAGCAAGCAGGTAACCAGTTGATCTCTGATGACGGAAGCTATATTGCCTATCGTTGATAATGCCTGAATGTTCCAGTTATTTCATGAGCTCTATGTTGATAGCTTTCTCCATGATCTTTGAAATAATAGATAGCAGTGCGATCGGTCTGTAGTTGCTAGGTAGGGTCTTTTTGCCTTTTTATAGGAACTGGTTGTACTCTTGCAATTTTCCAGTTGGACGGAAATATCCCCAATTTGTAAGAGTAGTTGAACAACTTGCAGAGAACAGGTGTTAGTTCGGGAGCACATTCCTTCCTAATCGAATGATTGCAGCATTCGCCTCCAGTTCATGCTGCAAACTTCATTCATTCCATTCAGTTAGAACTGCATCAATGTATTTTTTCTAGGTGTAATTTCGACTGAATTGATAACAAATGGCAACTTTGCTTCTATAAATAAACCCCGTATCACGAATACTAACGAATGGTACAACGGTACCAATATGGTTCCATAAGAAAACATTGTGATTTGTCTTAAAAACCGTAGCCGTAGAATAATTATATTGTATAACTCGCACGGAATGCTAATTTTCCACTGGAATGATTGCTCGAATGATGAAACTTCATTCTCGTGGGAAATCACTATCACTCCGTGCTAGTTTAACAATATACTATTGACAAACTAGTTACTATTCAGTTAGAACTGCATCATTGTATTCTTTCTAGGTGTAATTTCGACTAAATTGATAACAAATTGCAACTTCGCTTCTATGAATAAACCCCGTATTACGAATATAACGAATGGTACAACGGTACCAATATTGTTCCATAAGAAAACATTGTGATTCGGCCTAAAAACCATTTTGATGAATTCAATTTGGTGATTAAACAAAAAATTTGACGTTTATGACAGGATTAAATGTTTCTGGATCGATAGGAGTGAATCAGAATAGCCACCGTACACTTAGATGGAAAATCAAAATCGAAATCAAAATCAATATTGAAGTTTGAAATGTTACTTTTATGATAGCAATGTATTCAGAAAATGATGCAAAATTCGAAAATGAAAAGTTATTCAGAGTGCTCCATTAAGAAATCCAAACATATTATTACTTCCGGTAAAACGAGAAGTAAAAATAGAACATATGATTCAAGTCAAAACTTGACGTTTATCAAGTGGATGGAGATGTACCATGATACTGTTACACCTGGTATAGGTACTTTTAGAGGTCTAAGTATACCTACGCCACTGGGCTATGATTTGTATGTTATATTGTGATCTTTCATCATTGATAATCTGATTGCCTAAGTGTGTAAAACTAGATAGTTACACTATAATATTAATGTCGAATAACTCCTATTAAATTGTCATTACTGCTACCTCTAAACATCGTGATCTGATAACAGAGTTGACTGTCGAATTTTTTTTTAACCGAGCAAACACATCAGTGCAAGAATGGTTCTCTCGATGGAAAGATGGGTTGGAAAAGTGGCTATTGTTACTGGTGCCAGCTCCGGAATTGGGGCAGCAATAGCACAAAGGCTAGTAGAAAACGGAGTAATTGTGAGTTCGCAGAAAAACTTGAATTGAAATTTGTTGAAGATAGTTAAGATGTTTCTAGGTTGTTGGACTAGCCAGAAGAAGTGAAGCCATTGAGAAACTCGCTAGGACCCTTTCTGACAAGAAGGGAAAACTATACGCTGTCAAAGCCGATCTATCCAAGGAAGAAGATATCAAGAACGCCTTCAAATGGACTTCTGAGAATGTTGGTCCAGTCCACATTCTGGTGAACAACGCTGGAATCCGAAACAGAACAAGTTTGATTGATGGAGATTCTGAGAAATGGAGAGCCACTCTGAACGTCAACGTTATTGCCCTCTGCATAGCTACCAGAGAAGCAATTCGGATCATGCGCAAGAATGATATCGATGGACATATCATCCATATCAATAGTGTGGCTGGTCACAAAGTACCAAATATACCAAACCTAGATGTTTATTCTGCAAGTAAATACGCTGTTACGTCTCTCACGGAGACTCTCAGGCAAGAAATAAATGCGTTGAAACTGAAGATTAAAATCACGGTATGTTATATCAGGGCAATTCAAGTATTTATCAATTACTGTCGTATAGTAGTGGTTGTCGCAATATTCCTTTGATTTCTTGCCTTCCACTTATGGAGATTCAATGTTGTTATGGTTCATAGAAACCCGGTATTACGAGGTAAACGTATATTTGAGGGGGCTTTGAAAAAAGTCTTTCACGTTTGCCCAATTGTCGATAAGTTTGTTATTCTCGTCTTTGAATATCTACAGGGTGAGTCATGACTAACCAGCCATATCCAGCAATATCACCCTCATAAAGGGCCACAAAACAATTAATTCCTGCTTCTCTAACGGCTTCTGGGGTTGAGTCTGGCCGAAGAAATACTTCCACGTGCTCAGCAAGTGGCCCCGGAGTGTAGTGAATTTGGTCTTCCCTTGGCCAAATGGCGCTGAGGTAGTATCGCACCCGGTGAATGCGTGGGTGAATAGTACCGTCCCTGGTGATCGCTGGTAGTTCTTGTGGTTGTAGGTGTTCGTATAGAGAAATTACAGCAACCAGCTTCGCTCTTCTGAAGGTAGACTGTTTCTGGTTATCAGCCGTTTTTGAGAGAACTGCTCGGCCTACAGATACCAGTCTAGTCTCAAATGAAAGCTAATTGAATTTACTACAACTTCATTCCATATAATATTTGACGTGGAAAGCGTATTCTAGAAGATAATAAAAAAATTACCCATTTTCGAAGAACTGTATATTGGGAACCAATGTCTGTATGGAGCTCGCCTTGGCCTCAAATTATAGCAGATTCAGTTATCTTCAAAAGTTTATGGGGTAACTATGGCGGTCAAACCTTTTCTTCTCCAAGATATTGAGCGAAAACTGAAATAAGTCTGAAAATATCTTGGTTTCTTGGGTATACCGTCGCTCGCACATCACACTGGAAATTGCAAATCTGGTTTCTTAATATTGGTTTAGGTCCTAACAACATATGAAAAATTCAGAATGACCGGACCTTTCGCAAGCACGGATGTACATCTTGATTGGACTATTTATCCACCCGGCAGTAGCCACTACCATTTTATCCACCACCACTCAGGCTGAGATGTATCAACATTATCATGACCGTCAGTCAATATACTTTATGCTGCCAATATACAGTTTTGCTGCTTCAATATTACACTCTTTTATGTAAAAAGCATAAAAATAAACTTAACTCCAGTGCTCTTCATTTCACTGTGCCCCACGCAATTTTCAATTGGCAATTTAGTCGCTTTTGCTCGTTATTCCTGGCAAAACTCTTGGTTCCCATGAGGCTGCCGCGGTGGCCGAAGCATTTTTTCGATTATCATACAACGAAACCCTTCACCACCCGACAATAATATTCATTTTGGACCTGATCTAATTGCTGATTTTGTCAAAGGTTACTCACAGAAGTTGCCCCAGGAGTTGGCCAGAGAGTCAACGTGCCTATTTCACCATAATTATCGTAGGTAATATCCCGAGACCATGACAAATAGTCGACTATTATTTTCTTCATAATTATATCGAGAGTACCTTGTATTTTGACAATTTGATGAGACCATATGAACTTTAATAATCTGAATAACTCCCGAGAGCTTCAGCTCGAGGGAGTTATTCTATGATTATTTATGTTCATATGGTCGAATTGAATTGTCCCAAAATACAAGTTACTCGAGATGAATTAAAGAAAATGATAGTCTCCATTTGTCATGGTCGAGTGATATTCAGGAAGATTATTTCATGAACAGTGTAAAAATGCTGGTTCATATGCGTTTCAACATTTTATTCAAGTTACAATTCTGCAGATACTATTTGAATAAAAATTCTTCTGAAGGCTGTCTTGGGTATTCCCATCATTTCTACGTACAATTGTAATTAATTCATCCAAAGTTATTAGAGCAAAGAAAGAATATCAGCGCTATTGATAGCGTTAATATTCTTTGATAAGAACTCTTGTATATAGTTTTCCATATCAATTTCAACTGTGTATTCCTAATATTCCTCACCATTCTCCTCACCCAATCTTTCAGGATTTGGGCAATCACGAGAGATGTCGTAGTCGCACAAAATTCATAGTCCTGCTGGCAATAAAACATGAATTGTTCCAGACAGACTCTTTACTCTCCTCGTTATTTTCTGACATCGATTTGGTTACATAATTACGGATTTCCGTAGTGGAAGTTGACCGAAAAGGAGACATTTCAATTCTTGAGTGACTGATAGGTATGTCAAAGGGTGACAACCATAGCACTCTTATGCTGGTGAACAGAATAGCCGCTCATATTGTTTGTTTACCTAAATAGCCGCTGATATCGCATATCATGTGACTTCAATCATGACATTTCATATGTCCAGCCGGGTGTGAATGAAATAATCATTACTATTATTATCATTGATATTATGATTACAGAGTATCAGTCCTGGTGTAGTGGACACTCCTATATTTGATGAGGCGTATCGCCAGAAGGAGACAATCAAAGAAACTTTGGCAAATAGATCCCTGAGAGCTGAGGATATCGCTGATGGAACACATTATGTATTATCTACACCTCCACACGTTCAAGTGAGTTATAAGAGATGGAAAAGTTACAATCGTCTCACAAAAGTGTAATTATTACTATCTATGCTGTTTCATATGATTCTAATGTTGCTGACTTTGTATCCATTGTAGAGCTCTAGATTTTGTGATCCTTGCTTTTATTTCAGTCAAAGATTGAGTTATATATCATTTAATCAGACCACAATACAGCTTCAAGATCTGACCTTGCGTATCTCCAGATTACCGTTATATCAAACTTATTGTAATCTGAGAGAATAACTCCAGAGACTCATGTAACAAAGATGATTCAGAGTTATTCTCTCTCTCTCTCTTCCGGTTGAATCTGTCGATGAAATAAATCCATTGAAATTTTCAGGTACATGAGCTGATGATCAAACCAATCAATGAATTGGATTGAATGAAGTTACCAGCAATGTCGAATTACTGTATAGTTCATGTTACTTGTGAGGATTAAATATTATATCAATCAATATTTCCGCTAGTTTCTTATACATAAATATGGACTTGGCAACAATTCTCGAATGCATGCATTCCTTTTCTCCAGAAAAGCCGATCACACTGTGCCCAACAAAAGCTTATCAGGAGTACCCATACTTTTGAAGACATCAATTTCGATGCTTGGTATATTATATAAGCAATAACCTTCCTTGGGAAAATCACGTGAGATCAATTGCTAAAAGTGCACCCCAAAAACTTTTCTGTTTCGGGCCAAGAGCAATTTCACTTCCAGTCAACTGCTTATGATCTATAAGGCACAGATCCAACCTGTCCTGGAATACTGTTCCTATATTTGGGAGTGCAGCACCCAAACATACCCTGAAACCATCTGAAACTGTTGGATTCTGTCCAAAAAAGGGCAATTCGTCTCGTGGGTGATGTCTCGCTCACAAACTCACTCACTTCTCTGGAACACCGTATAGACAAGTTGGCGATCTGGCTCTATTTTATAGATATTCTCATGGACGATGCTCTTCTGAAATATCAACAATTGAATTGCTGGAACAACGCTGTAAACGCCAAAACTGTTTTTTTTTTGGTAAATCGAAAAAAACCGTATATGATCGACTGTTCCATCAAATGAAGTCAATATTTGCCTGATATGGCTAGCAAGGAAGAACTTGACTGGATGATAGGCACAATAGACTTGACCACATGCAGAATTATGATTTATGAGCATATTTTTCTTTTTTCGATCAAACAACGTTATATTATATCCCCGTCGGTTACAACGTTATTCCAGGGTACTAAGGCGGTTACAACGTTGTTTCAAGATCAAAAATAAAGCCAAGTGATCAAAAGAAAAGAATTTTAATTATTATTTAGTTGTGTCATAACTGAGTCTGTCACAGAAACGTCAATTTCTGCTTATAACGACGATAAATTACAGACCCAACACATGTAAACAAAGAAAGGGCGCAGGAAACTAGAAGCCTTGATGCACATACAACGTTGTTCCACAGAATCTCCAAACTTGACTAACCGAAATGACACCAGAAATCACCATAAAAATTTCCTATGCCCCCACTATTATGACAGCGGATTGTTTAGGTCGCATACAACCTTGTTCCATGGAAATACCGCTTTTATAGATCTTGGCGGTTACAACGTTGTTCCAGCATAGGGTTCAATTGTTCCTCCCTTGGCAGTCCCCGCGAGATTAACCCGTCGAGTTGAGGCTTCGCACCCCTTCGTGGTCACTTTGGAGACTTGCAGAACATCTCTTTCCGATGACTCGTTTGACTAACGAACAGCGAGGCTCAGGAACACATTGCCAAGGCTGGTGGTCCCCAAGGCATATAACCTCCAGAAATTCGAGTAGAACACGAATTCCTACCTCGTTTCTTTTGGTTCTTACGATGTTCTCTGAACATTACAGAATATCCCTTTTCGTGGGAACCAGAACATAAAAAAAATACATCCATAAATAAACCGGAAATATTTTTTTGTATTAGAGATATTCCGAAGACGTGCTCTCAAATTTGGAAAAAAAATTCTAGGGACATATAGTAAAGATCACTTCTACCTAAACATTTTATTAAAATATACCTACTAATATATAAATCACAGCATTAATAATAGTAACGATAATTTGAATCTATACAAATAGTTACTTGCTTGAATAATAATCATAATAATACTATTCACTATAAAACGATCCTATAAATAGTGTAGGTTGTACTATCGAGCGAGATTTTCAAACTTTCTTCAAAGCGTCCACCAGTACAGACATTTCTGCAGTTATGTTGTTGACTAGCCTCTGGATCTGGGGTTTAGAATCTAACACCTCAATACTTTGAGTGTAAGCGTTGTATCTAACACCGAACGATCTGGGGATTGTAGCAGCAAATTTTCTGAAAACAAAAAAAAATAATGATGAAGGACCAACACCTTAATTGTTTCAAATTATTCAGTCACAAAAAATTGTCACTTTGAAATAACTGAACATACAAGCTGGAAGCAAATACCGTTTCTACTGTTCATGGTGGCTGAATTCGAAATCATGGTCAAGTCGAGCAATTGTATGCCTAACAAAATGCCGTTGTGAAATTTGAAATATCCCGAATACTTTCAGAGATTTTTGGAAAAAACCGAAAATTGTCGATCTCATTTTAATTTTTTTATGATTTTATTTGAATATTCGTAACAAAACAAGGCACCTATTCTTATTGCTACTTTTTCTGTTCGACAAGATGGTATTATATGAGATTTGAAAACCAACGTTTCGTCTTCTGGCTGCCATCATCCACTTAGTTTTTTATAAATACGGCCGTGTATTTCTTATTATGGATTTCAAGAGCTTTCAATCTCCTGAAATCAACGGTGTATCATACTTATTCGAAAAAGGTGTTCGTTCCTATTAAGAATCTTTTCTCTGTCTCTCTCCAATACATGGGTTCTCATGGAAAATTCTATCAATATGAATTTTTCGAATAAGTGGAAACATATATGGCCATATTTGAAAAAGAAAGCTGATGATGACAGCTCAAAGACGAAACGACGGTTCGAAAATCTGATAACACCATCTTGTAGAACAGAAAAAGTAACTTGTTTTATTATATCTATTTAAATAGAGTAATCAAAACATAAAAATTAAGTCGCGAATATTCGTTTTTTTTTTCAAAATGGCATTTTGTTAGACATACAATTGCGCAACTTGTATTTCTTACGGTTTACGAGATCCTAAAGATGAGGTCGGAATTCCAGCCACCCTGTACTGAAATAAGGCACTCAGTGTGTCTATCTCTAAATAATTACACATGATAAATGAAGACAAAAACATTCAATGCGGAAAAACATCGATTTAGTACGCGACGAGTGGAAAACATTGAAACAAATGAAACAAAGAAAGTGACGTGAAGATATAATGATAAACCTCCATTATTTTCAAACTGTCAGAAGCGCCCCAATGAATAATTCAAAAGAGTTAAATACCAGGTGATAGAAAAATGACATGTATAGCGAATTTTCAATCGATAGCTTTTGTTTTGAGAGAGGTACAAATCTAAACCAACAATTTCAGCCGAATCGAACGAAACTACTATAATACGAAAATAAACATTTGAAATATTCACAACTAAGCAAGATAGTAAGTATGTATACATTTTGTAACTACACCATATTGATGAAGAGATCAAGATAACTGAAATTAGGTCAAGTAGTAGTAGTGTAATTTTTATCTCAGTATAAGTGGTCACATATGCCCACATGGTATCTCATTCACACAACTACTATTAAATCAAGATTGAAACATCTGGTCGTGGGGTGAGGGGTGGAATGAATATTGGACCCCTTGGGTATACAAGGCGCCCGTAGCTATTCCACTGTCAAAAAAATTTTCCTAGAGGATGTTGAAAAAATTATTATAAAATGAGATGTTAACCTGTAGGTATACCGCCAAAATGGACACTTATTCCAAAATCAATACAGTACTTTCCTAAAGTTCTGAATTAATTAATTTTCAGCCAAAATATCTATTTCCGACTAATCTTCTGAAACATGTCGATTGCTAATCTCAACTTGCAACATTCATGAGAGAAAACTAAATATACAGGGTGATCCACGTTTGAAAAGTGACTTTTGCGACAATGTCTTCAAATGAAACACACAATATAATATTCAATTTCACAGTGCGTCCGTTAAACTCAATGTTTTTATGAAGTGGTCGATAAATTCGTAAAAATGTAGGAATAATGTTTGGAAAAAATACACGAAGCCGTCAAATTTGATTTTCATCTATGCATTCTTTCAAATTCAAGTTATATATACCGAATGATTCGTGTATACAAACAATTATACGAACCCTATGTGTGATATTTTTGAATTCAGCTTTCTATGGGGATTTCAAAAATCGAATGATATACATACATACACTACTTTAACGTGGAGAATTGAAATCAACCTGTTTCCGGAGATTCCTCAGAAATGACAATTTAATCAGCACTTTACGAAGGAATGTATATCAGATTTATAATGAAAGCACTCACAACTTGATTTCGAAATTTCGTTGAATTTGTTAATCGCTACTTGGCAGTTGGACAGCAATTTTCCAGAAGTGGAAACTTGTGCGAGGTTAGGAAGATCGGGACCTACAGCTTTCAGTGTATTCCGAATCACTTCTGAGGCGCCAATGAAATAATGATCGATGGGAAACACGGAGGTTATTAGAACAGAAACAACAACATTTTTGTGCAAGAGTGTACATCAAAACGTGATACTCACATCATCTTTTCTTTGGAATCCTCAAAACTCTCAGCAACGTAGTAGAGTGGTTGGTACTGAGTGATTGGATATTTTTGAACGGACGTTTTGACCGGATCGAATGGCCTGACTTCTGGTTGGTCGCTGAGAGAATACTGCAATTCTCCAAAACTGGATAAGAGACCGGCTCCATACGCCTTTAAATGTCCATTCTCCCGACACAAACCAAACTCGACGGTAAACCAAAAACACTAAAATAAATAAATAAATACATAAATTCTGGTGGTTGATGCTAGATATGAGTGAAGCAGATATTCCAGTATGTATTTGCAAAAATCATAGAGAAAGTAAAGTCTTTTACTTGCACATGGAAGATGATTTCGATATGCGCCAGACATTTATGTCAAAATTTTGTTTCTTGATAGAGCTATTGATCATCATAAACGCACTGATGATTCAGTGATTATTATGCCAATTTAGTAATTTGATGATTATTTCATATTTTGATAAGATAATCTGGTGATCCTTGATAGCTACCGGATGACCAGTAATATTCTGACTCATCTCCGAAACTGTTCGAAAGTTCTTTTACCATTTCAATAAAACTTCCGGTTCTACCGTAAACAAACATGCCATTTTTCAGTTATAGGGCAACTATTTTCTTTCATGAAAAATCACTTTGTTCATTCCTGCACACTCAGAAAGATTGTGATTTTCTTTTTCTGATAATGTGTCACAAGTAATGTTTTTCTCAGAAAACTGTCACAGCTACAACTCTTTGAAGCAACTACAACATGTGGGTGGAATAATGCAATGTTATCAAAGTCACCTATGGAAATAATTTCCAGAATTCTGGTCATAACAGATGAAATGCCAGATTAGATAGATAGATGTGCCAAATAAAGATTGTCGAGCATTCGTAGAATTTTTGCCGAAACCAAATCTTATCAAATCACGAGAAGAAGAGTCAGAATTATATTCAACAAAGATCCTCCAGTGAAAAATTCAATAAAAACAAAAAGTAACCCCAATAATGTGAACCGGCTCAATAATGCAACTGAAATCCTGGGGAGCATGCAAAAAGATTCCAGTTTATCTACACGACGAATTTCTGCCATCACAGGTATTCCGCAAAACACAGTTCACAAAACTATGTACGAAGAATTAAGATTGAAGGCATCTGAAATCAAGATACTACAGGAATTCAAACCAGTTATTTTGAGAAATCTGAATCAGTGTTACACTCAATATATGCATACGGTAATAAGCATTTCAGGAAAACATCATAATATGCAGTAGTTGCTTCAAAGAATTATATATCTGACAGTCTTTCTGAGTGTACTTATCAATCAATCGAACAAGCTCTATTGTCCAAAGTGTTAACTCATTGACAAAGCATGCTACAACTTAACAATAATTATTCATAATGATATTCATAATTCGTCATATAGAATAATGGTAATAACAATAATGTGAAAAATAAGCATAATATATTATATCGAAATATATCATTATCTCGTCATTAGATATATGAAAAAAACGAACAGAGAAAAAACAAAACGATATTTGACAAACTACAACAACAAAATCTTGAATATAATAGTTCTCACATGCCTAATAAAAATATCTAACATATCAAAAGGTATCATTGTAGTATTCTGAAACACTATAGTACGCTTTTATTTCCAGTTGTTTCTTCAGTTTATGCTTCAAGGTTTTCAGATTCGCAACATTACGTATCTCTTGTGAAAGATGATTGTAAATTTGTATGCTTCCATATATAAGAGAATTCTTTGTCAATGTATACAAAGGAATGGATAATTGTAGATTGGTTTTTTGTCTGGTATTATGAACGATTTCTGGAGCTGAGATACTCGACCCATACTTCTTGTGAATAAGGCACGCAGACTTTATGATGATGACATTGTACACTGTTTCAATTTTATGCAGGGTGAAGAGTTGGTTACGTGACCGGTTTGTAGCCTGACATAGGTACCAAACAGTTCTCTTCTGTAGGACGAACACTGAGTTCAATAATTGATCTGTGCAAAAACCCCAGAAGGCAATACCGTACGTAATATGCGATTCGAATAAAGAAAAATATGCCATTTTCGCTAGAAAATGGCTTGTTTGTTTTCGGTAGAACTGGAAGTTTCAGTGAGAAGGTGGAACTTTCAAAAGAAACTTGAGAACTATCAAAATATACTAGTCCAAACCGCACCACAATAACATGAATAGTTTCAGTGATATGAGCATCTGAAATGGTTCAGAATATAACTGGTCATCCGGGTTTTCCAGTGAAAATAACAAGCTACAAACAAGCAAGACGAACATAACCTCATTTCTGTCAAAAACCGATGATTGCGAAACTTGATCTATGCTACTAAGTACTTACGGTAGCCAACTTTTCTATGAAATCGTCAGGCGCCCCTAGAGATGCCAAGCCGATTTCTTGCGAGAATTGCGCAAACTCCGGATCGGCAAAGAGCGGCACGTGACCTAGAAGTTCATGGCATACATCGGGTTCCGGAGTGTAGAACGGTTTGCTCGGATGCCTGATGTACTGGGTGGAATGAAACACCCTGAAGGCTAGGCCTGCCAGAAAGTCTCTAGACGATAGCAGCCCCGCTACTGGTCTGATCATGAAACCCGTGCAATCTGAAATAAACAATTAGAATTATCGTTAAGTTCTAACCAACTGATTCGACAAGAATGGGACTAAGCTTGATTTGGTGGTTCAATTTCGTAAAACATGAAGATTCTCTTCTATCTCTCCTTTATTGTTATTGTACTCAATTCTTATTTACCTATAGAGTTATTCGATCGGAAGTAAGTTGGATTTGGTAAGGTTCAGAGTGAATGGATATATTCGACCTTCCACTGCGAACCGTATAAGGGACTATTTGATGTGATTAACGATTATTTTCATCAATAAGGTAGAACAAACCATGGCTCTTCAGCTTTTTGTTCATTTCTACTCTAGATATTTTGAGCCAAAGGCCCATGCAACTATAGAAAAAAAAAAACAAATTTGGAAAGGTATTCAGAGAAATTGGAGAGATGATATTTTTAAAAAAGGAGGTGCAGCGTCAAAAAAACACTTCTATAAAAAAATCAGAGGCCTCCATACGATGTCGTGATAAACTATCAAGTTTCCACAACTCACTTGGATACTGGTAAGAAACATAATTCGATACATAGTTATCAAAAGCGAACAAAGAATAATTTCTATTTGCCCAACGTACGTTTGACGATATCTCAGAAATCATCGGACTTATTGGCACTCAGACTATACAATAATCAAACGTGAGTACATGGTGCAAATCGGCTCCTCAGTTTAAGTGTTTTAAGAGGGCAAATTTACATAATCTTGCCTTCGAACTTATATCAAAATCTTCCTAAGAAAACGGCCTGTACAGTAATATGAAAAGGTCATCCGTGTGAAATTATACAACTGCTTCAGATTGAAAAACAGTGTCCGGCATATAAAATGTCGTGTGGTGCGTGTTCTAAAGAAGTGACTAGAAAAAGCCTGATTTCTTGTAGTGGTTTTTGCAAGAATAAGTTCCATTCCGAATGTGTGGGAATATCTGTAGATTTACTTGCTCAGATGAAAAAGACACCTGGCGTTTTTTGGAAATGCAAAAACTGTGAGAAGTTCAATGATCTCTTCGATGAAGGAAGACTCCGTGATATTTTTCAAAACAAGGTGAGTCAATTTATTGACGAACTGAAGAACCTCTTTTATGATATAAAGACAGACATCTTGAAAAAAGCAGATGAAAACCTTTCAACTCTAGATATAGATATTAGGAAAAAAGCCGATGAAAATATCTCGAATCTGAAAAATACATCAAAACCCTCGTCAAAACCAAATATGAAATCATCGTACTCATCTGTACTCAGCAATAGCTCTCACTCTGCAATACTTGTCAAACCCAAAGTATCGCAAGAAAACAATCAAACAAAATCTGATATCATGCATAATTTGAATACGCAGGACTTAAACTTCAGCTTTAGCAAGGTGAAACATATTAAAGATGGTGGACTAATGATAAGCTGTAAAACTCAAGAGGAAACTACTCTCTTTAAAGAAAAGGCTCAGGAGAAACTGTCTGCAACTTATGAAATTAAGGAGTCAAGAGGATTACACCCCCGTGTTCGTATTGTTGGAATTTCAGATAATTTTGATCATGATACACTTTTAAAACTCATATTGAAACAAAATGACGAAATTATAGGCTCTAATTCGAACTGTAAGATAGTCAAATTCGGTCCAACAAAATCTAATGTAAATGTATATCAGGTCACCCTTCAGCTGGATTCGTCAACATATTCCGCTGTTCTCAATAATGGTTACTTATTAATCGGTCTAGACCTCTGCAAGGTCTACGATGCCATTGAAATTTCACGATGTTTCAGATGCAATGGTTTCAATCATTCGAAAACTAGCTGTAAACAAATCTTATCATGTCCGAACTGCGGTGGGGGTCATGATAAAAACGCATGTGATTCTAATATCTTGAAATGCATCAACTGTGTTAAACTCAATGAATCCAAAAAGTCTAACTTCCCGATAGATCATGGGGCGTGGGACCATCAAAAATGCCAGGCATACTCAAATGTGCTGAATAAATTGAAATTTGATTTGGGTCTAAACTGTCAATAGCAACTAAATTCAGATACGTTACCTAATAATGAATCCACTTTTCTGAAAAATCAGTCTACAAACTCTACCAATGATAAAGAAATCTCTATTTACTACCAAAATGTTAGAGGACTGAATACCAAATTACATGAACTATACGATAACCTGAATACTTGCTGCTATGACCTAGTAGTACTTACTGAAACTTGGTTGGGGTCTAATGTTTTGGATGAAGAAATCTCTAAGGGCACATTCAACATATTCAGATCCGATCGTAACTTTCGAGCATTGAACCTTTCTAGGGGCGGAGGAGTCATGCTTGCAGTAAACTCTCAATTTAATGCAACCAATCTCAATTTAAAAGAAGGAGCATTTAAAGAACTGCAACATATTGACATTGTCGGTGTGAAAATATGCTATTCTCACCAGCTCATATATGTTGTTGTTATTTATATTCCACCAAATAATTCCACTGAAATTTATAATAATATATTTGAAGCCTTTTCCTCACTGGAATATCTCTTTCACTCGGAAGCTCTGATTATAGGAGATTTCAATATTCCCACATACCTGGAGGATAATTTAAAAAACACATTCACTCCCACTACACTTGCTCTTCAATACGTCTGCTCTTTCTTGGACTTCGAGCAATCAAACAATGTAAGAAATGCGAATAACAGGATTTTAGATCTTGTTCTTTCAAATTGTCCTTGTGTTGTTGAAAAAGCACAAGATATTTTAATTAATGAAGACCCTCATCATCCCCCTATCTATATCTTCTGTACTCTGAGAAATAATCTGAAGAAAAATCCAAATAAATCTTTCCAGGCGTCATTCCACAATTTCAGGAAAGCTAACTTTCCAAATCTTTATAATGACTTCCTCGAGTATGACTGGTCTTTTTTGGAACAATATACAGAAGCAAATGTCGCTTGCAGTGCTTTTTATGATAGTGTGAACTCTATTGTGGAAAGGAATGTCCCAAAAAGGATCAAAACTACTCGTAGTTATCCACCTTGGTACAACTCAGCTGTAATAAGAGATATACGTCGAAAACATGAATTTTGGAAAAAATTCAGGAAATCTGGTGATGAAAGGGATCTTGTTGAATTCAGAAGACTGAGGAGAGATATCAAGCTCAACATTGCAAAACTCCATCGTGATCATATTCGTTATATAGAAGAAAACATCACTACTAAGCCCTCTGCATTATGGAATTACATGAATTTCAAAAAAAGTAATGTTACCCCACCGTCTACCTTCAACTTCAACCAACAAATCCTATCTGAGTCTCAAGACATATCTAATGCCTTCGCTCAATTTTTTCAGCATTCTTATGCAACTCCCAAAAATACCACTTTTGCTGATTCATTCAATAATATTCCTTCTTTGACGATACCTGAAGTGACTGAAGAGCAAGTATTAGTCTCATTGAAAAAACTTAAACCCAAATTAACTAGCGGACCTGACAACATCCCATCTTTCGTCTTGCGTGATTGCGCAGGTGCCTTCGTGAACCCGCTTCGTACGTTATTCAATTTATGTCTTTCAACTAATACTTTTCCTACACTATGGAAAGAATCGAAAATTATACCGGTCCATAAGAAGGGGCCTAAATCAGACATATGCAACTACCGCCCTATAGTAATTATTAATAATTTTTCAAAATCTTTTGAAATTCTTCTCTACGATGAAATCTATTCGCACGTTAGAAATCAAATTACCCCTAGTCAACATGGTTTCTTCAAAGGAAGGTCAACGGTCACAAATTTAGTTTGCATCACAGAGAAGTTATCTGATACCATTGATGATAGCTCTCAATGTGATGTAATTTATACGGATTTTTCGAAGGCATTCGATAGGCTGGACCATGGAACTCTACTTCACAAACTTTCGAACTATGGACTAACTCCAAATCTCACATCATTTTTCCAATCTTACCTTCTTGATAGAAAGCAGTATGTAAGCTTCCATGGTCATAGGTCTATTGAAGTCCTTCCTACGTCAGGTGTGCCCCAGGGGTCTAACCTCGGGCCCTTACTATTCATAATGTTCATCAATGACATTGTAGATACTCTCACCATCAATCACCTATTGTATGCTGATGATCTTAAGATATATCATGAAATTGTCACCGAAGAGGATTGTACTGTTCTACAAGACAATCTTAACAGACTCAATGCCTGGTGCATCGAGAATAACTTATTCCTTAATGTCTCCAAATGTCATGTTATGTCCTTTACAGCCAAGGTGAATCCAATTATTTTCAATTATAAACTAGATAATATCGCATTGAACCGACCTGAAACTTTCCAAGATCTAGGAGTAATATTTGACAAAAAACTATCGTTTGGAAATCATATCGAGCAAGTCATCAAAAAAACGTATCGATCTTTGGGATTCATTATTAGAGTATCAAAACATTTTGGAAGAAATGAGAAAATGCTTCTGCAATTATACTTCACATTTGTTAGATCGAATTCAGAGTATGCATCAATAGTTTGGGCACGTCATTATCAGGTACATATATCTAATTTGGAAAATATCCAACGGAAATTTTTGAAGTACTTATGTTTTAAACTTGATGGCAACTACCCAGATGTAGGTCATTCACATGATCAACTTCTTTCAAGATTTTCAGTTGCTTCACTTCAAGATCGTCGAAATAGGTCGCATGTTATATTCCTTTTCAATGTTATCCGGAACAATTTGGACTGCAGCTGCATTTTGGAGATGATACACTTTCATGTTCCCAGACTCACAACCCGGAGAAATAATAGTTTCTACCTTCCACTTTGTCGCACTAATGTTAAATTCCATGCACCTGTTTACAAGATGTGTTCGATATATAATACGATGAATGAAACCATTGACATCTTTTGCTGCAGTTTGGCATCCTTAAAAAAACTGGACTGTTCTGTTTTTTCCAATGTGTAATTTTATGTATTAAGAAAATAATTTTAGTAATACACTTAGTATATTCCTATTCTGTAATTGGATCTTGTATCTGTTGAATAGTGTAATAAAAAAAAAAAAAAAAAAAAAAAAAAAAAAAAAAAAAAAAAAAAAAATTCTCTTCCAGAAGAATTAAAATTGATAAATGAACTGCATACGTTCAAAAATAAAATGAAAATGCTTGTCCTCTGTCCCTATAGTTTGAACGAATTTTTTCAATACCTGTTTGTTTACTTATAGAGTGTATGTTTTATTGAATTTCATATCCAAATATTTGTACTGACTTGACTTGTCCGATAGCATATAACTGCTCTATGGATTAAATAAACTTGAACTTGAATCACAGACATCGACCAAATTTTACAAACCTTTCAAGAAATTTGAAATATCCTCAAGTTGTGGAATGTTGTCTTCCCTGTAGCCACAGTTTTCTACTAGAAGAGGAAATACGTGGTTATGTTCTTTACAAGCGTGGGTTGGGTACAAGGTTGTTAGCTGTCTGAAAACTTTTCCCCATGTTTCCGTCTCTTCTTGAGTATATTCCACATGTGGAAGTTTCTGCCCGTGCCTGAAAAAAATATGCAGTTTTGAATATAACAGATTTTCATTCATTTTCGTCAATTTCAATAAAATGACTATACCTTTTCAACTTCAATTTCGGAATCGGTAAGTTATATTTCGGAAAAAGTAATCTCGATTTCAGAATTGGTTAGTTCGATTTCAGAAATGGTAAACTCATCAGAATCGGTGAGATGAATTTCAGAAAAAGTCCATTCAATTTCAGAAATGGTAAGTTGTATTTCAGAATTATTATTGGTAGGTTCAATTTCAGAAGATGAAATCCTTTTATATGTTTGAAAGGTTTTTAATTGCGAAAGAAAAGATTGTTTACAGTGGATGAACGGTGTTTGAGAGCCCTATGTTGAATCAGATTGAACATATATGGGGTGCCTTCAAGTCAGAAGTGAAGAGCTAGCTTCTTGCAAGAGCATCGCCAAAGGGTCATAGCTGGGGATCCGAACAGCTTGCTCAACCAGATAGAATTCAGACTGCGATGTCTTGAGGAATGTGCAGATCATTCAATGAAAATGATAACACCTCAAATGTGTTTGCATTCTCATAATCATGTGCAACGCTATTATCTTCCAGCGATTCGGATGGAAGGCATTTGTGGATTAAATTGAGATTATAATTATGTTATTGAATTGTTTTTGACAAATCGAATATTGTAAATATGGTTTGTTAATCTCACATACAATTGGAAACATTTCGAACAAATATAAGGATTTTTTTTCTGAAATTGAACCTACCAATTCTGAAATACAACTTACCATTTCTGAAATTGAATGGACTTTTTCTGAAATTCATCTCACCGATTCTGAAATTGAATTTACCATTTCTGAAATCGAACTAACCAATGCTGAAATCGAGATTACTTTTTCCGAAATTGAAGTTGAAAAGGTATAGTAACTTAAATAACCGTTCCTTTGTGTATGCTGTTTTATCAACTACATGTAATATGTTTCAATTCTATGTTGAGGTTTGGTCTGAAAGGCATAAAATACGTTCACCAGTAAAAACGAAATTAGATTAGATTTGATGTACAGGTGTTGATATTCAAGATGTAGAACATTGGCAAAAGTTTGGAAATAGCTATATGTACTTAGATGAATAAGCTGTTGGTAGATTCCACTATCAACTCACCTATAGTTGTAAGCAATATCGGCAAAGTATTTCCTGCGTGCTCTGTATACAGGATCGGTGAATCCAGGGTGATCTGAGTCCAATTCAGCTCCATAGGACAGAATTTGGTTAGCAAAACGGTCCAAGTCTCTGATACGCCTCGGAAACCAAGGAACAGAGTCTGGAGGGAAATGATTAGTATTATAAATTGAAATCATCTAAATATATTATCCAGTTCAAAATTTGGAGAGAAAATCATATTCGGGGTGCCCCAGGTGAAGCAATTTTTATTTACGTGTATATATATAATATATCATCAAAACCATTTCAGACAACATCATATAGACATCAACTCTGAATACTCAGGTATATGAGTAACCCATTTGAGTTACCATCAGATGTGCTAATTCGTCAGATGTACCTTTAAGATTGAGCAAGAGATGCAGCACAAGATTTATTTAATGAAATATCATGATTCAAGTTGCTAGCAGAAAGAAATACAAGAATTCTCCCCATTATAAGAGTGAGATTAGAAAGATTGTGACTCTTTCTTACAGCAGTACTACTTCGTTGGCATGTATGCGTGTGTACATACCAATTGGCCATCTACCTTACGAGTGGTCCTTCAGCTCATGTGTGTTCTATGTAGGCTTTGTTACTAACTACATATGCCACCTTAGTGCGGAATCATCTCCGACCGAGGCAACGAAAATTTTAATATCTCTCGTTTTATAAATAAAAACTCTGCTCTGCCACGGATTCGAACCTAGTGACCATTCGATATACTGTGTAGTCGAGCGCCTCAACCATACTGCGCTATTTCACCGTCCTTTATCTTATAGAATAGAGAATAGAATAGAATAGAATCTTTATTGTTTACAGAAACACGTAGTTTCATAACAAGGAGTTCATACAGTTGGAGGCAGCAAAAACTCATGACTAATACAGATATACCACCGAATTGATGCAGTGGTGAAAAAGTAAATAATCACATGATAGATCCCAAAAGCGAGTAGGAAGAAAATAATAAGAACAAGAAACAAAAAAAAAAAAAGTATAAACCCTAAATCAGGCGCCCTCTTTCCCATTACGAACATATAGATACCTAATACAATACATGTAATTGCATTAAATCTAAGTGGACGAATAGCTATGTGGTAAAATCCTCGAATAAAGTATAGTCCATTATACATTCAGCCTAAAGAACATTGACTGAGCTTTCATTCGTTCATAATAAAGGATCTGAGCTTACAAATATTCCAAATGTGGGTACTCAGACTTTTTGCAGATGAGGGCGTAATATCATTGAAGAGGTTAACCAACCCGTTCAAATCAGAGAGAGGTAGGTCTGGAGGTTTCATCGTGACGTAGATCGGACAATCGAATAGGACATGATTGATTGTTTCATATTGATGTTGATTGCAGATGGTACATATTTCAGCAGGATTCATTCGATAGGTAGCTCTGTTATATGTGAATTTAATGGCGTATTTGCTAGCGAGTCTGAGTTGAGCCAGGGTTCGAGTAACCGAAATAGGGATTCTCATGTGTAGGTACTGTTGGGCACCAGTATTCATTTTGAAGTAGCTATAAAGGGTAAGGGAGCTTGAGGATCCATTCAATAGAGCCATATCATTTTCCCTTAGTTTCTCGAAGTATTTAGTGAACATTATTTTTTTGTTTCGCCTTAGGATACTGCTGTTCAACTCATTCAACGAGTAGGAGGAATCCGCGTACTCGAGTTGACATTTGAATTGTGAAGCCCAGTTATACCTGATGAGACAGGACGCATTTCCGTTGGCTAGATCAATTTGACGAAGGAGACATATTTTCGGAATGCGATGATCTTCCATCTCAAGTATCTTAATAAACCAATTCAAGGTGTGTTTGAAGATGATATAGCTTAATCTGACTCGGCCTGTCTCTATTCTGACTGCATAATCAGGTGTTGTAGTAGACAATTGCAAGAGCCGTTTGAAGAAGTTGAGTTGTACTCTCTCTAAGATTTCTGGATATCTAAGACCCCACACTGGTACACAGTTCAACAGCACACTTTGTACCAATGATTCAAATAGGTGAACCCGAGAATTCCAGCAATCTAATTTGGCAGAAGCCATAATGGGGAGTAATGCTCCTGTTGCTTGTTTTGCTTTTTCTGAGGTGATGTTGGCCATCTGTCGGAAAAATGAAGAACTCGTAAATGTGACTCCAAGGTAAGTGTATTGATTCGAAATTTCTATACGATTATTTTTATAAAAGAATGAGTAGGAATTGTTTTTGGAAGGACTTCTAGCAAAAGGAACGATTTTTGTTTTACTAGTATTGACTGTTAACATGTTCTTATCTGAGTATTCTTCAAGAATTTTCAATTTACGCGAGAGATCAATTTCTGAATCCGCTAAGATGACGAGGTCATCCGCGTAAAGAAGCATCATCAAATTATTTTTGTTATCAATGTTCAAACCTTCTGCTCCCTTTCCAGTGAAATATTCTTCTATGTCTGACATAAAAAGAGAAAATAGTAGAGGACTGAGCGACTCACCTTGTAGCACTCCTGTTGTGATGTCGAACTGCTTTGTGTACCCGTCAGCAGATTTGATGATAACTGTCGATGAGTTGTAGATATTTTTTAGTATAGAGATATATCTTGAGCTCAGGCCGGTATTGTACAGTTTGTGCCAAAGTAAGTTATGATTGATGGAGTCAAAGGCTCTTTTGTAATCAACAAATAAGGCGAAAACTTTCCTTTTTCTGAGTCTTAGTTGGAGTTGAATTATACAACACAAAGAAAATACATTGTCTATACATCCTCGCGTTTTTCGAAATCCCGATTGACATTCAGGGATTATACGTGTTTCTTCAGACCACGTGATCAGCCTATTTAGCAAAACTTGGGTGAAAATTTTTGCTATACAGTTAATTAATGCAATGCCTCTATAGTTCTCAGGATCGTCTATGGGCCCTTTTTTGTGGATCATTTTTAGCACTATTTCGCCCCAATTGCAAGGAGTGACTTGTGATTCGAACATTTTATTGAACATATTTGTCAGATATAGAACCCAGTTATTCGGTAAATATTTATAAAACTCGTAAGGTATTTTATCTGCTCCTGGAGACTTGTTAAATTGGCATTTATTGAGTACTGCATAGATTTCGAAGGTGGTGAAAGGTTCGTCATGAAAAGGGTTTCTAACATCAAAGAATATTGTGTTGTCAATGATCCGCGGCTGAGTAATGTTTATCTTATAATTACTTACATTGAATTTGTATTTCTTCAGTTTTTACTGCTTTACATTTCATGGTATCTACATGAACTTATCGAAAACCTGATGTGGGTTCAGAAAGACTCAACAGTCCATCTCAACCCAATGTGTCGATCACTTCATGAGGTTGACGATATTATTGTCTTGTTATGAAGTTTCCTCAGACAGCTGATGAAATTTTCAACTCAAATAAAAACAATTTTGTTTTCAGGAAGACGAAGTACTGATGACCATATTATCTGCCATAAATAACATATCACCATTGAACGCGTTTTTAGCCACAGAACATCAACATACACCAAATCCATTTATTAACTTGTCCCAGATTTTTCTCTAACGACTATGCTATTACAGACATACTTTTCTCTTTTTAACAGCCACCTTACATATGGAATACCTCTATGGGGTCAGTCTTCACATGCAACTAAAGCCTTTCGTATGCAAAAAAAGCAATCCGGATCATAGCCAATGTCTCTCATAGGGAACACTGTCGCTCTTTATTTCAAGAACTTAAAATTCTACCCTTGTCATGTATCTTCATACTTTGAAATACCAGCAGACATTACTTGTCTAAATTTCAACCGTTTCAAGGTCAAGGCACTGTTCCTACTCCATTGAAGAGTATTTAAATTGTGAGTCTTCAATCTTTCAATATGTGAGTTCTGGCTATTTTAGATGAAATTGTAATGTAATGTAGAGGTAATGTAATTGAATGTAATTGTAATGTAATTGTAATGTTCTTCTTACTTTGTATCTGACTTGTCACTATTTATACATTTTTGCAGTTAACGTGATGAAATAAATTTACTTTACTTTACTCTACATCGATACTGAATAAGCTTCTAGAATTTATCGTTCAAAATGTCTTTGGTCAATGTATATCGTATTCTAACGATAAGTTACTGAATAGACCCCTAATAATTCAGTTGCAGATAATAGTTATTTATGGTACTGGTGTGTTATCTTGAAAATAACTCACGCGAGAAACATAACACAAGAGTGGCATACATTGTTTTATCCAAAATGTAGAAGACATAATTGTTTTATGAGATGATAATTGATAAGTTTTGTGAACAAATCAAAGCTACCTGCGTCTCAGTACTCTATGAAAGTCAGAATTACTTGACAGTGACTTTTTTTACATCTTGGTGAAAGTAGGTTGTTTGTTAGGTTACCACAAACGTGCTATTGGCTAATTTTTACGTTTGCAAAAAAATTAGCCCCATCGTCGTTATGGACCAAATACTCGATGCTTCGCTCGACTATTCACCTTTATAAAAAAATCAACATCTCAAAATATGGTAAACTAACGAGCTTTTTGAAAAGCAAATCACAGGGATACAAACCAAATAAGTCCAAGACATCAAAACGACCTGGAATAGAGAAGTTTTTGAACGGAGTTCCCGATGACGAGTACTTGTTGATGAAAGTGGCCTTGATAATGGGGATTAGCGGTGCTTGTAGATGCGATGAATTGGTCAATTTGAAAATAGAAAATATCCAAGATAAAGGGAAATATTTTCACGTAGTTTTGTCAGACACTAAAAAACCAAGAAATCGAGGAGTTTCACCATACTTGAAGAAGGATTTCCAGTCAACCCGATTAATTTGAGTGAAAAATACATGTCTTTGAGACCAAAGAATACTAGTTCTAGCTTTTTTGTTTTTTACAAAAAATGGGAGGTGTACCAGCCAGTGTGTGGGAATAAATACGTTGTCGAAGATACCTTCAAGAATTGCAAAGTTTTTGAACTTGGAGGAACCAGCGCTCTACACCGGTCACTGCCTGAGAAGGTCTTCGTCGACTCTTTTGGCCATTGCATCGGGCTAACATGACTACTTCGAAGCATCACGGAGGATGGAAGTCCTCGACGGTAGCATATCGGTGCATAACAAAATACAAATTGCAGAAAAAATACAAGGTTCCAGCACTATCAGCAGCTGTACCGATATGGGAGCATCTGGTTCCAATGAACCAACGAATTTTTTCAATTACTTCAAATTCGAATAAACCGTTAGCATTTTCCTGTAATTTCAATATCAATGTGAATCCTGCTTGTAATAGTAATAAATAAATAGAATACTTATTTAAATATGAACGTGAGTTATGATCCATAACTCACTAGTGAGTTATTGATTATGACACACTAGTGTATTATTTGATAGTTTACTTGTCTAAAATGACATTAATAATGACAGTCATAACTGTCATGTGTTGGATAAAATAATAAATATCTCACCTTTATTATCTTTATAATCCCTCGAGATGATCTTCAGATATTCACTTCTTTCTTTGACGTCATAGAGGGCACCTCCGATGTTGCCAGACGGGGCACATTCGACCATGAACTCATAGTTTTCCGGCATCTTGTCCGACGGTCTGGATTCGATGTGCAACAGGTTGACGCCATGTTTCTCGAAGATTTGCAAATATTTCGCTAGAACTCCGACTTCTTCTGCTGGAGGAGCGAACAACAAGCAAGTGCTGTGTGCTGAGTCTCTTCCTATTTTTATGTAGTTTCCACCAGGCATCAGCTTCGGCTAGAAAGTTATGTTCAAGTAGGTATTGCGAATGGTTCTTTGTCGTGTAAGGAAATAATAGGATAGTATACCGTGTGACATCCCAGACAGTACAGATTATTTTATGAATGTTCTCACAACGTTCACAATATACCTCCTTCAGAATATTCCGAAGAATATTATGATCAGGATGTTCTGAACATTTCATCTAAATATCCCATAAGAACGTTCCTAGAATATTCCATTATATTCTATGAATGTTATCCATAGTATGTTTTTTTAGAATATTCTAGGTATGTTCATAGAATATATCATTCAGATACTTCCGTTTTTGAGATACAGGAAGTCAAATTTATCAGAAAAAAATCCTTTTCGCTGATTTTGATACAACTTGCTCATCTGCGGTAGCAATGTGGTTTGATATGAATTCAAATTTACCGCACTTTTTTCTCCAATTACTTTCTTCCTATCCGTTAGAGGCACTGAAACTCATAAATAAGCTTTCACACATGAAGCATCCATGATCAGTGTATGGCATACACCATAATGTTCACTTTTTGTACATACAATAATTATAATAGTATATCACGTAATATAAGCATATTACGTAATATACTTACTATTGTAATTGCTTTACAATGCGCATTACGTACTATATTTTACAATCTGTGACTTTACCTACTGCCATATAGTACATCAGAAAAGTTTTGACAAACACTCTGAGTTATAGTTGACAGTTATGTTATGCGCTGTTGACGACGATTACGCGATCATGACTGGCGGAATAAACGAAAACTGTGCGATGTGCTTACTGTGCGTAAAAAACTACTTACTGAGACTGTATCTCGTGTGTTCTTGCCTATACTTTCTATAGTGGCCGTAGGTCAACATATTTTTCTCCTATATCGATCCTTGAAATATTTTTCATGCGCTTCAAGATATCCTGTACACTGAGAATATATTCCTAGATCATTCTGAAGATCGTCGAAAAGATTATGAGTACGCTCTCAGAATATTCTGATGTTACTTCGAATATTCCAAAGTGTTAGAATATTCCAAAGTGTTACCAATGTCAGAAAACATAGCCATTTCATGACTGCGCGCTTGCTCGTACCATAAGTTAAATTATTGTACCATAATTTCAAGCTGTTGGTACCATAATCGTGCAAGATGCATTTCTGCCTCGATGGACTAAGCCTGTTTTAATATTGGTATGCGGTAGATTTTTAGTTTTACTGAAACATTCTATAATATGAATATCAGAATTTCATAAAAGTAGTTTATGACACACCTCTATTCTTTTCCGTGTGAATAAATATTCTGAAACAGTGTTATTTGCTAATACTATCGAAAAATCAAAGACTCTGAAATCATCAGAAACTTTGAACTCTTCGTAATCAGAGAGGCATTTTTTATTTCTTGGTCAATAACAGTGCATTTGCGATAATAATTTGAGATTATCACTTTGCGCTCTGAATAAACTGATCGACAAAAGTTAAGGATAGTGTATTTTTGCTATAAAGGTATTTATCTCTGAAAAATTCAGTATAGTTATTAATATCTATGTTGTTTGCGTAAGTAGAAGATATGATCTTTTTGCTATGACGACATTTTTCTAGAAAATATTGTAGCTATCAATATCTATGTCATTCACGTTCAAAAATATCCTAAGCCCCTTTCATGTAGTTTTCATTTACCAACATCAATAACTTGTCTGTTTTGGCATGACTTTACAAGAATCATTCTGTATGCTTCAGTTTGTTGTTCCATCGCGAGTTGTAGTTTTCTTATTGATATGTTTATTAGCAGTTGGAATTTCCCAATTCTACATTCTCTAGAAATATTTTTCCGCTTATCACATTCACCACACTATAGTCTCCATATTATTCCTTCAATAAGTCGATATTATCATCAATAGTTTTGAAAACAATGTCATTGATTGGTCATAATGAAACCCGATGATAAGCTATTATTCAGAAGTTAGAAAAATCACATCTCTTGTTATCAATAATGATGCTCAATCAGCAAAATAGCATTGCGTCAGAGAAAAGATACGAATATAATAATATACATTATTTTATCCTTGTGGGGGGCCAATGCACTGTCACTCCATTCTAATCACTAATAGGAACCTAATGTTGATACGTTCTGCGATAATGTATCGACAAACCTCATGAATTAAAAGTATTACAACATATAATTTATCTTTCGAAAATATTATACCGGGTGCCATAGTCATCACTATTATTTTTCTCATTATCATGATGGAAATATTGCTTTCTCTGTAAATTGCTTTCCAAAGATCTAAGGTTTTCATTTTTGCTGCCAATTCAAATGAATTTAAGAAAAAGACGGTACCTATTTATGAAATTTCATAAAAATAACCTTGAACCGCGTTAGGTGGGTGAGCTACCACTTTTTTCCTTTGTATGATAAATAACTATTGGTCTCCTGTATTTTCTTCTTATCTAGCTTCGGACATAGGAACTTTTTTCCTTAAAACAACCTAACGAATCAACCTCTGAAGTTTCTAACCCTTGGTATTAAACACCCTGTATATATGTGATAATCAAATATTTTGTAATTTTCTCTCAGTATAGGTACTCTCGAAATGTTTTCTGATGTCACTTTTTCTTCTTATAATTATTAGTTGAGTGGAACATATAAATGCATACCTCTTCTGCTAACTCAACTGCAACTCCATCAACTTCTAACATTCTCATTTTATCAACAATTCTATAAACAAACCAATCGAAATGAATTGGTGAACTGTTATTAGTGATCAACAATACTTAATGCACTAGTATATGCGATTGCAGATCTTTTATACATCGAACTCGAACCAATTTGGTTTTTTCTTCATATTCATTCACTCTTTTTCCACCATAATCATAGTAATATACCTTTCAATTACCTGGAAACCACCAGTGTACTAGTAAGATCAAGTGGAAATTGCGTCAGTGATTCTTTGTGAGGAACTGAACACTTAGGGATTTCCATAATACAGTTCTGTAATACAGAACGCTATTTCATCTTTACTCCAGTCAATGAACGCCCAATAAGGCATGATTCGCTAGTAAATATCTCGAAAACAATATAGATACAGAAAAAATCTACTGATATAATTTTGTAGACAATTTGATCAGTGACGACCGTTTTTGAGATATGAATGAAAAATCTGAAGAAGAGACCTTCTACGTCACCCACTGCACTTGGCTCCCCTTGTAAGTTCAGGGACCTTCGGAATCTTTACCTACTTCCTATCTTTTTTTTATGTTCTTGTTCCCACGAAAAGGGATATCCTGTAATGTTCAGAGAACATCGTGAAAACCAAGGGAAATAAGGTAGGAATTGGCGTTTTTCTTTAATTTCTGGATGTTATATGCCTAGGGAAAGACCTCCCTTGGCAATGTGTTCCAGAGCCTCGCTGTTCGTGATATGAAAAAGTCTTTGGAAAGAAATGTTCTGCAGGTCTCCAAAGTGACCACGAAGGGGTGCGAAGCCTCAACTCGACGGGTTAATCTTGAGGGGACTGCCAAGGGAAGAACAATTGTTGATATTTCAGAAGAGTATGGTTCATGAAAATATCTATGAAATAGAGCCAGATCGCCAACTTTTCTACGGTGTTCCAGAAAAGTGAGTGAGTTTGTGAGCGAGGCATCACCTACGAGACGAATTGCCCTTTTTTGAACAGAATCCGACAGTTTCATGGTCAGTTTGGGTGCTGCACTCCAAATATGGAAACAGTATTCCAGGACAGGTCGGATCTGTGCCTTATAAATCATGAGCAGCTGTATGAAAGTGAAATAGCTCCTGGCCCGAAACAGAAAACCAAGTTTTTAGGATGCACTTTTAGCAATTGAAGAAAGGTCATTGCTGATAGTAATTCCAAGCATCGAAATGGATGTCTTTAAAGGTATGGTTACTTCTGACAAGCTTATGTTGGGCACAGTGAGATCGGCTTTTCTGAAGAAAAGGCACGCTTGTGTTTTGTTTGCATTGAAATCCACCAAGTTATTGGATCCTTATTCGAGAATAATTGTTGCCAAGTCCATATTAACGTTGTCAACATTTCTCCCTCGTTCGTTTCTGATTTGTCTGGCTGATATTGGGGCCCTGGAAGAGAAGGTGGTATGGATGGTACTATCATCCTCGAAGCTGTGTACTGGACATGAAGTTGCTTTGAACAAATCGTTGATATGGAGTAGAAATAGTGTTGATGCTATATTTGATCATTGCGGAACACCAGCATTTATGATAAACTAGCTCCTCCAAACACATAACTTTTTCCGAGAATTTTGTCCTCTTCCATGTCGTCTAACAACTCGTTCATTGAGTGAACTATACTTCGTCAGGTCGAAATATAGCAACAGATAATTCAATTCTATGCATCGATACGTATGAACTAATACTAATGCAAGTGTTTCATTCTCTAATGCCGATCGATTTTGATTTAGCCAGGTTAACGTAGGGTAGTCTCCAGCTAGCAGTCCGAAGACCGCCGGATAAGCGTAACCTGGCCCAACAAATTCCAATCAGCAATATTTATGGTCTCAGAAAAATATCTCCCGTGGGCACAGGTAAGTCAGACGAGGATGTAATTCAAAGTTCTGCGTGGCATTACCCAGGAAAGTAGATGTTTTAATCTCGTCATCTACCATTGTTGTGTTCATTTTATTAACATTTGTTCAACCTTTCATTCCACTTTGAGCATTCTGGCAATTTCGTAGTTGATGATTTTGGTATTCAAGATAAATTGGACATGACGTGTATAGCCTCGTGTATAATGTTTTTTTATTGAATTAATCTATTTTCCTCTTCGGATAGTAGTTTGAGTTTATCACATATTGTAGTTCCCGAAATATCTTGAACTGTTATCGCTGAAGATATGCCATTTTTTGTAAATATTTTTATTTACATCTAAGCAAAATTTGACCTGATTAAATGATTCGTGAAACTAGATTTATTACTATATTATTATACAGGGTGTCCCAGAACAACGTTCATTGAATTCAACAGGGTGAACTAGAGTTCAAAATAGGTTGATTGGGACCAACTTACCTCTATACGAAAATGCACCGTTGGGCCGTGAGAGGGCGATGAATGGAATTTTTTTTCAGATTTTATTGAATATTTCAAATTCCTCGAGAGGTAATGATCTGAAATTTGGAAGGCAGTGAACTATAAGAAGTGTGCATAGATAACAGGTCTCATCAGTGCAATCGATATACAGGGATTCTGATTGGAGAAAATCCATAGAACTTTTTTTTAGTACGCCATATTTCTATATCTACTCGAATAACAAAATCAATTATCTATCTTTTTTCTCGCCACATTTCTTTCTAAATTTTGCTTGGTTTACGAGATATCTGAAAAAATTCTTTCGGAGTCCCTCCATATCATCCATAGTCCAAGATATCAGAGTTATTGTGTTCTGCAGGTTTCTTCCTCCTTCATGTTGATATTTTTGACACGTATCCATGTTAATCATTTAATAACCTTTCCATCATACAGGATGGCCCATTTTCAACTTAACAGGGAGATTTTGGGTGATAATAGCGTAGATACGAAAAAATGCTCGGATCGGTCGATTTTGGTTTGCACCTCCTGCTAACAATCAAAGTCGTTTGCAGTTTTTTTCAGTTCTGTTGAGAATTCGGGGGCACAGATATCATTTCATATCAACTTCTTTTTAGTTCACTTTTCAATTATTGATTTGATGAACTCATCTGATGAAGAGCTTGCTAAAATGAATATGATATCTGTGCCCCCGAACTCTCAACAGAAGGAAAAAACCTGCAAACGACTTTGATTGTTAGCAGGAGGTGCAAACTAAAATCGACCGATCTGAGCATTTTTTCGTATCTACGCCACTATCAACCAAAATCTCCCTGTCAAGTTGAAAATGGGTCATCCTGTAAGATGAAAAGGTTATTGAATAATTAACATGAATACGAAACGAGCAGAACACAATAACTCTGATATCTTGGACTATGGATGATATGGAGGGACTCCGAAAATATTTTTTCAGATATCTCGTAAACCAAGCAAAATTTAGAAAGGAATGTGGTGAGATAAAAGATAGATAGTTGATTTTGTTATTCAGGTAGATATCAAAATATTGTCAGTGGCGTACCTACTCAAAAAAAGTTCTATGGATTTTCTCCAATCAGAATGCTGAATTTGTATCTTCCTGTATATCGATTGAACTGATGAGACCTGTTATCTATGCACACTTCTTATAGTTGACTGCCTTCCAAATTTCAGAGCATTACCTCTCAAGGATTTTGAAATATTCGATTGAATCTGAAAAAAAAATCCATTCAACGCCTTCTCACGGCCCAACGGTGCATTTTCGTTACAGAGGTAAGTTGGTCCCAATCGACCTATTTTGAACTCTAGTTCACTCTGTTGAATTCAATGTACGTTGTTCTGGGACACCCTGTATACTAATGCTTCAGATAGCAAACTCGAAAAATTGTGTTACGTTTCTTGAATAGTCATTATCTCTCGAAATTTGGTGATACATCTAGGAATCCTTTGTACTTCATTCATGGAGAAATGAAGAATGCAATGATCGCTGATAACTTTGCTATTCAATCAAGATGGATATCTATGAATGTTATAAAAAACCAAACCAATAATTATTCAAAACTATCATTCATCAATGATATGTTTATACTTGATATAGAAAGATCAAGGATTATTAGATTATTGTCCATTTGAATATTTATAGTTGCTATGAAACTGAATTGCCCAATAGCAGTTGAAGACCTTGATTCGAACTAGAATTTTATCTATATGTGCACAAGAAAATTAACGAACATTTTTCTGGTACAGAGATCAAACCAACCCAACAACAGAACTGGTATGATGATGTATAAACATGGCAGGAAGTGAATTTTTCAAATAAGTAAGAGAGAATCCCATTATTGTCAGTATGTGGTCTGAAAATGTTGGTCCATCATGCATACTCAGACGTATTTTGGTACATTTTTCTTTGGTACCTATTACGAGACAAGCAATCAATTGCAATCATTATAGTTCTGTCGAACTGAAATATGGACCTTTCAGTTCCGCATTCTTTCGATCTGAACTAACTGAAATATTTCACTAGAATTGAACTAAATCATTCATTATGCGGTCTTTCGAAAGAATTTGATATGCATGTTGAATGATTCAGTTCAGTTCAATTATTTTGGAGCGGATTAATATCACTATTGTCACTATGGAAGCACCTCAATTCTGATTAAAATCTAGTTGACATGACCATAACAGCATATCACAAGTATCATTATTCATAAATACCTAGATTCGAGTGCGACTCCTGCGAATCTCGCATCAGAGCAATGAATTTGGGTTAATTATAACAAAGGCATGTCTTCATTAACTAGTAGTTCATGAAATAACGGAATTACCTTGGTAGAAACAACACAACTTTACTCCTTGGAAAAAAGTAGATAATGGTAGGTTTTACCTAGTGGTGGAAAAATGAGGTTACCTCAAATTAAAGATTGGGTAAAAAACCGGTTAAAAACTGGAAGTATCGATATATTCGATTAGATAAATGTATGTTGAAATGTGCATTCATTTAACTAAATTAGTACAATAAATAAGGAATATATGTGATCAAAAAATACAGGGCGATGAGTTGGACCTGTGTCAACCGGTTTCAATTCTGAGTTGATTTTTTCAATATTATGTAATCACTCTGCAAATAATCTTCAAATGGGTGAATGTATAGATTGTTAATGGAATGATATGTAATGAAACAGGTGCAGTCTACGCAGTTATTGAACAGGATTGGCAAGTCAACTCATAATAAAGAATAAGTACTAGTCGATATAAAACCACTTACGATATCTGGTGGACTTCCTAGAGGCGAGGTGTCTGATCTTTTTTTATCATCTTTGAAATTGATATTCTTCGGTGCAGACATCATTTTGAAAATGTATAGTGAACACAACGTCGTCAACGAGAATTCTGTTGCTACTGGTTAGAAAGCAATAAACGACTTTCTTTAAATAAACTTGTTTTGCATTCATATACCCCTTCAGCTATTTCTTATCAGGAAACCTTCGTGTGAAATAATAATTCCAGCTTACGAAATAATCGAACGATTAACGTCATCCTCAACACTGCTGGTTGCTCAATGAGGAACGATAACAAAAAAAAAACATTTTGGGTAGGGTATCGAGGTGATGGATCTAAACAATTTTTGTTTGTGTTTCCTAAGACAGTGGACAGAAGCAAAAAGGTGATACACGGGTTCAAAATCAAATAACTCAGAAATTAGGATTAGATTCTTCTCAAGATTGGAAATCTTATCACCACATGATATAATGTATTATCCCGTATTTCAATAATATCAAGAATAATAATAATAATAATAAGAAGAAAAATAATAATAATGAACGCTTTTATTCATAGGTGAAGTGACAGTGAGACAGTGAGACGCATTATAAACAGACATGGTAGTGTACTATCATCAGGGAGAGTTGGCGTATAGTACCCATCGCATGTGTTCTCAACCTGAAGAATACCTAAAATTTAAAATAAAAAGTATTTTCATGACTGTCATCATCAATGTCATTTTAGACAAGTAAATACTATCAAATAACAAACTAGTGTGTTATAATCCATAACTCACACGTTCATATTTGAAGTAGTAGTATTCTATTTATTTATTACTATTACGAGCAGAATTCACATTGATATTGAGATTGAAGGAAAACGCTAACGGTTTATTCGAATTTGAAGTAATTGTAAAATTCGTTGGTTCATTGGAACCAGATGCTCCCATATCGGTACAGCTGCTGATAGTGCTGGAAGACGCCGACACCTTTTATTTTTTCTCCAATTTGAATTTTGTTCTGCACCGATTCTTCAAGATATCCTTCCATCCTCCGTGACGCTTCAAAGTAGTCATGTAGTGACTGGTGTAGAGCGCTGGTTCCTCCAAGTTCAAAAACTTTGCAACGTATTTATTTCCACACCCTGGCTGGTACACTTCCCATTTTTGTAAAAAAACAAAAAAGCGGCTAGAACTAGTATTTTTTGGTCTGAAGGACATGTATTTTTTACACAAATTGATCGGGTTGACTGGAAATCCTTCTTCAAGTATGGTAAAACTGATCGATTTCTTGGTTCCAGTATCTGGCAAAACTACGTGAAAATATTTCCTCTTGAATAATATATATTTTCAAATTGACCAATTCATCGCATCTACAAGCATCGCTAATCCCCATTATCAACATTCAACAAGTACTCGTCATCGGGAAATCCGTTCAAAAATTTCTCTATTTCAGGTCGTTTTAATGTCTTGGACTTCTTTGGTTTGTATCCCTGTGATTTGCTTTTCAAAAAACTCGTTATTTTACCATATTTTGAAATGTCGATATTTTTTATAAAGGTGAATAGTCGAGCGAAGCATCGAGTATTTGGTCCATAACGAGTTTTTTACATGAACTGGAATTGATTGGTTGATAGTTTCAACAAACGAGATAAAAAAGTTCTTTTGGAACAGGCCCATTGATTTGATTCGAGTTCATTCATTATCGCGTTACTTATTGGGAAATACAAACATTGCAGTGTCAACAAATTTCTGGCCAAATAAGAGACTGTCACCAAGAGTAACAAGATATCTTGTTATTTATACCGATGAGGAAAATAATAAGTTCAGCTGATGAAATGATCGATTAAAAAGCATCAGCCATTTACCTAAAAACGATAACAAAATAGTAGATTGTGTTATTTGGATCAAATGTGACACCTTTTTCTGACAAATGCAAATTTTGCGAGTCATACAAAGTCACTTTTGATCCGAATGGAACATGCATTCACAGATCAGGTTTATTCAAGGATGTTCGAATTGTAGTTTCGATATAAATACAACCACAGAGTGATCAATTTGTGTATTCTATTGAATCTATGAATTCATTTGGACCAGGTGTCAGCCCTGATAGCAAATACCGCGCTAGTGCCAGGTAGAGAAAGATGAAGTGGAAATTGTTAGGTTAGTGAGCATATCAAATATAATAAATAATAGCGGTCATTTATTTCTCTCCAAATTCCACTGTGTTTGGCTCTGTATTCAATCAAATGAGGGTACAAAATATCGTTGTTTGAGGAAAAAAGGTATTGGTGGCCGTGATTGGCGCAGTGGAAGAGCGTCCGTCTCACGACCGCAATGTCATGGGTTCGATTCCCAGCACAAGCAAGGAACTTTTCTCAATATTTTATTCACGAATGTGATATTGTAAAGTTCCGGAGCATCGGCTGGGGATAGTCCACGATTCGCTGTTGCGTTCCAATTAACAGTGCTGCTCCTGAAGTGGCGCATAGAGTTAGTAACAAAGCCTACACAGAACACGCAGAAAGGGATGATGATGTGGTTATGAGCATCAGAGAAGAAGTAGGACGGTGTATGTAGGTGGGTGTGGAAAATTACCAGCTGATCGTGAGAGCGGGCCAGCTGCTTAGTGGACCTCGGTCTCTAACGGGGGTTAACGACGATAGCTAGCAGGCCTGCCACTGCAGAATATGGTAGTGAGTACATTACTAGCCTACAAAACACAGCCGAAAAACTCTGAAAGAGAGCTGATGGGCGGTGCCTGAAAAGGATGTTAGCCAGCTCTCTGAAGCGAACCACATCAGTCATTGAAAACACCTTGGGGCTTGCAAGAAGGTACTATTAGGGACTAGTTGCTGACGTGAAAACGTCCCCCACCAGTACCAGTACCAGTGGCCGTGATAAGTAAACAAGTTATTCAATCAATCAGATCCTGAGATAAACGAATGAACTATCTAGAAATCGTGCAATAATGTGAATCTTGAAAGCTTTCATGGTGAAAAAAAAGTCAACTATGTTGTGTATTTATATCTCCAGCATGGGAATGAGATCTCAAATCTGCAAAAATTGGATACAAATCAAGTATGCGTCCCAACCCAAATAACGAACCGTAACAATGTTGTTTATTCTTGATGACCTAGTACATCCTTTTTATACCTTTTCAACTTCAATTTCGGAATCGGTGAGTTATATTTCGGAAAAAGTAATCTCGATTTCAGAATTGGTTAGTTCGATTTCAGAAATGGTAAACTCAATTTCAGAATCGGTGAGATGAATTTCAGAAAAAGTCCATTCAATTTCAGAAATGGTGAGTTCTATTTCAGAATTATTATTGGTAGAGGTTCAATTTCAGTAGATGAAATCCTTTTATATGTTTGAAATGTTTTTAATTGCAAAAGAGAAGATTGTTTACAGTGGATGAACGGTGTTTATGAGCCCTATGTTGAATCAGACTTGAACATATATTCAAGTCAGAAGTGAAGAGCTTCTTGCAAGAGCATCGCCAAAGGGTCATAGCTGGGGATCCGAACAGCTTGCTCAACCAGATAGAATTCAGACTGCGATGTCTTGAGGAATGTGCAGATCATTCAATGAAAATGATAACACCTCAAATGTGTTTGCATTCTCATAATAATGTGCAACGCTATTATCTTCCAGCGATTCGGATGGAAGGCATCTGTGGATCAAATTGAGATAATAATTATATTCCTTATTGAATTGTTTTTGACAAGTTGAATATTGTAAATATGGTTTGTTAATCTCACATACAATTGCAAACATTTCGAACAAATGTAAGGATTTTTTCTGAAATTGAACCTACCAATTCTGAAATACAACTTACCATTTCTGAAATTGAATGGACTTTTTCTGAAATTCATCTCACCGATTCTGAAATTGAGTTTACCATTTCTGAAATCGAACTAACCAATTCTGAAATCGAGATTACTTTTTCCGAAATTGAAGTTGAAAAGGTATAGTTCTAGACACTGAAAGTGTTGCCTAGCAACATGCCTATGTTGGTGTCAGTGTCAATTCAAGAGCTAATTTTGATATTTAAATGGTCGACTTTAGTGTTGGTTGCAGAAAATAGTTATTTGTTCAACTAGGCAGCAAAGTAGTAGATTGACTGCCGAGGCTGAATTCATAGCCGAGCGTAGCGAGGCTAGGAATTCAGCTAAGGCAGTCAATCTATTTTTCTGCCGAGTTGAACATATAATTTTTTCTCCGATTGTTCATAATGATATATATCTCTTGATATTTCCTGTAGTGTTCAATTGAAATAAAATTTGATCGAAATCTCAGTTATTGGAATGGTTGGATGCTATGGAAATGTCCATAATAATTATAGTTTGACAATTCATGAAATTTCTGACAGTTGTGCGAAAAAATATCGGTATATTTAAATTATTATATAATGGAAAGTGATAGCGATTGGAAGTACTTAAACCTCCAGAAATAAGGGAGGTGGCAAAAATATAGAGTTGAATTTGTTGCCGGAGAAGTCTCGGATGAAATATGAAGGAAATTATAAACGATTTATGGATTATTAATTTTGCTGATACATATCAATCAGCAAAATTGATATTTGCTGCCAATCGGAGGAAAACAATATTATTTGAGTCAGACTTTCGACATCGCTTATATATTTCCAAAATGAAGTACATGTTTGTAACTTCCCTCGTATTTATTTTGCGTCGGAAGCTGTGCCACGGGTCTCTAGAATCCATTATGAATTTTCGAAAAAATCTTATTTGGTATTATTAGATCAACTATGAACTGCAGAGTTCCTGGAAAATTCTGTTTACAAATAAATGCTTATCAGCTATTCATTGAAATTTGAATAACACAAAATAACATTTTATCATGTCGAGTTGTAGGATACCCCACGGTAATGACAAATTACCTTATCAATTTCGCATCACATCGTGTATGTGAATTCCTCCCAGTTTGTAAAAAGATAACATAATAGTTATGGCAACGGTTGCTATCAACATATTCATCCCTCGAGCCAATAATGGTCTTCGGGTGGATGTTACCCTCCGGGCGTTAGGATCTTTATAACGAACTTGGTACATAGAATATGATAGAATTGAATAGAATCATATAGAATAGAATATTTATTCATCCTTTGTGTTCATATACATGAAATAGGACTTGTCAGTCGAGAAGTATAAAAATATCTGAGATTAAATCGTAATATAAACCTACATATTAAAAATAAACAATCATAACATCCATAAAAGAATCACAAACAAAATACATTGGGGACATTCAAATACAAAAAATCAAAACATTCAAATACATAAAGTTAAGAATTAAATATTAAAAATTAAGAATCAAAAACTGTACTCTCAGTTCACTCATAAGTAAGGTATTCAGAGGTGGACTAAAAACTATCCAAAAATTCTCTGACTTTCTTGTTGAAGAGGTTGTATGATTGAATATCTTTCAGCTCAGATGGTAAATTATTAAATAATTTTGTTCCAGCCAGAGAAGGAAAAGAATGTTTTGGAATAATTATTTTTTACCATGCCCCGTTTGGTAACGGTGATTGTCCCAATTCCTAGTTAAAAACTTTATATTTCGTTTAATATAGCATATATACACAGCTATGAATATATTATATACACGAAACAGTCAATAATGAATGTTTCTTGAAGTATGGTTTACATGAGTCTGTTTTTTTCAAGTTACTGGCCCTCTTCTACGCTTTGAATACTCTATTTATTTCAGTGGCTCCTCCCCATAGGATAATATTATACGTAATGTGTGAATTTATGATAGCGTAATAAACGTTGATCAGGGTTGTTTGGTCGAGTTGTTTTTTTAACTGAAATAATGCGATATACCCACTCGATAATTTTTTGCACACATGATTGATTTGGTATTTTCAGCATAGAGCTTCATCCAAATGTATTCCTAAAAGCTTGCTTCTTTCTGAGGGTTTAATGGTGGTATTATTGACATTAACATTCATTGAGATATGATTTTCCTGTTTTTTCCGAAAAACTGTAACAATACCATTTTTTCGTCGTTCACTATTGATTTGTTACGTTCGCACCATGTAGTGAATAGATGTGCCACAGCATTCAGTCTAGCTTGTAGTTCTACAAGATTTTCGGCTTCCTCTGCAATAGAAGTATCATCAGCAAATAAAACAATGCATTTTGATTTAATATAAGATGGCATATCGTTTATAAATAGAAGAAATATCAGAGGTCCTAACACTGAGCCCTGCGGTACTCCGACGTCAACTCCACATATATCTGATTTGACTTCCCCTAACTCCACTTGAATTCTTCTCGAACTCAGAAATGAAATAACCCATGAAAGAAAATTGCCACGTAGCCCCAACGCGTAGAGTTTGTCTTCAACAAATTTAAGATCGATGGAATCGAATCAACACTTTTGTGGATGTAGGTATTCAATGAAATTCACACAGGCAGTTTCTGTCGAACGGCCTGGAATAAATTTATTCTGACAGTCTTTCAGTAAGAAGTGGAATAATCTATTGTATATGCAACGCTCAATTACTTTGCTAATGACATTAGGGATATTTATAGGTCTATATGGTTATCTAGAAGACGTGGATCTTGTTTTTTGTAGATTGGAATGATTTTACCGACCTTTACCATATCTGGAAAGACTTCTGTCTCTACTGACAAATTTATGATATATGAGAGTGGCTCAGCAATAAAACTGCCTCTATGCATTTAATGATATAAATAACTATTATGTCTCAAGGGCGTGAATTAGGCTTTTATGGACAGCCGCGTGCAAGTGAGTGGTCGATAAGCATTTTCCTTTTTTTGTAGTTGTGATGAATAGAAGTTTTAGCTGCAGATTGCTAAGAAAATGATTGAATGGATATGAGACCCAAATGACGAACAAGCGTGCCATCAAGTAATTTCAGTGTATATCAAGAAATTTCCAATTCTGATTAGTTCAAAAAATCCAATTAAATAAGCATATAATTCCTGTTTCAGTGAAAATTGATATTTCATCGTTTTACCCTCGCGGTAAAACGTAGAGTTAACTGTGACGACATATACCGTGACCAATCCAATGCAACTATACCTATACGATACGACTTAAGTACCTTCCATACCCTATACTGATACAGCACAAAACATCCATTGGACGTCTACTAGGTACAGGTTCATTTCAATTCCAAGCGCCCATGGACACTGAATAAACATCCAATGTACGTTCAAACATAGGTGAGCATTGGATGTTTCAAATTGTACGACCAGTAAACGTCCATTTGATATCCAACCATCCTTGGACGTAAAATAAACATCCGTTGTACGTACGAATATAGACCCACAATGTATGTTTCAGAATTAGCGTAAGTTGGACATCCATTTCAAGGTAAGAGTTCTCGTTTGACCAACATCCATTCAACGTACAAATATTGACGTAGTACATTGGATGATACAAAATTGAACTTCCACATTGGATGTTCATTTAACGACCATTCTGTGTCCAAGCATTCAAGGATGCAGGATGAATATACATTATGAGTATAAAGAAACTGTACAGGCTAAACAACTATTTGGAAATCATTTCAAGTCTAAACGTGTATGGATGAACGTCCATTGTACATACAAAGATAGACTTTAAAATATTAATTTTTTTGCTACGATGGAGATGATGCGAGACGAAACAAAGCTCTAGAGCCTAAACGAGGGTAACGACTGGCAAGACGCCATTTTGAGTTAGTTAATGACCGTGAGTGAGCCAGACGTATTGTGTTTGTGATGAATTATGGAATGGTGACTATTTAGCACCAAATAATTCGAAACAGATATGATTGCGAAATTATATTTGATTTTGAGATTCATATGACTTTATGAACGATCATATTTCATTTTGCTTTGCCGCATTTTTTCTTTATTGTGACTGGTTGTTTCGGACGTTGCACGACTGCCACTGTTTTCTTCGCTCTATTCTCGACAAATACTTTCCTAATATAGGTCATTCGTTTTTTCAAAACTTCTTTCCAACCACAATCCATAGCTAGTCTCTTTTCTTCTTTCGATGGACTTCTTTGTAATACTTTCGTGAATAGGAGTTGCCAAACTAGGTCAGAGTTACATAACTGAAATCAAATATATGGTGAGAATTTCGAACCTTTGTCTATTGGCCGTATTCAAAATAAAATATAGGTACACCTTGTGGGGTTCAAAATTTGCTAAGTTGGTTGTAATGATCATGATCACACATTATATAGGCCAAACAAGGCGACTCAGAGAAACAAGGTTCAAAGAGCACCTAGCACATTTGAAATATGGTAGATTAGATGATTCGAGTGAAGGCGAACACATCATGTTCAATCACGATCATAATACACATAAATAATAACTTTGAATTAGTCAAACAAATTGATAATGTCAGAAAGAATAGCTATGCTAAACTCCGCCAAGTAAAATAAAGGCCATTCATTATTATTATTATTATTATTATTAATATTAGATGCATATATTAAAGCCTGAAAATAGTAATAGAGTTATGAATAAGGATTCATTTATCAATTCATTTATTTTTTTATCAAACATATCTTCCAGTCAGAACAAGTTCTGGTATGAGGAAGAACATAATTATGAAATAATGAGTGATAAATATATATGAACTACTACACAAACATGAGTAGAAGTGAACATGAATAATAAATCATAATAAATTAGGATATCACAATAAATCACAATAAAACAAAACAATCAATGAACAAAGAAAAGCATTCTAGTCAAAGACATAATTTACTGATAAATTTTCAACATTTCTCTCAGAAATTATCAGTTTTTTTATTTTCTTTTTCAATGTACCTATATTTCTGCAGTTTTTAATTTCATCTGAAAGTTCATTGAACTCAGATCAGGCTGCACGAGTGAATCTTTTGGGTCCGAGTGTAGAACTAGCAGCATCAAGGTGAAATAAGTTATATTGTCTAGTTTGATGACTATGAATTTCAAAATTTCTTGTCAAAATAATATTAGATTTCAATTTTTCATTCATGATATTATATGAAATTTTCAGAGTATCTTATCTGTACAGTTCTTCGAGAGAATATGTTTTTGTTAAGGCATGCAGTTTAGTTGTTGGTGTATCATATGGAAGACGATACAGTACTTTTAATTATTTCCTATATAATGTTGATATTTTATTGAAATTATTTTTAGAACAAGATCCCCAAATATTTATTGAATAGTTAATTCGACTTAGTATATGTGAATAGAGTACTATATTTGCAATTTTCATATTGAGTTTGGGACATCTTCTCAATGCACCAATAATAGGAGATATTTTCTTTGTCAGCATACCTCAACATGTTTGTCCCACTTCAATTCTTCATCAAACCAAATACCTTAATACTTTATCTGTTCAGTTTATATAGCCCTCTAAATAGTCTAGTGATTCAAAATTGGATTAACATGTGAACTCAACTATGAAAGATGATATTGACTATTACCCTTTATTATATACTTGGCTGTCTTACAAGGTTAGGTGAACATTCCTAGTCCAAATTGAGACACAACCAGATTGGCGAACAAATTCAAAATGATTAAATTGGTAATAATCAAATCATATTTAGCGAAACACGTTCAAAACGTTAAAAAATCGAGTTGGTTAGTGTTAGTGGAGAATCATTGTAGTGTGATTGAGTAATATATTATAGGTTATTATATATAGGAACAAAGTGATCATTTGTATATCAAGAATAGCCTGTGTTCGTGGACCGCTTTCAAAAATACGATATGAGATACAATGAATGACATTATTGTTCAAGAATATTCAGAGCGTACAACCTTGAATTTACCTCTAAAAATATTTTTGACGTTAATGACATCCTCAAAACATCGTTCGTATTCAAATATTTCAGGATATTTAAAAAAACCTTCGGTGGTAGATGATGCAACTTAGTTCTGTGGTGGACAAGATCGACTATATACTGGTACACATTATCACCGAACACATTTTTTATTTCTTCTTGCAGGAACCGATCGTCGATAAAGTCTTCAACCTCGAGGAATATCTGTTTGGGAAACACATGAGGGCCGTGCGTCACTTTCCAAATGTTGAGACAAATCTGAAACACAATTTCAACAAGGAAATTAATAATTATTAGTGATTTCAACCTCCAGGTCAACAAGCGAAAAGGTTATGAGGATTATCATTAATTCACAAATAGAAGGATTCATTTCAAATACGACCGCACGATTAGAGAATTACTGGGATTCAATAATCGTATTCTAGAAGCATATCAGCAACATAACGTCTAGTAAATCAGTGAACATCTTGGGTGTCAATGCTATCAGTATATATTGCAATATGGCAACAGGCAGCTATCATAACGGCAAAGAAGCCCACTCCTTATCGTCGTTTTTCCGACAGTGGCTCCTGGTTATAATATTGTAACCGACACAAAAGTCTTCCATTTCGAAAACAAAATTAGCTCTTGAATTGACGTTTCTATTACTGACTTGAAAATAGGTATGTTGCTAGGCAACACATTTAGTTCCAAGGAGCTAAAGTTGAACTTTAGATCCTAGGAGCTAAAGTTGAACTCCTAGGAACTAAAAAGGATGTACTGGATGTCATCAAGAATGAACAACATTGCTACGGTTCGTTATTTGGGTTGGGACGCATACTTGATTTGTTTCCGATTTCGGCAGATTTGGCATCTCATACCCATATGCTGGAGATATAAAAATGCACAACATGGTTGAGTTTTTTTTTACCATGGAAGCTCTCAAGATTCACAATATTGCACGATTTATAGGCAGTTATTCATTCGTTCATCTCAGGATCTGATTGATTCGATATCTTGTTTAATTATCACAGATTTGGCATTTCAAGCCCATCATGCTGGAGATATAGATACACCTTGGTATAGTCTTTGAGTATCCACACTAGTGCATATTATCAAGGGTATTGTAGAGTATTTTTGTTTTGGTCAGGAAAGCCTTCAAGATTCGCATACTTGCTTGATTTGTATTTCATTCGTTATTCTCAGGATATATAACTTGTTTTTGAATAATCACTGCCATCAACAATAGTTTTTAAAATCAAACAACGATACTATTTACCTACACTTGATTATCAAGCCAAACATAGTGGAGTATGGAGAGAAATAAATAATCGCTATTATTATTGTTGATATGCTCACTAACTAACATTTTCCACGTCTTGTTCCTATACCTGGCACTGGAGCGGTCTTTGCCATTAGAGCATCTGGTCCATACACAAATATGTCACTCTGTGGTTGTATTTATATTGAAACTACAATTCGAACATCCTTGAAAATTGAATAAACCTGCTGTTAATGCAGGTAGAATATGGATTATTTGTTGCATTGCATTCATATGGCACGGCATTGGTGGTTACTTCACATATCTATTTGAGTTAATTGTTTCGGTTGCAGAAAAAGTAGCATGTTTCATTCGGATCAAAAGTGACTTTGTTTGACTCGCAAATTTAGCTTGTCAAACAAAGTGTCACTTTTGATCCTAATAAAACCATCTACTATTTGAACATCGAAACTGTCATATATTTTAAGATCAGTGTGAAGACAATAAATAATATTACCATAAAAGTATTGGACCAAACCGGAAGACTTGTGAATTTCCGTGGTGAAACAATAACCGTAAGTCTTATCACTTGAAAAACCTTAGAAGCCTGAATGATTATCAGATATAACAGAATATTCTATCCAAATCAGCCCTTCCTTATAAGAAGGTGAAACCCTTGCAAGAAACATCCAGTATCAGAAAAAAACCAAGAAGTTAACGTCATCTAATCGTCTATTCCTCAAGTCTTTATAGGGTTTACAGTTCTGGTGCGATGGATTTTTTTAATATACATCAACAACCGCTGATTGACCAATCAGTTCAGGAGATAGATATGATAGATAGATATCAACCATTCATACAAAAAACTGATTACAATGATGAAGTGATAATTCAAGTTCCTACTTTGGATTTATATACTTTGCCATATCAAAGTTACTTGTACATTGAAGGACGTTTAACAAAAGCAGATGACAGCCTCACAGCCCTATCGATAAACTCAGATTCATCAATAACGAGTTTTCTCTTCAGAGAAATAAGGTATGAACTGAATGAATCGATAGTAGATTCATTCAGAAATGTTGGATTAGTATCAACGATAAAAATAACGAGATTATCGCCTTACAAAACGCTGGAGGGTTCCCGAAATTGAATTTTTCCAGATCAGAAAATACTAGTTGATAACAGAGAGAATTATTCCGTTTGTCTCCCATTATTCCTGCTCCTTGGCTTCTTCGGCGATTACCGGAATGTTATTTTGAACATGAAACAGGAATTAGTACTGATTCGAAATATTGATGACCTTGACAGTATTTATTTTACTGATATCAAGGAAATTCCGAAAGTTCATATCGATAAACTCTTCTGGCTCATCCCCCATATTTCGTTAAATGTACCTCAACAACTCAAATTCACAAAAGTTGTGGAGAAGGGACAAGATATACTGTTAGGATTCCGCAGCTGGGAGCTTTTGGAATATTCGACCTATCAAATATTCGCGTTTTCCTAAACGACGACCGATATCTATTTAATGATTTACATTTGAACTTCAGTGAGAACAAAACATCTCAATTATATTCAATGTACATGAATTTTTGAGAGTCATATTATGGATTGGAAAAAGAACCAATATTTTCTCCGAAAGAATGTGTCGAATCAATTCCTATGGTCCACATTGATTGTTCTCATCAGAAAGAATCTATGCAGACAGGGTCAGTCTCATTGAGAATAGAAATCGACACTGATAAAGCTGTTCTAGATAACACAACAGGGTATTGTCTCATTCTACACGATATACTTTTCAGTTATAACCCCCTGACAAAAATTGTGGAAGAATGATGAAATTTATCCATCTATTTTATCTATTACGGAACCAATTAGAAAAGAGAGCTATGAAGCTGGTCAACCTCAGCAAACCAGAACCCGAGGTGAAGCTTATCGCAGGTTTTCTCTCCTGTGGAATACTTTGGTACCTACTGATACGTTTTGGACTAAAGATGACTTACACATTGTTCTCCAATAGTCAATCCATAATAATCTCTGCAAGGTGCAATAGCTCTTGCATACAACTGAAGTAGAGTAGATTTTTTCAGATTTCGCACATTTGTCATGTTTTGACATGAGAACGTCATAAAATCAGTCACATACCTCTGTTAGCATTCAAATGTGATTTGAGACATCGTGGATTTGAGTAAGAGATGAAGTAATAGTAGGAGAGTCAACTGCAAATTTCGACAGTCATCTGATAACGGAATGTTATATGCTTCAAAGGCATGCACAAACATCGTATTTCATCGAACGTCACCCGTGCCAATCACTAACCTGAGCAAAATGCTTGAAAATGACACTTTCCTGTGCGGTAATTTGCACTCAATTTCGCGATTTGGTAACGAGAAAAGAATTATGCTATCCGATACCAATTGAATGGTCAATCTCAAAAACATACCTGTGCTAGAGTGCCTCAAACATCTCATTACACGCCCTTCGATGAGTGTGGACACGCTTGTCACCACTGACATTTCAGATTTGTCATTATTCTCAGAATTAAAACGTCAGTTCGGAAAATTGAATAGGTGAGAATGTTTTCAAATATGTCTTGTTCGAAATCCTAAGAATTATGATTACCGCATTTATATTTGAGTTGCCCAAATAAGAGAAGACATTTCAAGTGTTCGTTAAAGCTTCAAATTCCGATATTGATTTCATAGAAATACATTCAATGAAGTGTAATATTGATATAACTATGAAATGAGCTATGTGCCTTTGATGTTACGCCACTGTTAGGGTAATAATAATAATATGTCTGCACTTGTTCAATGAAGGGGTACAGAAAAATGGCATTCCATCTCATATAAAACATATTTGTGTCTCATATTTTCTGATCAGTTTTAACAATATGACAAGTGGGTCCACACTCTTTAAAATGCCTTGAATGAGATCTAATCGTAGATTCGCGATTGGGTGTTCTCAATTTGGAGTTTTCGTTTCACGCCCTGGATGAAGAATATTAATTTGTCATTCATCCAAACATCCAAACATGAACATAAACTACTATTTACTTTCCACTTCTTGTTAGTTTGGATCATATTAGTTACAAAACTCGTCCGCCATATTGGATCCGTCATCTTGAATCATTTCTCAATATCGACGTGAGAATCATATTCTACGACCTCGAAAATCCCTAGATACCAATTTTGAATTGAATCGGACCATAATTACAAAACTTGTCCACTATATTCGAATCATCAGATTAAAAAATATCTCACCACCGATTCTCAGACCAACCAAATATGGACGAAAATTTTCATCAGAAAAGGTCAAGCCCTTTTGGAGGAGTTTGGCAACAAACAACGTGACAGGAGAATTTCATACACTGTGTTCACGATAAGGATACCTATCATGGGGATTGTTTTTATTTTTTCTGACGTTATTCAGAGAGATATAGGAAAACGAAACACATTACCTCAATGCTATGAGAGATGTTCCGTTCGACAATTCGTTTCGGAGAAACCATCATCAACTTTACCCCAAGATGGACATCCTTATCTAGGACACAGTTTATATTAGTTCGAAGTACCTACTTTCCAAGCACCTCCACTTTTCCACGATCTGGCACCGCTCTCCCGCGATCACACTCCAAGGAAGGAACGGGGTGAATTTTCTATTCGACCTCTTGGTCATCTTGGCTTTCCAGGCCGCCTTGACTCTCCAAGTGGCATTCCTGTCTTCTCTAATTCTCATCTCTTTGAGTTGGGTAATGCGATTGAAGTCTCCTCTCGATTGAGGAGTTCTCAACCGAGGCCATCTTCTTCTTAATCGTTTTTTTCTCAGAGATGAGCTCAAGAATATCCTCCGGAAGGTTGTCCTTGATGGAGTCTATGATGACCAATTATGTCGTTCTGTCCCCCTTGCAGCTATTATGGCGTTATAGAGTTCAAACATTTCTATGTTTATTCCTCTTTCTGCTATATTATTTTCTATTTTTATTTTGTCAGCTGAGCTATGAACATCTGCCAGTTTGTGGTTTTTTAATTTAAGTTGTTTTTTTGCCGAAACTGTAAGGTACTGGGCAAATAGTCAGAGCTCGTATAATACACTATTTTTTCTGTGACAGAAAATACGACGATACAATATTAAGGAGATATAACATCATGATAAAATTAGAAAATTATCGATGTGAAATTTTGAGTTTTCAACTAATAGAGCACCTGCGTTGCAGGCATCTTTTTGCAGGCATCATCTTGGTTGCTATGGAAACCTCATCAAGAAATCGAATATCTGTGATTTGATTTAAAAAAATTGCGAATTTGGTAATTGTTGATTTATGTAAATACCCTCATAACCGCGAAGTTGAATGGAAGTAAAAAGTTCTTTCTCGGATACCATGTTATTGGTTTATTCTTCGGAGCAAAGAAAAAGCCATCAACAGAGTGCACCTACAACATCATATATCCGGGAAAAAGTACTCAACTTTTTTCCCGAGGCAAAAAAGTAATTTTAGGACAGGTGACGGGAAAGGGCATTTCATCTCTGTTGACGGGTTTTAAAAATGAATTTCACTTTCATAATTTTTTTCCCACAGGAAAAAGTACTCAAGTACTCTCTTCATCTTTCCTGTCACAGAAAAAAATTGTGTAATATACACGGGGAAAATAAAATGGAATAAAATTCTAGCTCACGGTTTTTTGTCTCGTGAAGACTCTCATTGAACTTTCTGTTTACAACTCATAGCAGTCTCACTTCTAATGTGAATGAATGTGTGATGAGAATAAAAGATTCATATTTCATATCAATTTTATTATCCGATAAAAGTAAGCGAACAGACTAATAAATTATTAGAATAATATCACAAGATGAAAAATATATATCGATTCAAAAGCAACACTCGCATTTACATAGAAAACCTAATACGTAGTGCAAGAAAATCATTATTATTTGAGATTGCATGTAACAAAATTTCGAATACATTATCATTAAAACATTAAAAATATACTCACATTATCTACTACAACAAGGTGAGAAATAAAAGTTCTTACAAAAATAAACTAATTTTTGGTCACATATATTTCATCTAAGTGAAATCACAATCACGAAGGATCACGAAAAATCTGAGAATTTAGGATCTATTCATCCAATAAAATTTGAACATTATCCTTTCACAGTAAATAGTATAAAATAGTCTAGATTAAAATGATTGTACGAGATATATATTAGGAAAATGGAGGAAGGAGTTACATGAAATTTCATCTCTAAACATTCCAATAGTTCTAGTGGATCAAAAACATCTATCATTCATGGAAAATAACAAATACTGACAAGATTGTATAAAAAATAGTATCATCTGACATTTACTATACTACAACAAACTATAGCATCATATCAGTACATCAAAGTAAAATAGATTGGTACTATTCCTAATACTTTCATAAACCCACGTGGAAAAATAAAATCGAAGGGATGACATCCACCCTGTATGGAATATGTAGTATGAATGATCTCGAACTATTTGTAATACGGTGAATTACCATGCGTTCCAATTATAATAAATATCTTTCATAAATATTGGTCTCGATAAATAAAGACGAATTAATTATTGTTATATGGCATCTCAAAAGATCGTTCGTTATTGCCGCATGAATCCAAAGAGCTAACATCGTGGGCACAAGCTGCGGTATTTCTTTCCAAGGCCTTCATACGGATTTTCATATGCTCCAACATCTTATCGATGGCTCTGAGTCGTTTTTCCAAGCTAGTAGTACTCAGAAAACCAACCTGAAATGAAGACAATGATGAAGGAATACCTATATTACTGAAAAATGTTCTTCATCGTTAGAGAATAATTATAAATATCGAGCAATATCATACTCTGAAAAGTCCCAATGTGCATCGATACACGATAGATAACTACCTACTTCTATCATTTTTACATTTCATGAGTGTGGAAAGAATTACTTTGCATATGCCTAGATCTCTTATACAGTTCGAAAACGAAGTATTTCGTGTTTCAATCTGATTTTTGGAAGATAATAAGGTTCCAAATCGAGTGAAACTGATGAGTACATAACAACCTTCATGACATTGGGCGCCAAAAAATCACAAAATGTATTCACCTCAACGGCAGTAGTGAGTTGAGGCTGATTCTGGGTCTCCCCAGAGGCCAGATTGCTGTGACCTTGTGGAGGTGACCGTTGATAGGACCTTGAGATCAAGGTATTCTGTGACATAATTTGGACTCAAATGGATATGATGGATAGCTTTGAGTATATAAAAGATGCCTAGATTTTGTGAAAGTGTGTGTGCTTCACAGCTCTAGAGTAATGTCACTATAATTAATCAAGATACCAAGCATTATAAGTTTGCACAATAACTAGTTCAAGGGTAAGCCTCTTTAGTGGGTAGGAAGAGAGTCCTTGAAATACAAAAAATACAGAAAGTCAAAATATGTATCTCTTTGTCTTTGAGCTATGACAAATTGAGGCTTAATCACGAAAGATGTTTAAAAACTAATAGATAATGGCAGGCTTACATTATGAGTTGCGAGCAACACACATTATTTGGAGCTTGATATATAACCTTCAGGAAAGTATACACCTGCATTATTCCAAGATGTATGGCTTCATGTATGTCATTCTTCTTATAAAGCTCAAAAAGGAGGACTTTCGCGTTCAAATTTCATGTATACAAACAGATGAAATCAACGACTCTGAATCATGTGATACTGATGAGTACCAAAATAGTTATCTCCGTGGCATATTGGACGACAAAAAGTTTTATTATTTTGTTGTCAGTAGTGAATTATAGCCGATTCTGGGTCACCCCAAAGGTCAGAATCGTGTGACCTTGTTCAGGTTGAGAAGACCTTAAGATAAAGTCACTCTCTTTTCGAATTAGCACTGCTTGAACTTTGTGAAAAGGTGTGTGCATCACAGCTGAATGTGATGCCCCTAGTTCATCTTCATGGAAATGTAATATATTCCACCCAGAAGAAAAGAAGCTTACACAATTTCATCAGAAATATCAAACACAATCATCAGGAACCTATGATCATCATCTCATAGCAATACAAGTTTGTACGAAATTAAAATTTAGGTGAACACTTCCAGTTGGTAGGTATTGAGACAAATTCAAAATCTGCTTTTTCTTTCGTATTACCTATGAAATATCGAGGCATCGCAGAAGGTGCTCAAATCACTGATAGGCAATGACATGGTGGATGCTCTTTCTTGATAGGTTGTATGTTAGTTACTATTAATCTCATTGAGATGAATGCTACTTACTTGGAGTTGTGAACTGAGTGGTAGTATTGGCATAAGCCACCAAGCCCATGAAGGTCCATCAGCTAAGTTGTACCAGTTCTTCTCAACCCTAGGCATTTTTCCTATGAGTCTCTCGACTTCAGCCAATACTTTGGGTTTCAATGACCTGATCCACTTCGAAGCTTTGCTGTAAACCTTCTCGTGGAGCAACAGCAAATCTTGTAGTCTCTCGCTAGGAACATCATTGTCTTTGATATATGTTATTTTCGCTGTATCGTAACCATCCTGAAAGAAATAATAAATGTTTGTGTCATACAACATAATCAGAAATTGAAATAAACCAAGAATCTACTCAATGATTTTATTCGACTAGAGAATAATACTTACTTGCTCATCCCTACTGATGACCTTGAATCTCCTAACACCCACTGTGGTGAGAATGTACCTGCCATCTTCCAAATTCACAGCATCCTTGACTTCCAGTACGGTGCCGTACTGCACGAATTTGTCCGCTGTGGAGTCTTTGCCTGCCATTGCGAATCTTTTCGTTGGTGATTGAAGACAGCGCCTGGCTATCAGTCGGTACCGTGGTTCATAGACGTACAAAGGGCAGGCTACACCAGGAAAGGCGTTGGTACAGATGAAAACTGGGATCTGAAAATAAAAAACATATATTTATTCGAGAATATATTGGTCGTATTCCCAAGAACTTTTAACCTGAAAAAGTTCAATGCAAACTCCAACACCCACCTCGTCTACTTATTTTCCCTTGGTAGGCACGATGTTCAACGAACATTATAGGAATTTCCTTATGTGCACTCCAAGAGAGAAAAGAAGGTCACTTTCTTGGGGAGCTTATGGAAGGATACCAAATAACGTCACCTGGAGCTCACCAAAAGGAACCCTTATACTGTAGATATTAGAACTTTCTTGATATTCTGGAGATAAAGAGTTCTTTGGAATATATAATGTTCGGAGAACATCGTGCGTACCTGTAGGATAGTGGGAGGACTAGACGAGGTAGGTATTGGGATTTTTACAGAACTTCTGGAGATTATGTTCAGGCAATGAATACTATAGCTTTGCCGTTCTATAGACAAACAAGTTTTGATAAAGTCGAGATGTTTTGAGGTTGATGACAAAAGTATTTGCTGACTGGGCTTGTCGAGTTTGTCTGACTGATATTACTAGTGACGGACTGAAATGAAATTCTTAGAGAACATTTCCAGATGAAGTATCTATTTATAAAGTCACCGGCTTTCCTGCCGTATTCCAAGGAATTAAACAAATGACACATTTTTGAATGGAATCTAAGAGCATCAGCAAATATTTGGATGTTGAACCCCATATGTGAGGTATCCTGAAACGGGCCTAATATGTGCTTTGTAGATAATAAGAAATTGTTGAGGTCTACAGTAGGCTTCTGCTCGAAATAAATAAGTCGAGTATTTGTGAAGAAACTTTTGCGATGGATCTGTTGGTTCTGCTATGTGGGAGACAAAACCCACATCATCTTCATACTCTTGTTAAGATATATTGAAGCAAGGTCATTATATACCCATTTGTGGTCGCAAAGTAGCGATGTTCGCTATACTGACAATCATGGAACCTGCCCTCACCTCAAAATTTGGCAAGAGCACAATAATTCTCGTGTGCTTTCAAATCGTCGAAATCTCTGGCTACTTACAACATCATTAAATCTATATTATTCTACGGGTTGATTGATTGACGTTCCTGGCGAACCAGAAGATGGATCGTTCAGAAAATTTAGGTTATCGCATGAACGAACCCGCTCTATTTTTCTTGTATGATTTCAATAAAGCGATGTTGCCGCTTCTACAAAAAAACAGCTCTGATATTTCGAACAAAACACCCTTTATTTCATTACATTTTTAGATTTTCCATAAAAGGCTGATGTCATAAATGCATCATGCTTGGGGTCCAGCGGGAATGATTACAGAGATATAGGATTTTTGTGTCGAAACCATTCGTTATTGGTCAAAACGGCTCACATGTCGCTATCTCAACTTTTGATTTACTATCTACTGACATTAAATTGGAACAAATACAGGGTGGTCAGAATTCTGAATCTTGAACCACCCTGTATTTGTTTCAATTAAATGGCAGTAGATAGTAAATCGAAATCTAAGATACGAACATGTGAGCCATTTTGACCAATGATGAATAGTTCCGACACAAAAAATCCTAATGTTGAATAATCTCGATTTTGAACAGCCTATATATTCATTCCCGTTAGACCCCAAGTGTGATATAAATCAAATCTTCAGGGTAAATCTGAAAATGCAATAAAAATCAAAGTTGCTACAATTTTTTGTTGGAAGCGGCAGCACCGCATCATTGGTATTATTATAGAAAGATAGAGCGGATTCGTTTATGCGATCAACCAATTTTTCTGAAATCCTGAAGTTGAAAAATCTCGAATTCGAACACCTATATCTCTGAACTCATTTTCGCTAAACCCCAAGAGTGATACGTCGATTCAATCAACCCTAATGGAGAATCTGAAAATGCAATGAAATACAGAATATTTCATTCGGAATATCAAAGTTGCTACTACTTTTTGGTGGAAGCGCCAACACTGCATCATTGAAATTATTTTAGAAAAATAAGAGCGGGTTCGTTTATGCGATAACCCCATTTTTCAAAACGATGCATAGGCTGGTTCACTAGGTACACTGCTACCCAAATAAATCGTAACGACTATTGAGTTATATGTTGTATATTTTGTACTAGAGAAGAACTTGAGCGGTATTGGTTTCAACATTACCAATCCTCTTCGATATTAAATATGATGGAAATGGCACAGGCTATTTTTGAAATTTTATTCAGCATTTGATGTTTTTATGTGAATGTGAGATACTTTCTCAACGTTACACAAAATGGATGATCTCGAAGTTCATTTTTTTAACATATTCTGATCGGGGGCAATAAAAGCTTCTTCATTATCTGAAGTCATAAGAAAACTAGCATACATGTAGATCTTTTAGGTCGCAGTGTATTCACCCCTTATGAATACAATACAATACAATTGTATTGTAAGTAAATATTCAAGAAAATTACAAATCATACCATTATAGTAGAATAATGATTGTTCAATTTCATGAGGAAGTAGAAATGAGTAACGAATACTTGTACAAAGTGACTTTGCAAAGACTATAATAATACTTATATATTTCCACACCCATTCCCCTTTTTTTGTTTTTCATTCAAATGGATTCACCATTATGTTTTTCTACAAATCATCATTTATTTATTTCTCATTATTGACTAACGAGAAATGTATGCTTGATATTTGTCACAATGTTATGTAACACCCTGCAGATTTTGTTGGAAATAAAATCAGTCGATGACGTCCATCGATTCCTTCAAGAATGCACTCTACAAATCATATTATTCAGTTTTTTCGTTAAATGTGACAAAATAGTTGCAATAACTTATGTTTTGATTACCGACATTTCCAGAAGAATGAATATCCAGAATCCTAAACACTGACAATATTGAATTTCTTCAAATACTTCATGTATAGGAACTTTTATGTCACAAGCTCCCATACTTCCACATTTTAAAATAAATGATAAATTATAGAATCAATTTTCACTACTCATCCTACCTGCTTTTTCACGCCATACCAAGAAAGAAGATGATAAAAAGATTTAGGTATAGGAAACTACCTACCGTCGCGGTCCTGCTTTGTAATAAAGATAGATATAATAATCCGTGGGCATAAGCAGATATTTCGATGAAATCATCACATGAGCCGTTACGATTCATTTGGGCAGCACTGTACATCCAATGAACGAATTATTCTTACATTGGAGCTGCTTTCTAGAATGGAACATTCCTTGATACTGATCGACACCCTCTCCCTGAAATCATCCGGCACCAGGAACCTGATAGCTTGCTGCAACACCTCCGTAGTGCCCCTGGAGTAGTCGGCCAAGCTCAAGGAGGCCATGCAAAGGGGACATGAGAGGCCGTGGTCCAGGACGCGGGTGAGACAGCCTCTGCAGAAGGTGTGGCCGCACGCGGTCGTCACGGGGTCCAGCAGACATCTGCTGCAGAGGATGCATTCGAGGTCGGAGACCGATATGCAGTTCCAGGTGCTTCGCAAGGCTTCTTCTGAAACCAAAAGACACGAATGATTAATTGAAAATAGTCACTCCCGTGTCCACAAATGAGGACAGCCTATTCTAATAGGTATGATTTTTATACAGCTCAGATTGTTTCTATACCAATTTCATATCAAACTCTTATGATAGAATGTAATTGATTATTTTCTTCGTATGATTTTAAGACAATCAGAACGTTCAATTGAGTAAAGTTACCTTGTATAATAGGCGAGTGGACTATTTCTTTTATTACTTTAATATAATCATCACTCAAATACCTTTCAATTTCATATTTTTTACGAATTTTTCGGTCGATTTCAAGGTGCTAAAATTGTCAATGAAGCCACGGTAATTTTCAAACGGATAGAAATTTACCGCGATCAAAAACTGACGTCACGATTTCGTAAGTAGGGACAGACCATAGCACAGTTGCCATATGTTGAAATACAACTGGGAACTTCAGAAATATAGGTGATTCATATATATTGGAACAAAACATATTCCTAATTATCAATAGATAATCAATTGTCTCGAATTGTTTCAACATGTCTTGTGGCTCATTGCTTATAATACATTTGTATAAATAATAATTATCATAATTCACAGAGATTCCCCAGACTTCAGATTCCCAAGGAAAAGTGCCGCCAGACATTCCACCCGTTGAGAGTCGAATGCCCGAAATCGTCTTCCCTCAACGCACTATCAGATGAATTTTGCTTGGTCTCAAAACGAATAAGGCTAACGGTCCTGATGAAATTCCACCCATCATCCTCCAAAAATGTGCACCAGAATTAACACCGATTCTCTGCAAATTGTTTACCGTCTCGTACAGGTCGGGTATTTTTCATCATGCTGGAAGACAGGTAGAGTCCAACCAATCCCCAAACATTATAGGTATTTTCTTTCGTGCGCTCCAAGCGATAAAAAAGAATAGGAAAATTGGCACATTCAGCACATTGTTGCCAAGTTTTCTTATGTTCTGGTTCCCACGAAAAGGGATATCCTTTAATGTTCAGAGAACATCGTGACAACCAAGGGAAATAAGGTAGGAATTGGTGTTCTTCTTGAATTTCTGAAGGTTATATGCCTCGGGGAACACCTGCCTTGGCAATATGTTCCAGAGCCTCGCTGTTCGTTGGATGAACGAGTCTTTAGAAAGAGATGTTCGGCAGGTCTCCAAAGTTACCACGAAGGGGTGCGAAGCCTCAACTCGACGGGTTAATCTCGCGGGGACTGCCAAGGGGGGAACAATTGTTCATTATATTTCAGAAGAGCATCGTCCATGAAAATATCTATCAGATAGAGCCAGATCGCCAACTTTTCTACGGTGTTCCAGAGAAGTGAGTGAGTTTGTGAGCGAAGCATCAGTCACGTGACAAATTGTCCTTTTTTGGACAGAATCCAACAGTTTCAAGGTATGTTGGGGTGCTGCACTCCAAATATGGAAACAATATTCCAGGACAGGTCGGATCTGTGCCTTATAGATCATAAGCAGCTGACTGGAAGTGAAACAGCTCCTGGCACGAAAGAGAAAACCAAGTCTTTGGGATGCACTTCTAGCAATTGATCTCACGTGATTTTCCCAAGAAAGGTTATTGCTGATAGTAATACCAAGCATTGAAATGGATGTCTTCAAAGGTGTGGTTACTCCTGACAAGCTTATGTTGGGCACAGTGAGATCAGCTTTTCTAGAGAAAAGGCATGATTGTGTTGTGTTTTGTTGCCAATTCCATATTTATGTTGTCAACATTTCTGCCTCGTTCGTTTCTGATTTTCCTGACTGGTATTGGAGCCCTGGATCATCCGCGAAGCTGTGTACTGGACATGAAGTTGCTTCCAACAAATCGTTGATATGGTATTTTGTTCTGAAGTATAAGAAATATATCATCATGACTTCCTCCTATTATGTTTTATCTCGTGTTTTATTCAACGACAGGAGTGGCAACACTCTTATACCTTTTTGATAACTTGATTACAATTGGTGACTTGAAAACCTTGCTTCATGAGTGGAAATGGAAGATTATCTGACCAATAACGAAACAGCATAAAAGCTGACATCACCATTTATTCGACGTATCGCCAAATGGCGGCCATGACGGTTCGTTTGAAATGAGCATAGACTCATTATTAACATATAAAGAGCGTGAGAGGTGTTGCAAAAATTAATTTAGGTCCTTAATGACACAGTGGAGTAATTGAATGTCAATAATTCATTATCAGTCCACTCGTCCATTTCGAATAAACATGGATATACATAGAGTTTACGAATTAAATATTGTAAAGTTTCGGAGCATCGGCTGGGGATAGTCCTGCACGATTCGCTGTTGCGTTCCAATTAACAGTTCTGCTCCTAAAGTGGCGCATGGAGTTAGTAACAAAGCCTACACAGAACACGCAGAAAGAGATGATGATGTGGTTGTGAGCATCAGAAAAGAAGTAGGATGGTGTATGTAGGTGGGTGTGGAAAACTTCCAGCTGAACGTGAGAGCGGATCAGCTGTTTAGTAGACTTCAGTCTCTAACGGGGGTAAACGAGGATAGCTAGCAGGCCTGCCACTGCGCATATGGTAGTGAGTACATTACTAGCCCACAATACACAGCCAAATAACTCTGAAAGAGAGCTGATGGGCGGTGCCTGAAAAGGATGTTAGCCAGCTCTCTTGAGCGAACCACATCAGTCATTGAAAACACTTGGGGTTTGCAAAAAGGTCCCATTAAGGACTATAGTTGCTGACGTGGAAACGTCCCCCACCAGTACCAGTACCAGTACATAGAGTAACTCTAGCAATCAGAAATATAAAATTATTTAAATTCCGAATATACGTAGATATACATAGTGTAACTCTACCAATCGGAAATTTAGAATTATTCAAATTTGTTAAGTTCTTTACATTCACTAAGGATGTCCATCAAGTAACGCCCAAGTTAATACATAAAAAACGTTTAATTATTTCTTGGTCCTGGATTGCATAAGTATGTATGTATAAGTAAATAGCATTTTTTATAATATAATAGATATCTACTCATCTTCTACATCAACTCGTTGTACCCTAAAAATCGATAATTCCTCATCAACGACGTAATTTATTTTGTTCTTATAGCAGTTTCTTCCGTAATGAGTATATGTAATTAGAAGTACCCACGTAATAATTTTCTTACGAGGATGCCTCATTTCTCTACCATATACAGGGCGAGTCATCATACTAACCAGCCATAGCTTGATTGCGGACAGAGAAAGTAGAAAAATATGTTTTGCCATATTGTGAATTCGAGACAAAACTTTGATGAACGATATTTCCGAAACATTACGACGTATTCGGATGAAATTCAGCCTCTATTGAGACTCCACAAGATGACTTACTATGTACGAAAAATGTCAGGGCCAGAGTTTAGAAACTGTTTTTTATGTCAAATTGTTTCCCTTATCGATCGTATTCTTCAAAAACTTTCATCGGGTTCAGAAATGACAGGAAAAATTATCGATGTATCGCTCTCCACTTTGCAAGGTAGTTGCAAATGAAGTCAGTAACAAAGTCTACACAGAGCACATATGAGCTGAAGAAGATCTCGTAAGGTCGATGGCAAATTATTGTTGTGCGTTTCCACCAGAGCTGATATACATGATGATTTTTTGAATGAGATTATACAATGTGGTCAAAAATACCTTGACATTTGGAGGTTTTGGGATTTTTCTCAATCGAACACCCTGTATACTATCAAATAACTGAACACACGATTGACTTCTTCTATCTCCAAAGGTTTACAAGTCATGAAAACATTATGAGAATTTCAATTGCATAATTGGTAGACGTAGGTCAAATAGTCACAAACGAGATAATATTACTATTTTTACGCCGGCAGGAGAAGAAGTTAGTTTCTCTGGTAACAAAAGAGGGGCAGAAGCCTCGTATTATTCCCTAGGGAGATAATGTGACATATTTTCTCCCTAGGGAGTTTATACCAACTTTACATTTTCCGCATAGCTCTGCGCTTTTTTTTCGGAACACCCTTCTCTGAAGCGAGTATAAACTGCATCATACAGATTTCTAAATCTCACTGGTAGCAAGTTGAGAATCACTGCAGAAGCATTATCAATAGTTTCTTGGGATTTTTTTCAAATTTCCATTCTTTCAATTTTTGTGTTTTCGCCAGCGTAAAAAATGCACCTCTGGACAAAATGCTATTTTTCCCTCGGTGCTTTGCACCTTGAAAAAAATCTTGCATTTCTATCCCTTCATGTATAATGTACTATTATTATACACCAAGGTAGTGGTGGTTATCACAAACTTGAGTTATTCGTATAACATGAAGAACGTTCTGAGAAAACAAAAAAAATAAAAATTCGTTGAGGAAAAAAGGAAATGAGAATTATGTACATTTTCACCAGTTTTAATTGAAAGAAAATCCTACTTTATAATGTCAATTCATCCTACATATTATAAGCAAAATACATAAAGGAGTTTCATTCTATATCTTACCATCCTGAATGGCCTGAATATAACTTCCGTTCTACACAGCGTCAACAATTTCCTAAGAAAAAAACAAGTCGAATCAAAAAGTTAAACATCCAACTCTCGGCCACCCCCTCTAGGAATTCTAAATGGCATTCTTCTAAGTCATAACGAACTGGCGCTGGTTGGATTCGGAAATATGAAAGACATCCCGGCGATTGTTCCCGATTACTTCCGATTGATATATTAGTCAACATGTTACATTACCGTAGGAATATTAGGTTTTACCGCAGATAAACAATTGCATTGTGCTTGTAACTCGAGTTTCTGTTGTAATTATTTCCTTTCCAGAAACTCGAAGTTAATGAATATTAAAATACACTTCACCAGCGCTTATAAAATGTCGACCTAGGACTATACAAAGCGAATTATGTAGGATGAAAACTATTAGCTGTAGGTGGATGATATTATAGCTACAAGTTCATGCGTTCAGAATTATTATTTTTCTAGAAGCGAAGGGTAATTGTTTCTATAATAGGTATTATTTTTCTTATCACAATACGAAACGAGTCAAGGGAACGTTTTACTTTGACCATTTTTTTTCGTGTTATAATATTATTTACTACCAAGGTCTATATTACATTTTTTCTACAAACGTCAAAAAATGACAAGGTTCGCGCATTGATAACAAATTGCGAAGTGACACTTTTTTTCAGTTTCCTACGTTACAATGATACCTTGCACAAAACAATGCGCGAAGTAAAACAGTGCGCGAAGTACCTACTTCGCACACTGTTATGTAAAATATATGAGATATTTATATTTCAACTTTATGGTCCTCAATCGAGCAAACATCCACGAAATCATTAATGTCTGAATTTTCAACAATAATTTTGTTTGATCTCTTGGAGCGCACGAAAGAAAATTCCTATTATGTTCGTGGAACATCGTGCGTACCTAGGGAGGATAGGGGGATGCTTTTTAAGCCAGTTCAACACTATTTTTTATATCAAGCTAAGCATATTTTTACTTTAGAACTATATTTCTTGACGTTTGTAGAAAAAATTTTGTTTGCAACTCGAGCGCGAAATACTTTGGTCATCTCGACTATTTTTTTCAACTCGGCTACGCCTCGTTGAAAAAATCAGATCTCGATCACCAAAGTAGCATTTCGCGCTCTAGATACAAAAATAACTATTTTTCATCCCTAACAATACATGTCAATCATTTTAGTTCTTTGAAACTGGATTATGGACCTATTGTCAATTCGAGTGCCATTCCTGCGAATCAGAACAGTGAATTCGGGTTAATTATATCAGAGGTGGCTATGTCTTTATTGACTAGTAGTTCATCAAATGACAAAAGTCATGGAAACCATCCATCCTTCTCAAAGTGGTCCAGATTTTTCAAAGAAAAAACACAAACGCTAAGTCGGTCGACCACAAAGTTTAATTAAACTTTGTGGTCGACCGACTTAGCGTTTGTGTTTTTTCTTTGAAATGACAAAAGCTTTGCGCCTTGAATAGTATATTCTTCAACGAGCGTATAATGATAGCTATTATTCCCGAGGATACGGCTCGTTGGCGAGTTTCGGAATTATCCGAGAGAATAATAGCTATTATACTCGATTAGAAGACTATACTTTCTCTACGACTATACGATAGTCAGAAATTTAATGTAATCTAATTATATTATCTATGAAAATAATATACTTATGTATGAATTTTAATGATATGATAATACAATTGACAGGAATCTTTAATATTTAACGAACTCAATGATGGAAAAACACAATAATTATTAGGTCAGTAAATTATGTTTCTCGTACTAAGTGACTAAATTTTTAGTGATATTCTCACAATTCGTGAAATTTTACTGTTGGTGTTGCATTTAAATCAACACTGACATTTTTATTCATATTGCTAGTTGATGTTTTTTGTGTGAAGGAACTGTCATTTGATGATGATGAACATTGTTCGATTCATTGAAGTATTCGAACCTGCCGTTTTTTTTATTCAACATGGAATCTTCTAGAAATCCTTCTGCCACCGATGTGCTCTTCCAGCCACCATGTACCTCCACCTGCATTGACAAGCAAAGCAATGCCCGGTGTACATCTCGGGATTTGGTAGCTTCAAAAATATAACTATTTGTTTTCCCATGGCTGCAAACTTATTAATTCCAATTTTCTAAAGAGTACATTTCCCTTTTTGGTAATTCATGAAAAAATTGGAAATCCCAACATTTGCTGCTCGTATATCAATGTACTTTTTACAAAATTGATAAAATTTCCCGGTTACAGTGAACCTCCTTACAATTTTTGTTTTGGTCTCAGGAATAGTTATCATCCATGGAGATCCAAGATCTTGAATATCTTCAATATTCATAGAGTACATTTCTATGGAACGGCAAGCCTCCATTATATCCTCCAGATATCAAAGTTAAAACTTAAAAGACTCTATAAGTCAATCTGACATTCGCGAAAGTCAAGCCGTGACGTGACCCGTAAAATGAAGCTGAGCCTTCTTGAGAAATTTGTTTGGTAGATTTGCTGGTTTTTCATTAGTCTAACCTTTTCAGTTGCTGTGGATCCTGAAAATTCTGAATCTGTGATTGGTCGAGTGCCGTTGAATAATGAGTTGGGATCCACGGTGTCTTGGAATCATCTTCATTCATCAATTACTAACCTATATGTAATCAATGTAGAATACGATAGTCGTAGAGATAGGAGTTTATAATGGTATAGGTTATCTGTTAGAATTTCACACACTTCTCTGTCCATCATTAAATTATGGGTAGTTAGAGGTTAGAGTAGTTAGTCATGACACCTTGTATATATCAGAAACTTGTCTCGTACCACTCGTACAATACTGTAATGTTACTGATATTGAATGGATACTAGACTATTGATTACATTTTATTATCTAATACAGTTGCAAATAGTCCATAACCTACTTTCGTTCTTACCTTTTATATCATCAACTTCTCGAAAAACGTTATCCAATGTCTCTTGAAAACGTTCGTAGTTGTCGGCGTAGATATCTTTGAAGGAACTATTACAGAAATTGCTATTCTTTGAAAAAGGCTTCTCGTTCATATACCTAGGGAAGTTCTCGCTTGGTTCGTCAAAGCATTTGGATATCTGTAAATATAGATTATCCTACTTCAATAAAATCGTATGATTCAAGCACTGAAAATATTTGTGCCTGAATTAGCAGAGATTTCATTTTAATATCATATCAATAATCACCTTAGCTTCAGTATCACTATTTATCTGTAGTCCAGCATAACCTGACCTAAGTAAGTATCTGGGTTCCAGTCCTAGAATGTCCACTGTTTTAGGAACTGATGAACCTGGAACAAATGAGAAAAATTGTGACAATCGTCAACTTGACTAGTAGGGTTTTCATATGAGCCAATGACAAGTGAGTTGATCATTTTCGTGATTTCGGTTTTCACCGATGATTAGCCTAATCTTTCAACAGTTTGTTGTGGCATCTGTCAAGAAATTAGGCTAATCATCGGTTGAATCCAATTTCAAATTGGTAACGAAATTCGTGAGTTATTCTTTTTTGAATTCAGGCTATATTTTGGACCACGACGTTATCAATGTTGACCAGTTTAGATAAACGTCACGTGACCTAGTGAATAAATTCTTCAATTATTCCATTTCACAGGAAAAAATAAATATGTGTGCATGTAGACACTTTTCCATTACCATTCCCATGTCTTCATACACCTTTTTTTTTCCGAACGACAAGTATTGCTCTGCTGATTTGCCAAACCTATAAACACGTCACAAAAAGTACCAGAGGAAGGTGTTGTAGAATATATATAAAGAAATACTCAATGTGAAATAAAACACTGTGTCACACTACTTTTACCAAATATGGTTTATAGATAATGTAACAAGCTTCACAAACAATAAAATTTGCAGAACTTGAATTAAAACAAGGCACATTTTATTACAAATACAGTATTCATACTCTATTAAATATTTGAGTTTACGTGTAGGTAAATTCATCAGACACGGAAGAGCAGGTGAAAAATACAGGAAGATGCTTCTCTAGGACGATTGAATAATAAATCTTGAATAAATAGAAAACCTTGATATAACTCATAATATTATACTCACGCACATTTATTTATATGTATTTGTTTATAAAATTGTTTATTTGCAGTTACACTGACCTTCAGTGCCAGCCAAAATCAACCAGATCAACTCAATTTTTCAACTGCAGCAAAAACCATCTATTTCACTGTTTAATGACAATGCACTTGGCAAAATTCCACATCTTGAACTGCATTCTAAGTATGCATTATCTCAATGCGAGCCAGTTTCATTTTCAACATTTTTTTTATCAGTTTGTGAATTCCGAGTGACTGATGGCGAGAGATTATCTGAATTCTCAGAACCTATATGCAGATACAAAAAGATGAATGAATGTGCATTGTGTCAGTGTATTTTCAGATTTTATTTGTGGATCTGGGAGTTTTCTGGTTCTCCAATTCACTTGTTTAGGAGCAAAACACTAGGAGAAGCCAAATATCCTTCTTTGTTTGGTACAATTTTCAAAGTTGTTTCAAATACCCCTCATACAGGGTGTCCCGAAATAACATGGAAAGATTTGAACCACAGATTCTAGGAACGAAAATAGTGGAAAAACTTCATAAATACATGGGTCTAGAAATGGTCCCCTGACAGGTTATAACCTTCTGGAGGAGAGCCCGAGATGATGAAAATATTTCCGAAACTCTGTGATAAAAAAAACAAATTTTGTACGTGCTCCTAACTTTTGAAAACGTTAAGAATTTTATCGAAACTTTGATCAAGGGCGTGGAAAACAGGGGGGCTCAGGGAACATTTCCTCCAACTTCTTTATTTATGCAATTTTTAGCAGTTTGACCAGGAAACATCTTCGAGATAAATCAATTTGATCAATTTTTCAATTCACTCTTTCTATTCCACTCCTCATATTTTTAATCAAACATCCAAAGTAGATCTTAACAATAAGGAGTATTTTCCATCGAACCATAATTTTTGGGAAAATTCGGTATGCTATTAAAGAAAAAACTCACGATATTCATGACGCAGCAGAATTTTTTAATCGACTTATCTCGGGAATGGTGAATGCTATCGAAACTGAAAAGAAGTACCATTTTTGTTTGAAAATGTTGAGATTTGAATATTTGCTGTTCAAAGTGCCGAAAATTGCATAAACAAAAAAGTTGCGAGGAAAACTGTACCTGGCCCCACCAATTTCCGACGCTCCTGGTTAAAATTTCGGAAATTCCTCTACACTTCCAAATCGGTCACTTTTTCACTATTTTTGTTCCTAGAATCTGTGGTTGAAATTTTTCTATGTAATTTCGGGACACCCTGTATATTTGAAGTGACTTCCGATGATATTAGAATATCACAAAACCCGGCTTATCTCTTAATATACAGGAAGCGTTTGATAACATTATCTTTGTATTTGTAACATTAAATGCTATATTATCAAACATGAATTATAATTTCAGATCCATTCGAATAGAAACGTGCAGTACATATGACGTAGCTCGATGTTATTCGTGGTCGCCAAGGTCATTAGATGACGTTCTGATGAAATTAAAAACTACGAAAAAACAAGTCTAACTTTCAATCTATGCCAGCTTTTATAGTCAATAAATAGTGCTGCAAATTTGTGAATGTTAAATGTTGTTCAAGCTAGTGTGTGACGAAAAATGGTGTCAGCAATAAGGTCAATTCGAAAATTTGTAAGTTGAAACATAACTGAGATACAAGGGGTCCCAAAATGAAACATTTTCAATTTTGCCTTGTATCTCAAGAGTTATGAAAATGTTGCATGCGGTAGATCGTGAGTTTCACGAGCAAGTAGCCAACGTTATAGAAAAATCGCAAATCTCTACCACACAGCCTTGAATAATATACCATATCATTTTACAGCCTCTCACCCTCTTTCAAAGGTATATCTTCAGTCTTCTTGTCACCACGTTTTCAACTCAAGTCTAAAATTCGCGCATCTTTCGAATTCAAATTCAATTTTTTTTTTCAAACCATTCGACAGTGATAAAATATGAAATCTACAATCACACGGCGGGGAAACAGTGACGTCACAGATCGTTCCCCCTCTCCGCGCACCCCCGCGCCCTAATGCTATACCAAAGAATAGTAGGTTAGTCATCATGAGGTAACCTTATAGAAGTTAATAGACTTGAGCCGGCTGCATGTGGTATATTCTATGTCATTTTGTTTTATATTTGGTAAAACTACCAATGAGGGAGCCAAATACAAAATCGAAAACACAGCCATGGTATCCATAGTGGCCAATCAACAGCCGAAATACAAAAACGGAAACATCATGTTTTCTATTACCAACACATATTTCAACCAATCAAAAACGTGTATTCTGAAATGAGTGGAATAATCGTTATCAACGTCCATTCAAGCATGCAAAATTGGTGTAGGTAGATACAATAGAGAATCTGTTGTTTGCACTCCGTCAACATCGTAAACATTTCTGAGAATCTGTACTTATAAATAATTCTGAAAGGGAAGGTGAACAGACAGTGACCCCTTCTCCATAATCATAATCGTGTGCTCTACGTGGCATTATGGAGTTATATTGTAGGTATAATAGGTCGTGTTCAAGAGTGGAACCTTGTGGAACTGAATATAAATAACGACTAAAATCCTGTTTGCTCTGTTGAATCCATTAACAGGACCGTCTGAAAGGGAACATGTGAACTGTTCCTAATCTTCTTGTTGTTACTTTTCTCAATGGAAAACGTTTACAAAAAATCCAGAACTTTTGCCTCAGATTTGTTTTCAATATGAATAGACGGTCACATATCTCACAAAAACTCACTGATTGAAGTGGCTGAGTATTAAAAGGCGAAGATTTTTTCATGGTGGTATTTTATTATTTCATATGTAATCAAACTGAAAACACCTGAATATCTGTATCGAAAACTAAAACCTCGTGTAGACCAGTGGCGGCTCCTCAGAGGAGGCAACGGAGGCTTAGCCTCCTCAGAGATTCTCCTTGAACTGATATTATCTATACTTTGGCAACATTAATAGGAGGCTAGACTCCTTCACAAATCGCAACCCACGCGCGCAATGCAAATGCCCGAATACGCCCGAATAGCACGTGTTTGTCGTGTCGCGTCGCGAATTGCGGACAATCCAGCGCGGGTGCATTGTTTATGTTTATGTTAGGTTAATGGTTAGGGGCTCTATAAATTTCTGAAAAATGAGTGTTTTAAACGATTGCGATTTAGTGGAATACTTTTTGGTGAACCCATTCAGTGCTTTGTCTTATGAAGATATATTGATTGTGAGAAACAAACGTCCGACACCGGAATTGATAAATCTGATTGTAACAGGTAACAAACAAAATCATTCGTTCAATTCAGATAATTATAAAAAATATATCTGTTTGACGGGATCTGAGGGAAGGAATACGCTATTTTGTTGGTACTGCGTATTATTTTCAACCGATAAGTCATCATGTTGGGGGCGATTAGGATATAATGAATGTCATTAAAGCTATTGATTTGGATGAGTCGTAGAGAGTTGTTTTTCACAATAAATCTCATATCATTCAGCCTCCTCTGTCATGAAAGTCACGAGCCGCCACTGGTGTAGACATACATAGCTTCAACATCCGTCATAAAGACAATTTGACCATTCCTATAAACATAAATAAATCACAATTTAAAAAGTTATGTCGCTTGTTAGGCTATGAACAGTCTACCTAGGGAATTCAAATCTTTTGGTGTTGTTGAAAAAAAGGTGAAAACTCTGCTACTGAATGACAAACTATTTATTTATTTCAAAATATAAAGATATATCTGGGAACAATAACTATACTTAGACAAAATGACTTTTTCAAATTCAATAAGAGATTGATCAATTTTAGTTTTTTTTTTCTGTTTTCTTGTTAATTCTCTAATTATGAATATTTCCACAGCTTAGGAATATAATTTTAATATATACAGGCCATGGACGTATAAAAAAGAATACAGGCAGTGTTTACTTCTTTTCTGAACTAAGTATTTATAATCAATATAATCATAGGTTATCTTAGATTTTAGGATCCAACGAGGACATATGGAAGAACAAGATAATAATCATAATACAATTTTAGGTTGGATCATGACACTGAATATGGTCTCTTTCATTATATAAGTATTGTTGGCCTCTTGATATCGTTCATTCATTATACTGTGATATGTCAAACTGTGGTACTTGTTGAATGAATTCATAATTATTATGACCATTATTATTATTATTATTATTATTATTATTATATTTTCCAAAATATATGAAACATTGCCTTTTGAGTATTGAAGCGTTTCATTTTATATTTTCATTAGTAGGCACGTCTTCTGAGAACATGTCACGGTTGACCGGTGTAAGCGTTTTATTGCAGCGGTGATTTAGAGAGCTGACAGTGCTGACAGCGTCCATGAGCTACATGTTCACTGAATACGACTGTACAAAATAAGGATATACAGAGTGCGACAATGTTACAGAGGTCCCAGTCTACCTATAAGGTTTGTTAATCTGTGCCTATACCGCTTCGAAGAGAATTAAGGCAAGGAAATTAATAATTGTGCAATACAAAGAATGTTATTCGGTCTGTAATTGGTCGCACCTGACCAAGGTTTATATTTAGTCATCTGGGATGACGATACTTTTACGAATTTCTTTTGTTATAATAATGAGTAAGTAGGTGAATAACTGACAATTGATTCATATATAACATACCTATTGTAGGTTTCCAAATGAGGTTTGATTTATCGATCTGAACATTATAGACCTTGGAATTTAGATATTTCAAACATGCCATAAGTACAAAATCTTTTTTCTGCGATTATGCAACAAGTTTAAATTTGTGCACCATTCGCGATAGAAAATAAGCATACGCCACCTATCGGAGTTCTTGAAAGCTGTCAAAGCGGCATGTTTAATTTGTTTTCATTGGTTCACATTTGTTTATTGTTTGTGCTCATTGGTCATATCATCAAAACAAACCGCTCAGAAGTGTTCACGTTGCTGCCGTCAGGTGGGGCGACGTGTTATTTTCTATCGCGAATGGTGTAAGAAGTAAATTAATCAGTTCAAACTTTTCATTTTATTGTAGAACTATTATTACATAAAAAATTATTACTTATATTGCTTGTATTGTCAAATACTCTTCAATATTTGAAATAAAAATGAAAGTAATTCGATCGTTAAAAGATATGTTGTGTGCAACATGTGCATATTTGTTGCATTCAGCATGATTGCAGCTCTTGACATCGTAATTGAACATTTCAATAATCATTATCGCGCTCTAAAAGGGGTTCACGACTTTGGAGTACAAGAATGGCAAATCCGAGGTACCAAAGTCGGATACTCATCAATCTTCAAATTGTCTTAGATGGTATCATCTTCACTCTACAGTTTTCAAACTTTCCTATCGGTCCCTCTTGGCCAACACTTATTTTTTTCCTTTCCCTCAAAGCTCAACCTTATTCTATATGTATAAGGGGCTCACGACTTTAGAGTACAACAATGGCAAACCCGAGGTACCCTGGCCGGATACTCATCAATCTTCTAATTGTCTTAGATGGTACCATCTTCACTCTACAGTTTTCAAACTTTCCTATCGGTCCCTCTTGGCCAACACTTATTTTTTTCCTTCCCCCCAAAGCCCAACCTTATTCTATATGTATAAGAGGCTCACGATTTCAGAGTACAACAATGGCAAACCCGAGGTACCCTGGCCGGATACTCATCAATCTTCAAATTGTCTTAGATGGTACCATCTTCACTCTACAGTTTTCAAACTTTCCTATCGGTCCCTCTTGGCCAACACTTATTTTTTTCCTTCCCCTCGAAGCCCAACCTCACCATGGTGTGGGGAGGACATATTTGTTCTAATCACAGGGTTCGAGGTTGGACCAACCCATTTTCTCGCATTACTCCCAGGAGAAGAAAAACTGTTGGCCTTCTGTTGACGTGTTAAATTGCTTTTCACTCGAAATAAGAAGCCGACTTTGCGGAAATGATAGTATCAATTTAGGCGATGAATTCAACCAAAGTATATGGAGAGTACTATCATCTGTGAACCTGTGGATAGGGCAGGAACAATGTTGGTGCCAAAATGGATCCTTGTGGAACTCCTGAATTGATCGCCATGGTATCAGACACTCCGTCAACCACCACATGGAGCGACCATGTGCAAGTAAACTCGAATTGTCGCCATTCAAATTAAATCACATTATGGCCACGTTTATACCATATATATGGATAGTTGGTATGCTTACCAACGAGATCTAACTAAATTCAGACTAAATGACTTAGTTAACGCATGTTTACACCATGTATCTTCAGTAGAGTAACGTTACCAATTTTGTTTTGATTTGATTATTTTCTTGAGGTTAGGTTGTGGAACATCACTTGAATTCGTAAATTAAGAATAAAACCTTTTAGTATGATACGAAATTAGCTGAAATTGAATGGAACATTATTATGAGAACTCATGAAACAACTACCATTTGCACTCAAGTGAAGTCAAGGCTATACAAAAGTATAGACCAAAATGTTTTCACCGTCTTGGTCATCATACTATTTTAGTCTGGTACTCAACAAATTTCTGAACCAAAACCAAGCTGGAAACTTCACCAAGTATACAGTTTATACCACACTGACCAAGAGTATTTATTCAAATTATAGTCATTAGTCAGCTTATGAAGACACGGTATAAACGTGGCCTATGTGTATATATTTCGAATCTTTAATTCAGGCAAGTTTTGGTGGATAATTCGGATGAGTTCTACTAACTGTTGAAAGAATGTTTCAGGTTGATTGATTGATTGATTGATTGATTGATTAATAGCAGAATGATCAGTCAGGGTTTGAAGCCCAAAACACTGCAGCCTTTGGGCCTATTGTATTCCTGATCATGCTGTTGACTTAGGTGAACAGGTTCGCTACCTTGATGAGGTTCAGCAGCCTCTTCACCAAATCATTCTTTGAAAATGCCTCTTGAGAGTTTATTGCTCCCAGAAGGTTGTATCTCCAACGCGCTAGTGCTTCGCACTCCAATATTACATGGGTGCAGTTTCCTCCTCCTCATTGCATAGTCTGCATATGGGTTCGTCTGTATAGATGCCCATTTGATGCATATGTTTCCTCAAGGGGCAGTGACCGGTTATTAGTCCCGTCACTTGTTTGATCTGACTTCTGTTTAGGCTCAGAATGTCGTTAGTCACTTTCGTCTGTATAGATGCCCATTTGATGCATATGTTTCCTCAAGGGGCAGTGACCGGTTATTAATCCCGTCACTTGTTTGATATGACTTCTGTTCAGGCTCAGAATGTCGTTAGTCACTGTTTTGGACAGTGTTCCAACCATCAGTTTACTGTGTCTTTGTCCTGGGACATTGTTCCAGTCTGCCTGATGTCTTTCTTGCATCCACCTTGCCAGCCAGCCGCGTATTGAGGTTTTGGGGATACCGAACACAGGTTCCGGCCCCATAAACAACGTCGCAGACCCTTGCCGGGCAAGAGCGTCAGATGCTTCATTGCCTTCAATTCCCTTATGCCCTGGCACCCATTGAAGAGTTACCTTGTTGTGGTTAGCCAGGGTTAGCAGGCTTTGAAGGCAATCCCAGACCAATTTTGATCTGATTTTATTGCATGTTAGAGATTGAATGGCCGCCTGACTATCTGAGCATATGAGGATTTGTTTACCTCTTACGATATTCTCTCTCAGGCATGCCTCAATAGCATGCACCTCTGCCTGGAATGTTTCAGGTACCTACGCACGATATTCTCCGAACAGTATAGAGATTTCCTTTCGTGCGCTCCAAAAAATAAAGAAAAATCGTTTTTCGTGGAAATTAAAATATGTTCGTTTGCCAAGTTCACAAATGAATGCAATCCTAGTGACAGTATTGCCAACTCAGTGGATTTTAGAAAGAAACTGGTGGTTTCAGTTATTGTGTTGTGACAAAATACAGTATCTGGTGGTTGGTGTTTATTTTGATGATTTTTTTCAAATATCTGTGATTGCTGCCAGCTGGAATTGATTACTTGACAGGTGACACATGCAATACATGGATCAGTGAAAGAGTTGACGCAATGTGGGCGAAATTCTTGTTTTATATAAATTTCCAATTTCAATAATGTGAAACTATATAGTGTTTTTACGGAAAAACTAGTTTTAACTGAAATCAATGTTCAACAGTAACATGTACCTATATACCTACATTTTGACTGTTTTTGTACGATCTCAGAAGTTGTTTTTTTGAGAATTTATTTCTTGTTTTATATCTGTCACTGTTATGAAGAATTTATTTTGTTCGCTTTATTCCTGACGAATTTTTAAGGCGACTGAGATTAGGATCGTAGCGCCAGAACGGCGAATGTCGGTACTACTCTATGGGCCATTGACAGATTGTTTACATTGTTCAGTAATGGTGTTTATGTTCATTTCGTTTTGATATTTCAAACGTTTAGCTTCATTATTTGTGTATTCTTGAACTTCGTGTTTTCCAGTGGTTTATTATGTTTTGATTGAGGACAAGATTATATCTGTTCAACTGTAGATAACCTACCTACCTATAGTTGACATTTATATGTACCATATCATATGTAAGCTGTTCAAGCATATCATGAATTAACCTGTAATTTTCAATACAAATAGATGGCTGGGATATTCACCTGATAGCATAATATTTTTGAAAGGAAGTATATTTGGGAATGAAATGGTCTCTTGTATAGGTAAAGTTATATACCTCTTTTTCACTTACTTTTTACAACACATAATAATCAAATACCTCTATTTATATTCCTAATACAAAACCAGAAGCTCTCGGAAAAATCACTTATATGTAGTCCAAGGAAATGGTGAATTTATATAGTTGAAGAAGCTCCATAATTATTATGGGCAGATACAATTGGGGATGGCTCTACTTTTAATCTAAACGATACATATTCATTTTTCAATTACAATATTTTGATTTTATTTTGGTTATGGCTTTGAGTATTCAAGGGTTATGGATAGAATTTGATTTTGAGTTTGCAAAGAACATGTTGTTATAGAGGAAAATTATATAAATAAAATGTCACATGTTTAATGTGAAACCCAGGGTTCTGGTTGATGAAATTCTTTACTGTTAATAAATTTTACTGTTCATGAATAGCATTATGATGAAAGATAATCAGTTGAGAATTTGTTTGTTTTTTATTATTACCCCAAGAAGTAGGTATAATATTCATAATTGACATATACCTATTATATATGGAAGTATATCGGTAAATTTTCAGTAAATTGAAAAGAATATTCTCTCATAATATGCTCAGACACTTTTTTTCCAATCTTCAAGTTATGAATTCACATCTTTCTTCTCTGGATCACTTCATTGTTTCCCAACTTAGCTACAAATACAGCTTAGGGTTGTCCTGATTTTGGAAAGGTATGAAAGCTATATTCGGAAATTCTAGGCTCAAGATGAACAATGGGGTACACAACGTTTATAAAATTTCTCAAAACAAAATAATAGACGATTCAAACACAACTACTTCTCATATAAAACACATGCAAACTGATGTAAACAAAGCAATCAATGGCCCATACGTTAGTTATATTAGAAAACGGTAGAGGGCGTATTCCTTAGCATGATTCGCCTATATAGTTAATCTAAGATTCGTTGACCCAGCTAGGCTTCCATTATCTGGTGTTATTTGAGTGATTTAAACTGAAGTTAAAACGACCAGACAACCGCTAGATTCACAGAAATGTTCGCCAGACTGTTTATTTTTATTTGTTGTTTTTTTAGTGGTTTTTACATATCCATTTTGTGACTTTTGAAAATCTGAGTTGGCAACACTGCCTGGTGGGTCTGGTGGTTGAGATTGCATTCGTGCATCTCAATGCCAACAGGTCATTCCCACTATCTTGGCATTCAAACATTCCCAGACGCGGTGATGACTGACGAGCTAATTATTGATTGCTGCCCGACCCATTGTCAATGTTGTTTTTTCTTTTTGTTGCTCGATCATCAAAACACGAGTCGGAATGATAAAAACAAAAATATTGTTCTGGAGCCTTGTTGTGATATTTTTTATCACGTGAATAATGTAAGTATTGCGTCAAATCCTTGATAATTGAGAATCAAAATAGGTTTATGTTTTCATTATTTATCAGCGAACTGAAGTAAAAGAGGCAATGTAATAACAATTTATATATCAATAAGGGAACACAGGCATTTCGTGTCGCGTAAAATATACACACATGGGAGAAAGTAAACATTTGTACTCTGTAAGTATACCAACGAACCGTCTAGGACGCACTCCTCTATGAGAGTCAGATATAAAAACAGATTCATGATATCTATGTGTCAGCTTCCAAATGATTCATATAAATTGTTATTCCGAGCAAGCACAACGTATTTTACAGTTTTTTTTTCTCAAACACCATGTATATTATTCCATATATGATCGTATCTATTTTTGAGAGCACCATTCTTGACTTTGTGTTTCAGGCGTTGTACAGGGCTTACCTAAAAGCAAATACTTACCACGTACTCCTCAGACTAAAACAATTCGATACAAGCCAACTTACCGCTAGACGGATCTGAAGTTACAATTTCCAAATCTTCTGCTTCAATTTTACTCAAATTTGGTACATTGGTGTTGGTATTGGTGGGTTGGATGGTGACAGATGCGCTGCGACCTAATTAGATCTATTTTGCCCCATCTGCTTCTGCTATATCAAGGATTTCTTGTTCATAACAGCCCCTCAGTTCCTTCAGGAATTTGAGGATTTTGAGGGGATCTAGATGTGGTATTTCTTCCACAGTCAGCTGGTGTGTTCCCAGCATGTTCAATCTTTTGTGATGTACAGCGTCACACTCCATCAGTATGTGATGATGTGTTTCTGGTTCTTCCTCGCAGAATCAGCAGGTGCCGTCCTGTAAGCCTAGCTTCCTTAGGTGTTCTTTGAGTCTGCAATGCCACGTTAGAAATTCCATTATTGCTTTGAGACTTCCTTTGCTGAGGTTTATCAGTGTCTTAGATCTTTCTCGGTTAAAATTTCCGAGAAGATCTTTTTAGCCTGCCGCAGTCCTGGAAGTATTCTCGATTGCCTGGCTCTCAAGGCTCCTTTCGCCTTTTCAAGTTCTCCTTGGAAAT